AGTTTTGAATGTTCCTCTTACAGTCATGGCAATTAAACTAATACTGTACCTAATTTAAAGAAAACTGGAATTACAACAGAGAGGGAAGTCAGGAGTGAATAGGAATGCATATATGTGAAAGAGAGTGAGAGAATCTGTGAGCACCAGCTGCTCTTTCCTAACAAGCTTAACATTCTCAAGTGCCAGGCATACCCTGTTCATTACTCTCTCTCTCTCTGTCTCTGACTGCATCGTATCCTTCACATGAACCCAGTTAAGCCTGACCCGGTATGTGGAGCATCCTCTCAGCACTTTGTTGTAGCTATTAGAGCCACCTCTGCTCTGCTAGCCAAGCACATACCAAGCTCCTGCTACGTCTAGGGAGCGAGTAAGCAAGGACGTCTCTCCAAACAGTAAATATTATGACTTAAAGCCAGCTGTTCCCTTGGGAAGGTTTGCTGTGAGCATGGCAAGGTCTACAATTCATCATTTGGATGTATGCTGTATTTAAAGAGTTGTTTTAATACAGCAGGCCCCATTTTAGATCTACTGGTACCAATTAGTTTTAAGGTACAAAGAAAAAAGTGGACTGGGTATGATTTGGATTATGTCCAAGGCTTTTATTTTGCATGTGTTTTCTCAACTTTTATTTAAATCGAGATTTACATATGCTGCACACTTGTGAAAAAAGTGTAAAACAGTAGATATTTGCACTGGACAACTACAAGACAATCATATATCTGAGCATGTAAAAAAACACAGCTATTTCCTGAATAATAATGCATTATATGTCCAAAGGTGTCCAGACATCCTTTCTAATCAGTCGCTTGCTGATGCAGGCAATTAACTGCGCACATACAGCTTGTACAATCTCCATAGAAGTGGAGTGCCAGTAATGGGATGCTCTAGGGCAGCCACACACACAGTGGGTCAAACAAGATTTTACAGCCCCCAACATAATAAAATTCCCCAAAAAAGTATTTTCAGTATATAAAAGATGATTATATAATTTGCTTGTTTACTTGCTGTTGTTATGTCATGTTTAGCTGATGTGTTTAATACATGCAACTTCACCCACTGGCATCTCCTTTTTGGATTGCCGTAGTTATAAATCATATTTAGCTGCATGATGTGCCAATAGTCAAATAAGAATATTAAATAGATTCTCAAGAAATCTTGCTGTATGACATTCATATTTTGATAAAATACAAATTGTGATTTAGTACATATCATTTGAACGGAATCAATTTCTTTTTTCTTTTTTTTTTTGAGAAAGAGACAGACATCAGGGCTGTCTGTGTACTGTTGATAGAAGCTAACTGGTGATATATGTTAAATAACTTTATCTGTCTGTGAGCCGTAGATATGCAACTGTGTCAGTATCTATGACCACGTTTACACTTGGTCACTTCATTTGACTAGTATCTGGATTGTATGTCAAATTTACACTTGGAAGTCAAATACATCTTCAGTTAGTCGGACTAAAACACATTGTGGGGCAGAATATGCAAATCTGCTTGTTAAGCGGCAACCAATTACCAATTATTCATCCTTTCAATCTCTTTGTCTGCAGTTTGTTTTGCACAGTAGTGTCTGTCCATTGCTATTAAACATTTCGTTTCATCTAGTCCCCAACCACGTGCGTCACAAATCACATGCCAAGAGACATAGTCCCGTTGTGCAGTTGTCAAATGTGTCTTGGAGAGGCGGCTGTGTTTACCCTGCTATAACATGTGGGTCAAATACATTTCAGACCACCTCCTGAAGTGGTTTTGTATCTGTTTGAAATGCGTCTTGGGTACGTTGAAAAGCATCTTGGGCATTTTTATGTGACTTAGGCTTATCCAGAAATAATCCTGACACTCAAGATGCATGAAGGGACCAGGTGTAAACAGGGCCTATAAAAAAGGCTCAATGAAGATTTTAGGGAGCTCAGTCGCCCTATCTTCCCAGTAATTACACCACTGGCCAAACATGAGTCTAAAGTCCAAACATCTAATGTCAAGCATCAGTGGAACTGTGTGCTTTGGAGCAATACATTTAGACTGGCATTTAATCCACAGTTTGAGTTAGTCATCCAGAGTCACAGTGGTCACAGGACACTACCCATAGGCTAGGTATTTTTGGTGGACTATTCTCAGCCAAGCAGGTGACACTTAGGTATTTAAACACTCCAGTAGCACTGCTGTGTTTCATTCACTAATACCAGCACAACACACACTAACACACCACCACCTCATCAGTGTCACTGCAGTGCTAAGAAAGCTCCACCACCCAAATAATATCTGCTATGTGGTGGTCCTGTGGTAGTCCCAAACATGGTCAAAGGGGGCTAAAAAAGTATGCAGAGAAACAGATGGACTACAGTTTGTAATTATAGAACTGCTATGGAGCTGATTAAACGAACAATGAGCTGTTACGCTACAGGTCAAATCGGGGCTATTATGCCCCGGGAGACCAGCAGTTCCTTTCATATATCTCTAATGTTCCCTCCCTGAGTAACAACCTGGACTAACATTAACTCAGACTGTAACTGATTATACAGTTGGTGATAAGTGATTATGGAAAGATCCCTGACTCATTCAGGTAAAGAGGTCTCGTTATTGTGTTTTACACTGTATATACGATGAATTATCTGGCTTGTTTATGGCATACCAATAAAACTTATACTGACATTACAGGTTTTGCCATGGGCATTCTTAGTACTTGCTTGTTGTCCCAAAACCGCTGACATGTTGCTCACTGCAGTTGAGTTCTGGTGTGCAGGCACACATCATTCCGTAAGGCACATGCACGTCAGAAATTGCTTCTTGTTATTGTTGTTCTCTATTGCCCACAGCGACGCTGCGTTAACATTCCAGTAATGGTGAAACGGTGGTATAAAGCTGTTAATGCTGTAAATGCTGTTAATGCAGCTAAGGAGACCACCCTTCAGTTATTGAATTTCCAGTCAAAACAGCCATTACGTACAACTTATTCATATTCAGGAGTTGTTCCTAAGATCCTAAGTCAGTGATGTCCAGTCTTATCCACAATGGGCTGGTGTGGCTGCAGGTTTTCATTCCAACAAAGCAGGACTGTGCATAATCAGTTGTTTGAAGGATGAGCAATTCATTAAACAAGTGGAATCAGGTGTGCTCCTGCTCATTTGGAATGAAAACTTGCAGCCACACCGGCCCTGTTCGGATAAGACTGGACACCCCTGCCATAAGTGAAAATAAAGGAACTTCCAGAAGAGAAAACTATCACCATCAGATAAACAGTAAAAATCTTTCATCTTTGAGATATAGGAGAAAAGCTAGCTGCACTCTTGCTACGGATCTAAAAAAAAAAACAGGTATTTCTGTCTATCCTTTCACTGTGAGAAAACAAATCAACATAATGGGTCTGAAAGGAGGTGTAACTGTCAAGAAGCCATTAAGAGAACTGCAACAGAGAATTGCAAATCAAACAAAGAAGCTTCTGGTGCTGGTAAACAATGTACTGCTCATCTCAGAGCCCAAATCTCAACATCATTAAAGGTGTTTGGATTGTGAGAAGCAGAAAATGCAAGCAACTTCTAAGACTGAAATTTGGAGGCATGGAAAAATATCCCTATAGTTTTCGTTGAAAAACTGACAGCAAGTCTTCCAAAAGGAATGGAAAGTTTTAATAAAGGCAAAGGATGGGCACCCCATAAATACTGAAAATGTGCAACTATTATACCTAGTTGTTGAGTTGCTTCTGTGTTATGTTATGTTAAATATATCTTTTGTGCTTTTACCTGATGCTGCAAAATGAGTAACTTTTTAACATTTTGACTAGAAATTAAATAAATAAAGGGTGGTTTCTGACTTGTGCACAGTACGGTATTAACAGTGCCAAAGCAGGAAAAGCCATGTATTTGTTAAATGTTGTTTATTACTGCCTCTTTGTGTTCCCCAAATCATAATTCCTGTTTAAAATGCCACCTATAATCATTAGCCTTAATTTCATTGTGCATTATGGTGTGCATTTGAACATATACATAAGAAATCATATGAAGTCATAGTTATTAGAAATCATAATCATACGAAGCATAACTCAAAGTAACCACTTAACATGAAAAGCATAATAGCGACTTCCAGTAGGGATGAACATCGATGTTATAGTTGCCCTATTGCCAGGGACATGATACATTATTATTGACCTCCAGGTAAGAATTTCACATTGATTTACCAACTCGCAGTTGTGCATCTTAAAGGGGAAGAGGCGAACCTTGTGAGGTACACAAATTGAATTTCTCTGGTCCCATGGTTTGCATTTGAGGTGAAGTCCAGTCTCTGGTAATAGGCCTCACATGCTACTAGTGCTATGGCCAAACTGGCAGCCTCAATAGGATAGATGGACCAATATGCTAACAGCTCTTTAAAAGGTCAGTTTGATCCTTCATTGTGCTTTAATACACTTCTCATGGCTTATTTAGTATATTAAATCACATGCTATGACAAGACAAGTGACCATTACATCAATTAGTGGAATGACTGGAATGAGGATTTAGGATCAAGACTGACTCTGATTTTAGGATCAAGACTGACTATGAATATTTGTGGCTGTGGTTATGTAAGCATTTTGGCACATAATATGCTTTGTAGTTAAGAAAAGATGGTCAATTTCACCCAAAAGATGTATTTGGTTGAAAAGACCTATAATGTTTTCTTTGTTTGCACTGGGCAAGCAGTCCTCGTTTATGAAAGATCTCATTCATTCTTTGAGCTTTTATGTTTAGCTGATTTACATTCAAATAACTAGCTTAAGGGCAAGCCTAACACGTGCCCAAAATGTGCTGACTTGAGTAAAACCAGTTCACAGTTCGTCCAAATTTTCAGTGTGTGTGGTCAAAAACTCACTGTTCGCCTAATCCGATTTAAGATCGAATTTGCCTCCTTGTTATTAAAATAACGACACACCTCTCAAGGAAAAGGCATTTAATTTGGCCTTGCTGGTGACAACATTGAGTTGTAACCAATCAGGACGTTTGTGTTGGTTAGGAAGGGCCAGTATTGGATGTACTTAAATGGTCTGAAAACCCTGCTCTCTCATTCACATGCTCCTCTCCTCAAGGACTGTTTATCTTCAGGCTGCTTGTCTGTAACTTTCACACAGACAAGAAAAATGCACAGTAAAGATCAAATCAGGTAAGATTTAGGCTTTCTTTGCCTAAAGGACTCGAATGTGAATGTGCTTTGACGATGTTAATGTGTAAAATGTAACGATACAGTTTTATGACATTTAAGCTGACTTGAAGTCAGGGATAAGATTTGAGAGTTCATAGACAAACTTTTTGAATGTTGTTTGGTTGAAGCATTGTAGAGATTCATAGTTTTAGCTTTTACTGTCAGCTGTAGATTGAGAGATAATAGTCAATTACAGGACAAAAATTCTTACAATGCCACTTTTAGTAAGGTGTTCTATAGGGGGTAAATACAGTATGCAGAATTACACTACAGAAGGTTCCTAACTGGTTGTTGGCTTAAATGTGTTTAGTTGGTATAGAATCTTTACATTTAGAGGTTCCTAAAACTTTAAAAACGTTCCATCACATTTCATTTATAAAGAACCATCCATTGAAAAGTTCTTAAAGGCAGTAATTCTTAAACTAATCTTCATGTACACCCAATGGGATGTGTTTTGCTCCATCCCAACTCCCAAAACATAGTTATGGAGCAAAAATGTAGACCATCTGGGGGTCCCTGAGGACCAGAGCCACTACTTTAGGGAACCCAAAGATCTTCTTTTATGGCATTGCTCCAAAGTACCCTTGTTGACATCTTATTTTTTACAAGAGTAGCTGTAATGTACTACCACTGATAATCATATGATCTTATACCTTTTTTTAGTTTTTAGTTGGCTGGCATTGAAAAAATGCGGTGTTTCAAAATATTGTAGAAGTTAAGAACATTTCTTAAAATTCTAACATGACATGAAAGGTCATTGCTCATAGCTGATAATATCATAGGCTGTTACTGTTAAGCAATCAATGTACCAAGTTACACAGACCTTCAGAATCCATAAAAGGGAACAACTGAGTGAACCTACAAGTTTAACAGAGCTATTTCTCATGCCTTATCCCAGTCACGAAGACTACCAGAGGACAGCTGATTGGCTGCTGTCCCAGACACAACACAGACCTAAAGTGGCCATCATTTGTGGTTCAGGCCTGGGCATGCTGGCCGATGCCCTCCAGTGCCAAGACTCCTTCAAATACTCTGATATACCAGGATTTCCCCAGAGCACAGGTAAGGCTGGATGCTCAAACTGTGGTCAGATGATAGAGTATAGTTTTGAATGTTAAGAATGCAATAATATTGGTAGTATTAGTAGTGCACAACACTCTACATAGTATGATATCTGATTCATAGTTGCATAACTAGGATCTTTTGGACCTTCAAACAATGATGATGTAATTTGCTTGTGGAAAATTACATCTAGAAATGTACCATATAAAAATAAGTGTGTATAAATGTATTTATCAAATACATTTGAAAATGTATGAAAATACAAAATACTTACCTAATGCACCTTATAGTTTAGAATATCTCTTGAAATGAATCTGTTTTTTCAGTATCTTAATATTAAATATTAGCAAATGAACCTTTAACATAGTAAAAGCAAGTGTTGTAGGTATTGACACAATGTGAAAATGCAGTTTGATGATTGATGTGACCTCCTGTTTATTTGAAATATATTTTGTTTGAGCGCTGTCTTACTGCATTAGTACACAGACATCAGTATCATTTAGTTACATCTGTACCTTTTGTTAGAATAACAAATGCAAATTAATGCATTTTAAATTATATTTAACAATACATTTTTTTTTCACACATTGCAGAAATCAACTTGATACTTGATATTTTAAAAGAATTTTTTTTCCATCTGGGTATACTATATATACGTATGTTGATATATAAATCATAGTACTGGTAATAGTGTGTGTGTGTGTGTGTGTGTGTGTGTAAACAGTGCAGGGCCATGCTGGGAAACTGGTGTTTGGTGAACTCAGAGGGAAAACCTGTGTGTGTATGCAGGGCCGATTCCACATGTATGAGGGACACTCACTATGTAAGGTCAGTCCTTTCAGACATGCCTGGATATCCTGAAACAGTTTCTTTCAACTCAAAACCATGGTTTCTGAGGCATTATTCAATATTTAGGATGTGAATAAAGTCATTCAGAGTGGAAGTGAAATGCTCCATTCTAGAGAAACTTGCTGAATCACAATTGTTCATAGTGATGGTGATGTCTGAAGCATTTAATGCCTCTAAAAGCTCCTTCACACTAAAGTGGCAAATACATTGCCTAATGTCTGAGACTTTGATTTATGATAGGTTTGCTACAAGAAACGTATTTTTAAAATACACGCATAGTTAAGAGGTACATGCAGAGCAGTGTAAGGCAAATAGTGGCCAAAGAAGACTTATTTTGGATTTATCAACATTATTGATAAAACCCAGACGACATATGTAGGCTCACTGGTCATTTTGGATAGCAAATGGCTATATTGGAGTTGTAGACATCACAACCATAGATTCCAATCACCACCACTGTAAAGAAACGTGAGTTGGTAAGTTTCTTTACAATGTTCTGTCACATCAGAACACTGTGAATGACTTTGTTTTCATTTCAGTTATGTGATTATGTACTAATTTTAGAAAATTGCTGTTCTTTATTCTATAAGCATAGTATCTGTCACCATGTCCTGCTGCTTGTGTTAGCTGTGACCTGGTCAGGAGATGTCTTAAGACTGGAGCATCTGCTTTCTTTCATCAAAAGCCATCTTTGGGTCTGTGCATGCATTCCTTCTCGTGATCACATTGAGCTGAATCACATGCCAGATGCCGGCACTCATTTCACCGTTCAATGCTACAATTGTCCGCTTTACATAACTCTTAGACTAGTACAGCACTCCATTCATGTTCATGTGAGCACTCTAGTGGGATTACATCCATCTGTGTGATTCAATTAGATTTAAATACTTTTACTTATTGGTTAACACTTTACTGTAGGTCAGGTTACATGTACATAAGGCTACATGACATTAATTTAAGCATTTCATGACTTCTGCTTGTTCTAAAAGGCAGCAATTGTCATAAAGGCTGCTTCTGTTAGCTTCACTGTCAGCCAACAATGTCAAGTGACATAGGCTTTTGCTGACATTAGGTGTTGTCATAACAAGTTCAAATGACATTGCATGTTATGACAATTAACTTTGTGTATTTTTAGTATGTCAAAGACATGATGGTGATTATGTTATGCAACTTGATAAGTGAGGCTGGTTACAAAAACAAAGGTAAGCACTTCTGAAAACATGCTTTGACACTTTGTGGCCGAGTTCCTGGACCACTGAGGGTTAATGTAAGGAAGTTTCAGGCCATTTTGTGTCATCTTTTGGGACTTAGCTCAGAGAGGATTGGTCAGGATTAAAATGTCCAGTATAGCATTTTGAGAATTGCATGTGAAATTAATACAATTTTAAAGCAGGAGATGAACTATGAAATTGACTTAACTGAATAAATAGTCAATAAAAAGTAGGCTGTCATACTATGCTGTGTCATTTCATCCCAGAAAGTCTTAAGACAACATCTAATGTCAGCAAAACCTATGTCACTTGGCATAGGTGTTATGGCAACTTGACATCAATGTTGACAAAAAAAGCGTTTATGACAACTACTGGAATAAGCCTTTCTGAATGTTTTATGTAGGTTTATGTCAGTTGAAAGAATTATGTAATTGACCTACAGTAAAATGTTACCACATATTGTTCTCTTGTTAATCTGCCATTTCTCAGTGGTGGACAACAAAGAACATGTAATTTATTTTTAAGTATCTATACATTATAAAACATGTTAAGTTTTTCCTTTCACTTTGCTACATTTTACAGTAAAATACCCAGTGGCAAACCATGACTATTAGATCTAGGTCTTCTGTTTGGAATTGTAACACTTTCGAATTACACTGATGTGCCAAAAGTCATGAGACAGGATCTACTATCATGTAAGACCCCATCTAGCCCGGCAAACAACTTGGCATAGTGCATTATCCTGCTGGAATACCCCATCATTGTGGGGGTACATGAAGTCCATGAAGGGCTGCGAATGTTCAGCAAGCAGTGAAATTAAGTGGTCACCAGTCGATGACGTGTTTAGGTGGGCCAGTGGACCCAACCAATGCCATGAGAACACACCTCATACCAGTATGGAACCACCACCAACCTGCACAGTGCCTTGTTGACAACTGGGGTCCATGGCTTCATGGGGTCTGCGCCACACACAAACTCTACCATCAGCCTCAAATAATTGATATCGTGACTCATCAGACCATGCCACATGTTGCCAGTTCTCTGCGGTCCAGTTAGCAACCTCAAGAGCCCAGGTGAGGCGCTGTGTACAGTGTCATGGTGTTGCTATATCGCACGGAAGCTAAAGAACGCTGCACTGACCTGCAGAATATGCATGTGGGGCCTCCTGCACTGAATGTGGATATGATTTCTGTCAGTTGCTTGTATGTTCGCATGGACAATTCTAGCCAGACGCCATCATGAAGCACCCGTGGGTAGCCGCTGTGCTGTCCACTGTGGGTGGTAATGCCTTCTCTGGCGTGTTCCCGGTACACACATGACACTGTGGATCATTTGAACTTTGATAATTCAGCTTGCCTAGCCATAAGCACGCTGGCCAGTGTACCTTACTCACAAGATAACACCTCACAACTTATACAGGTGTGGGCATTCCCTTGAGGTTACGCCACTTCATAATCAATTTATATACTGCTATCCTACTTTTAGCATGTCAGTGTATGTTGGTAGTTAATCATGGATGCCTCGCTTAGCTGTATCTACGCACATAAAAAAAAAAAAATCCTGATTGGACAAGTTTCTGTTGGACACTTCAAAATTTAAATCCTTTTCTTTCCAACCAATACCTAACATTTAAATAAGAGTGCATGCCAGGCTGGACTGGTGACCTGTCCAGGGTGTATCCTGCCTTCCACCCAATGACTGCTGGGATGGCTTCCAGCCCCCCCGCCCCCCGCGACCCAGAAGGATAAGCGGCTTAGAAGATGTGTGTGTGTGTGCATGCCAGGCGCCAGACACCCGGGCACTGATGACAGCCACGAAAGGCAGCAGGAAGGCAGTGCCCAAACCCCACCTCCTGAGCCTCATCCTCCTCCCACCATCTCTCACGGCTGTCGTTCTCCTCCCACTATTTCTCGCGGCTGTCGTCGGCACGTGAGATTAGGCATTGCCTTCCTGCTGCCTCTCGCGGCTGTCATCGGTGCCCAGGGGTCACTACTACAATGCTTGCAGAGGCAAACATGATGATTCTATTAAATACAAATAAACTAAAAACTACAGACATAAATATTTTCCATACTATTAGGCCTTCCCTGAAGACCTAGAAGGCCCTGAGAGTACACCTCTATAATTCACTAACTTTTATCCTTAATGCTTAAGCAGGTGCTTTTGTACTTTTAACTCATGTAGAAATAGAGTACATCAACTTTTACCCAAGTATTAGTTTATTAAGGATATCTCTACCTTCACTCATGTATACTTGCATATTTTGTCCACCACTGAATGAATGAAGAATGAGAGTTGAGACTGTGCTCTGCATCTCTATCACAGGTCACTTTCCCACTGAGGGTATTCAAGCTTTTAGGTGTGGATACCCTGATTGTAACAAATGCTGCAGGCTCCTTAGCAGACAGCTACAACTGTGGTGACATTATGATCATCAGAGATCACATTAACTTCCCTGGACTTGCTGGACTGAACCCACTGAATGGCCCCAATGATGAAAAGTGAGTCAACTTATTGTTTTTTTTCTTTCTTTTTTTTTTTTTACCTGACCTTAAAGGAATATTTCACTCAAAAATGCTAACCTGGCTGATAATGTATGAAAGCTGGTGGCAACTAATTAGCATGATCCTGTACACATAATGCCAATCCTTCCTTGTTAGCAGACTTAGCATATTTGGTTGAAGTATTTGGTCTTACTTTATTCTGATGGTCTACAAATGCTCAAATCGTTAACAAACTATCTGGTTTAACTCAAATGATTATGAACAGTGTTAGGTTTAGAGTGACGGTTTTGGTTTTGGATTAAGGTTAAGGTTAGGTTTAAGTGTTAGTTTTAGGGTTATGCCAATTTTAAGCTAAATTTAATAGATATTTACAGGGTGAGCATCTACAAAGCATCTACAGTGGCCATCCAAATAAGTGTTACCAGGTATTTTGTTCCAAATATCCATAAATATGTAACATAGTCTTTTACACCCATTATCTCCCAGGTTTGGACCTCGCTTTCCCCCTATGTCTGGAGTTTACGATAAAGACCTACGAAAACTGGCATTTGACATCTGTAAGAGCATGGGCGTGTCCCAGTATGTCCAGGAGGGCGTGTACTGTATGGTCGGAGGACCCAACTTTGAGACCATAGCGGAAGCCCGACTTCTGCACAAACTGGGCGTGGATGCAGTAGGTAAGCATTCTTTACATCTCACATCTTTTAACCATTACTTTTGCTTCCACTGCATTTAGTAGAAAAATTAGTAACAGTAGTAGTAGTAGCAGTGCAGTACTAGGGATTTCATTGCCTCTGTGGGAGAGTATTTCTTAAGTACATTGTATTGATGTGACATTGAACAGGGATAAATAACAACAAAATACATAACCCATTAACACTGATGAACAGTAACTCTATATAATACACTAGCCTGAGGCATACACTGCAAATGTAGGTCCATGAGACGTACATTAACGTTTTTAATTTCTCAACTGAGAGAAGTCCTAAAGAATCAGTTTATTTATTTATAAATTAGTTAAAACCTCAAATGACTCAAATGTAACATTATAGTAGGGGAGAAAGAACTATTTCTATTCTCTCTCAAGGAAAGGGTTTGTATGCTTCTTCCCCCACTGCATGAGTCAGAAATCAACCTGATGTGTCCATGCTTTCCATCCCTGTCGCTTAGGCATGAGCACAGCACCTGAAGTCGTGGTGGCTAGTCACTGCGGTATGCGTGTCTTCGGCCTCTCACTCATTACTAACAAAGTGGTGAAGAGCTACCAGGACTTCGAAAAGGTCAATCATGAAGCTGTGCTGGAGGTGAGCAAGATGCGCTCAGAGACTCTACAGAAGCTTGTCACTGAGCTGGTTAGCCGCATGGACATCAACAACAACATGGCATGACGGTCATCCCAATCAAATAAATCTGCAACAACTGTAGTAATGACAGGTTCCATCAAACCTGCAGCTGCTCCAGCCTACTGTGACTAGAAAAAGCAGTTTGTATTTGTTATCACATAGAATATTATACAGAACTGCATATTTCAGTAATATCTTCTTCAATTTTGCTTAATGTATTTTAATGCAATAGCTTTAAGGCAACTGTTCACCCACCAACTTCAATCAAAGTCACAAATGTGACCAACTGAGGACTCATTTTATGCTGACAGTTCTGCACCGTTGATTTTTTTAAAAATATGCTTCAGTTTAATATATACTGTACTTTTCACTCCATTTTGGGTGCTGTGAGCAGTTTTATAGATTTGTATTCAATGTACCTTACAGCTATTTATCTACACAGCAGAAGCACTTTCCTAGAGGCATGTACAGCCTATTTGTTTTAATCAAAGCTTTTTCATATGATCTTTGAAATTAATATAATGTCAGGCAGTTTAGTATTTAATGCTATATTTTTGAATGCAGTCTTATGTTTTCTGTGTTTTTGCACATCGCCTGTTAAGTAAGAGCTGTCTCTGTAACTTACTATTTTACTTAGTACAATGTAACATGGTGGTTCATTATAAAATGGTTTATTAATAAAACTTTCAGGCAAAATGGGGATAAAACTTTAAAATGGTGGTAAAATACAATTCGGCTTTGGGATTCATTCCAACCAAGCATTAGCACCAGATTTATTTGTTTAAATTGTTGGTCTCAGCCTTCAACCACTTTTCAAGTGTGCTGCCTTTTGTTGGAATCAAAACCTGTAGCCTCAAAGGCCCTTTGATAAGACTGGACAACCCTGGTCAAAAGTGAAGACATTTTGTATAATATATAATATGACCCATGGGAAATGTTTTGATTAGCCTACCAGCAACGTCCATACTTTTGTTCACAATTAAATTTTGTATTTTTATGTTTTTAAATAGTTACTTTGAACAAAATAAAGTTTGGGTGAATTTGAAACATTTGTGCTCAGGCAAGCTCAAGACAAAAGGAAGTGGCATATGGGTTACTGTGGCTGTAGTTTTCTGAATTACAGGTAACGTACACTAGATGGCGCTAGAGTTTCATCGTTGGTTTTCCAGCGCGTGTGGTTGCCATGACAAATGGAACGCGTGGAATGCGTGTCTTCACTCATTCAGAACAGCGAAAATAGTTTTCGTGCCAAATGTACAGTTTTCTCTGAAAACACCAATGTAATGTCGTGATTTTTTAAAAGGAAAGCGTTATGAACGACAATAATCATTTTGAACTCTTTTGAATTTTGAATACTGATGACTCGGAAGCACCTGTCAGTAGGGACAGAAGACTATGAGCAGACTTCCAAAACACTTCTTTTGTGCACTGAGAGAGGATTTTAGGAACGTGGTGAGTTTCCATCTCTCTCTGGTTCTTTTGCCTTTTAAACACTTTTAAACCAAGCAGCCGACAGCACAGCCCGCTGAAAATTGGCTGTGCACCTTCCTCAAAAGTGTGCGCTGGCGAGGTTGTGTTCTCTTGTCATCCAAACATCTAAAATCTTTTCCCCCTTCCAAATATAGCTTACATTTAAAAATACGTGCTTTTCACATTCTGTGGGACTCTATGTCATGCTATAAGTATGTAGCTAGGGTAAGTTGTGAATGTTAGAAGGCGAAGCAGTGGTAAAGCACAAGGTTACGTCCTTAAATTCCCCTCCTGAAGCACTGAGGACATGAATAATTTGTTACCTGAAGGCTCTATGAGCCTCAATATTCCTGTGTTCTGGCATTGTCCCATTAAATAGCCTATACAGGCACCAGGCTTTGATGAAAGGAGGACTTGCCATGATCTGTTTGGGATTTAGAAAACCTCTTAGATCAAAGTTGAATCTTTACAAATCTTTAATACCTTCACAGATAAGTTACCCTGTCATTGTCACTAACAGACCCCCCTACCATGACAAGATGTTGGCTTTTGAAATTTTCGTTGGTAACAATCGGGATGGTACGGAGCCCCGCTGGTGACATCCTGTATAAATAAAAATACTGCGTGGCCACAACTTAGTAAGGCGTGAGAAAGAGATCCAAATGCATGGCCACCACGTAGTAAGGCGTGGGAACGAGATCCTAATGCATGGCCACAACTTAGTAAGCCGCGATCTCGTTCCCACGCCTTACTAAGTTGTGGCCACGCATTAGGATCTCAATCCCACGAGTTAACAAGGCATGGCCACGCATTAATTTTATTTATACAGTATGTCACCAGCGGGGCGCCGTAGGATAGTCCTTTTTCTCTTTGGCCAGAGAACAAAACATCAATTATTTCCAAAAACAATCTGAAAGGTAGACTCGTTCTGCACACATTTCCATTTCGCGAGTCCATATCATATGAGCTTTAGCCCAGAAAAGTTGGCAGCGGTTTTGGATGTTGCTAATAGTCTAGAATCTTGCATTTGTAGATACAGCGATGAACTGTGTTTACTGACAAGTTTTTCTAAATTATTCCCAAACCCTTGTGGTTACATTCATTACAGAAGCATGTCGGCTGTCTGAGTGATCTAAGTTCAGTGGCAATCAATATTGATTTTCAGCCTTGCTCTTTACATGCAGAGATTTCTCTGGATTATCTGAATCTTTTAATCCCTGAATTCCATGCAAGTATGTGTTAAGAAATGTTGTTCTTAAACTGTTCAACTATTCACTTATGCAGTTTTTCACAGAGTGGCGGACCTCGAATTAGTTTATGTTTACAAAAATCAATAAAGTTGTGAGGTAAAATATTAAATATCACTTCTTTGTGCTGTTTTCCATTAAATACCTGTAAAAGACAGTTTACAAATCACTGCTTTCTGTTTTTGTTTGCATTTTACCTACTGTCCCAACATTTTTTTGGAATAGGGTTTGTACAACTGCATTCATATTATCGTATAAATGCTCTTGTTGTGATTAAAAAAACAAAAAAAAACCTTTTTCTTCTTCTTTCAAGGATTACAGCAAGTGGGAGCGGAGCAACCGAACTAATGGCTCAAAAACAACTGAACCAAAGCCAGTACACTGGAGCTCATTGCATCCTGATCATAAAGGGGCCAAAGCATCACATGGGCCAAACACAGCAAGTGACAGGGAAACTAATGGATCTCCTAATGCAATAAAACAGACCCAGCCTGAAAAATCTGGTGGGGTCTCATAATTAAATGACCACTCATACAAAATGTAATATGTTTTGACATATTTACATTTTGGTATATACTATCAATATATTAATATACAGTATTGTGTTTTCATATGGGCAGAGAGGCTTGCTTTTTAAAGAGCCCATATGATGGACAACTGAACTTTACTCACGTTTTTTTTAAATAGAAGATGTTTGATGTAGTATGTCATTATTGCTTTATCAAGTTTTTAAACGTACCATTCACTCCCCAGTCCATACAGTCTATATGGATCATTCTATCGAATCGGTTCAAAGTAAGAGTTGAAAACACATTTTGGACTTTAAACTGGTTTAGACTTTAGATTAAAATCCTTTTGCTTTGAATGACCCTTATTTATGTTTACTTGATTATAATTAAATATTAAACATTCCATTCTCACTAAAAAAAACATAATCATAATACTACAGAAACTTTACCACTTGTTATGGTTGTGACCATTTTAGCCAATCTAAAAAGCATGACTAAAACACACAGCAGGGGTGTGGCTAAAATAAGGCTCTTCCTATAGACTAAAGCTCTGTGTTTCAGTAGAGACATGAAAACGTTAGACAGCATTTTTTGAATAAGGTTTTTCTATTTAAATATTAAACTCATGATTTACTGTAAAAATGCACTTGAACTAGTTTTATTCAACTGAAGAAATAACATAAATTACAAGAATCGTTCATTTAAAGTATTTATTTAGGTTGAATAAGACTAGTTAATTTACTTTTTACCACATTAAGTAATTTTTTAGGTTGAACTGATGAGCGATTTTTCACAGTGTAGATGTAAATCTTTCAATTTCATTTTAAAAGAAATACAAATGATCTTATGAAAAAAATAATACAGTTAATAAAATAATAAAATAAAATAAAAAAATTAGGAATTTTTTTCACAAGTTAAAATTTAGGGGTTAGGGTTTGGGACAGCCACCGTCCAATAGATAGCACCCTATAAATAATGATTATATATGTATTTAGCGTTTTACCATCTAAATTAATGTTTTTGGTTTATATAGATAATAACATAATACTTGTCTGAATCTAAAGTCTGAATACTTAATATTTTGCTTACTCAGTGAGACACCATACAAGACAGCCAATCAGAATGGGGATCATTTACATATGTACATCTTAAAGGCACATTTTCAATCTGTTTAAAAAAAATAAATTATGACATTCATTTGGTACATAAAACTACACAAAATTTAGGAATGGGCTCTGTAAAATGTTTTCTCTCACTTCTAGTTTCAGTATTGACTTTCTGCTCTCTGTACAGAAAGTTCTCGAGGAAACACTGAGGATTCATCTGCAGCATCTGCTAGACTCTCTAGAAGGATAAAATCTGACAAACGGGAGCAAGATTTAACTCAGATAAATGATAATGTTAAAAAAATGCAGGTGGGTCAAGCATGAGCTAGCATATGAGATTAGTCTGTGTTTTGTTCTATTGTCATGATTTTTAACAGGCTTTGATTGTGCAAATTGCCATTTAGATAGTGATGAAGCTGCAGAGAAGGTCTGTTGAAGATCTGGAAAAGCACTGCGAAGTGCTTCAGGAGACAAACCAGCAGGTGGCCAGAAACATTGAGGACACAGACAGACGTGCTATCTCGATTGCAAGGGAATTCCTCATCCAGCACGAGAAGTTAGGGGTGAGCCATCAGTTGATTTGTACAGAAGAAGAGTGTTTACTTAAATTAATGCTGTTTATATAACTGATAAACACATGGCAAACCTTGAGACAGTTAGCTGGTAGCATGTGACATAAGTGAACATAAGATTGTTACGTTGTCTAAGTGGTAGCTGTACACTTACGTTTATCAATTTATGCTGTGAAACAACCATGTTTAAATCCTGGTTATCGTATAAATTTTAAACATATTACTTTGTGCATTTATAACTAGTTAAATGTGATTGTTTTAAGAATTCATTAACTGCCTTCAACCGATGGAGCAACTGGCAGAATAGGCAGGCCAAAGCTGAGCTGAAGGATGCAGTGGAGGAGGGAGAGAATCATCTCTGTGGTTAGTTGAAAGTCACATTTAATTGCAACCACTTTAATAAATTGCACAAATATTAGATTAAACATTAAAGGACAAAAACTATGCAAGCTTTGCTCATTTTAATCAACATATATTATTTTGATTACACTAATGCAAGTCTAAGTGTAAATTTATGTATAAATAAATTTGACTGGTCAAGTCCTCAAGGAACTGCAGCAAGTCCATGTTTTTGTTCTATCTATTCTAGTTCTGATAAATGTGTTACAAGCTTTAGAAGCTGAGAGTTATTGCTTTTGTTTTGCAGAGCAAATGTATTTACCAGGGCCCAACCGAGATATCAGCTGATGTTGACAATCTACTGTTTTATCAGTATCAGCAAAAAACATTGCAGATGTTGTGCTAACAAGTAGTTACTTTTTTTTTTATTTTTAGAAAAATGGAGGACTGCGTTCATAAACCAGAAAATTACTGCATTTTCCTACCAATCTTCCTCCTCTCCTCCGTGACCCAGAAACTGTTTTTGTAACGCAATCATGCCGGCTGTCCAAATACCATAGGAGACAGGAGAAGCCTCTCCAAACACGTGCCTAAGTGGCTTTAAACAGAGAAGACACTAGTGTATGCTACCTAAGAAGTTTTTTTTAGATTTTAAAGTGACATCACTGCATGCATGCCCAGAGAGGACAGACAAATATGGAGCAATCCAACTATACTTTAAAGTTTGTGTTTTGTTTGTGTTTATATATTCCCTGTGTTGTATATTTTGTATATGGACTAAAATTAAAAACCCTGGAATAGAAAAAAACACGATTGTAAATCGGCTGGCTCTGTGTAGCAGCTGCAAGTAGATACAGGAGCATTAGGGGTGTACTTTCAAGCAAACATTCCAATAAGCTCAGTTTATCAGTAGTCAACATAAAATTTGATGACAGTAAAACTGATTAGCTGTGCAATTTCCCCACTTTCTGCTTGTTCTCTCCATTCCTCATGCTCCCTTCCTCTCATCAGTTCCTCCATGTTCTTTTGGGGTAGGAGAGGAGCAATAGGAAGGGAGGTGACAAGGCAGCCTTGGGTCTCCTTATGCAATGCTACCAGGCTGGGAGGGTGCTTTGGAGGAGAACGCCAACTGCCAGTTCTCTTAGTTCAGCTAACAGATGCCTGTGATGGTTAGTATCACTCGATGATATCGCCAACTCTTAGATGGTTTTGCCATTTAGGAGCCCCATCGTGTTCATACTTTAAAATATCTCCTCTTCCATTTACAACTACGAATATGGAATCATCTAAATGGTTAGAATCTGCACCTCTGACCACATTGTTTCAATGGACTGCAAGGGAGAAGGAATGGACATCAAATTAAAGCATGTTTTTGTAATTGCTGGTCATAATCTTGACTTTTAGGTGTTACTTAGATTTCTACAGCACTCCATCGTATGGCTCAGATGTTTTTTTGGGAGCTGAAATGAAATAGGTGGGCTTGCTGGATGTTCTACAGGACTTGACTGAAGACCAGTATGTCTGCACAGTACATATAATGTCAAATGTAAATAAGTACGCTTCCCAACACTTAGGTCTTCAAGCACAATTAAAGGCAGTGAAGGCCGATCTGGTTAATGCCCAATCAGAGCTTCACGCCCTGAAGACCTATAAAGACAAAGAGTATCCAGTCAAAGCCCTGCAGATTGCTGAAATGAAGAGAGATCTGGTTATGCTCAAGGATGTACTGCAGGTACAGTCAGAGTTCGATATTATTAAACAGACGTTTCACTACATGGCCTCTTGGAGATGTAAGTAATGAAAGAGGATGGGATGGTTGATGATGTAGTGAAATCCTCCTTTTATTAACAATGCTCTCGACACACATTTTCATTTGCTATGGAATGTTTTGAATAATTTATGGGATCTGCACCACAGATCAAGTGGATTTTCTTTTTTGGCAAACACTGTTAGACAGTGTTTTGAAAACCCCTCTCGGAAGCTTCTGACCCATTGGCATTTTTCCTTCTTTTCTTTTTTTAGGATGAATACAAGAATGTGAAGCTCCTGTGTCAGACAGAGATGGCTCGTCTAGAGAGACATCTCCATCAGAAACAACAGGAAGTGCTGTCAGCTGTTGCCAAAGTATTGGACTACAAATAATTAAAAACATTCTGTGTATTCTGTCCAGAAGACAATTATATTGTAAGACAGTTACGTTGTGTGGTTTGTTTTACAGAAAAATGTGTCTCACATCCCTCCAGTTGTAAAACAGATGGCTCTACACAACTACATGATGAAAAAAGAGATTGATAGGCACAAAAAGGTGATCTGTTTATTTCACACAAAAATACAGAATTGAGACATTGAGAATTAGTGCTGCGTATTGGTGTCGTTTTTAATATTAGTGACATTTATAGTTACTTTAGTGTTTAGTAAGTAAAAAGTTAATTTCCTGACTGCTTCAGATAGTGCAGCTACAAATAGTAAGTTTCTTTTCTGGAAATGTGTTTCTGTCTGATTCATGTCCACAATATTGTATAAGATTTGGTGTACTTTTAAAAGAAGCAGAACAAAACAGTCCAATCAGAACAAGGTATGTCAAGTTTTCAAGGCATTCTTTTAAGGTAGAGTACCAACACTGAGAAAGCATGGATTCATTAATATTCTTAATGCAAACTTAAATATCATCTAATGTTGTGATGTTCAGTGCTGTGCAAACATCATTTATTTAATTTGCAGTCAATACAGCCATTAAGTACAATTCATTTTTCAGTGGGAAAAAAAAACAGAAAACTAATAAAAGAAAAGAAAAATTCAGATAAGCAATTAAATATAATATCCAGTTCCATTCTTATTGAGAGATTTTCTCTTAGTTTTATAAACAAATCTGAAGTGATATTTTCCAATCATCTTGTAGATGCTTCCAAAGTTCAATCTTCAAAGTTGGTTGCATTTTATGTATGTAACCATCCAAAAGATCCCAAACACATTCAGTGATGTTGAGGTCTGGGCTTGGGGGTTGTTCATCCCCGGCAGCTTCTTTGTTTGATAAGTATGTCTTGATCTTCTCAGCAGTGTGCTTGGTGTCTTTATCTTGCTGCAGAATCTTTTTTTTCCCAATAATTTCCCAGAAGGTATTGTGTGATGTATTAAACTTTGTACTTATCAGCATTCATGATGCCTTTATAAACAAAAACAAATCACCAACTCCAGATGTTGTTATACATCCCCAAACTTGCACAGATCCTCAATTGGATCTTAGATGTCCAGTATTTGTGTTCTAGTGCTTCCTTTTTTGTGTATATTTCCTTTTCTCAGTAATGGTGTCTTAACAACTACAAATCCTACACACGCATAGCATTGATTTGTCTTCTCACAGTGGAAGAATAGACAGAAACACCTGTGGATTTTTGCAGATCTGATGCAAGCAAGCATCTCTCAGAGATGTGCTGTTTATCTGGTGGTGAAAGTTGTAGTTGTCTAATGTTAATAAGGAGACCCAGTTTATCTTTAAAAACAAATCCAGTTTTAGAAACTTTCACTTTTTTCCCCTTTCCCCGTTTCCTTATGCAAGTGAATTCAATTATTTAATCTTCTCAGAATTGTTTCTTTTAGCTCTTTTAAATCAAAGTCAAAGTATTTATGCTTTTGGGAAAGCACAGGTATTTACTGTCAACAGCTGTACAACACAATATACTATACAATTATAGAATTATAAATAAATATGCATGAATAAGTATGTATATGTGCAGTTACAGTGTATCTATAGCAGTGTCTGCAACCATGACCATAAAAAAACAAAAACCTTTCTTTAATTGACCCATGAAAAATGCACATGAAAATGCACATAGATGCGCATGAGAAAGAAATGTGCATGACAGCTAAGGTGTGTTTGGGTAGTTGCTTTTGTGAATGTTAGTGTCCCTTTAGGAACAGCTTTTTTAGAAGGACACAGCTGTAACTCGTTGGTTTTAAGATTGGGAGGATAGATGGATTTAAAGTGGCAGTAAAGCGCACAAAAGTTAAAGGGTGGACAAAGTAAAGACTAATAGATTTGTTATTATACTGAGTGTTGGAGTCTAATGTGCACTCGTACCAGCGCAACACACACAAACATGCCACCACCACGTCTGCATCACTGCAGTGCTGAGAATGATCCACCACCCAAATAATTCCAGCTTTGTGGGGGTACTGATCATTGAAGAATAGGGTAAAAGGGGGCTAACAAAGTATGCAAAAAAATAGTCTGTAACTGTAGATCTACAACATGCACCTATATGGTAAGGGGAGCTGATAAAATGGACTATGAGTGGAGAAACAAAGAGGTGGTTTAATGTTATGGCTGATCATTGTATGTTTTCCTGCTTTTTTTCTAACACTGAAAACTTGTATTTAAAGGCCATTCTGACTGGATCTTGATTGAAAGGGTGCTCTCTGATCTTTGCTCAGTATTGTATTTGGATAATAATGTGATCAATTTTATAAGAACTATTTTTTCACAGTATCCAGTATTTATGAATCTGTCTCTCCTTCTAGGAAATAATGCAACTGGAGGCTGAGAACAGAAAACTACTAAAGAGTATTCAGGAACTGCAGCTGTCAAGGCCAAACATCAGCAGGGAGGTCTTTCGGGATGTTTTCCCAAAGTCAGATAAGTGAGTACAACTTATGAAGGATGCTTCATTTATGTGGTGGACTGCTAAAACTTGATCCCACATCCACAGAAATGTTCTAGAAAATAATTTCAGTTTTATGCTGAATCATGACCAGTTCTTAGTTGAGATGCTAAGAAAATGTTCCCAGACAGTAGAATGACGGATAAAGCCAGCCAGTTAAAAGGAAGTCCTTTAAGTCTCTGATATTGATATTATTATTAGGTTGGCCTAATCCTGCTTGTATGAACTGATGCATATTTGAAACACTCAGTGCGATTCAATCCCTTAAGAGCCTTCTTCACGGCTGTTTACAAACATGGTGACAACGCACGCCCAAAGACAAATTGGACCCATTAACTGCAGCATTCATAGAATATCCACTTTACAGGAAAGGACTCATGATGATTAATTCAGAGACACTAAAATTACACTAGTTCGCACACAAAAAAGACATGCAAATTAAACATCACAGAGGGCTATTCAACTAGCCGAGCACATTTAGCACAGTCCTTGCACCTTTGCTAGGTTGCTACATATAAGACAAGCCAAGGCAAAACCCTAAGAAGGGAATCCACCTAGTACTTGGAGAGGAAAATTAATGGACTATCGTAAGGCGTGTAATATTACAGCTTTGGAAAAGGCTCCAACTTAAAGATAAATGAAGAGCAGCAGCATGCTGCACATTCATGGAATCCCAGTCGGCCATTAAAGGTTAATAAGGGTTTCACGTTTCCCAACAGCTTGTTCCAAAACACTCTGACATTTTCCTCTTCATGACAATCTCTCATCTCCAAAGAATCAGTAACACTTTAATGCTGGACACCGCAGTTGACAAAGGCTTACATAACCCCTTATGCGACCTATTATACCAAGATGTATTTATGTCAGCCCTTCAATTTGCAGTTCTTTTCCATTGAAAAAGACATTTGTTTGTCTTTTCTCACATCATGTCATACTCAGTTTCTACAAACAGTTTTTATGATAGAGATTTCCATTTCTTCAAGGATAATGGCAACCAGATTTGGGATTTCCTGAATCACTCGTGACAAAGGCTTAAGTTCAGTGTGTGCAGATGGCCTGAGCCCCAGCAGAGACTGTTCGCCTGTTTCCTGTGTTAAACAAAACCGTCCTGGGCCATAATGGCCATGTTTAAGGGCAGATGTTCCATAAAGAGTCTCTGTTTGCATCCTGATTTACAGACTTCATAACCACAGCTGCTAGGACTATCTGCACATTGCCACAGAATAGTGTTTGCGTGTGTGTTCTCTGTTGCGCCCTTGGGGCCCTTTTGAGGAGATACTTTGCTTATTCAATTCTAGATAGTTTGTTCCCTTTTGCGTGATAAGATGCAGCCTCTCTTACTCGCAGGGGAGCTGTCAGATGGTTTATTCTGTCATAGTGGATTACTAATTGTGCTTCTCCACATTGATTTATAGTCAGTGTGCAGTAGTCTATGTGTGGGAAAATGTGTCTTACATACTAGATCCTTTGTTTAGACCATTAATATTTGAGACCATTTGATATGCTTAAAGGGATACTCTTCTTCTGCATCTGTACACACACAGTCAATTACCACAGACCTTAATTTAAACACTTTCCCTGTACTAGTAAAAGAAGAGAAAAACTGTTGACTCAAAACACATTTTTAATGGAAGCCAATGGGCAGGTGCTTTAATAAGCGGTTGAACAGGTGTTTCGATTCAGCAGTTTTTCTGTTCTTTTCAAAGCAAAAGGGAAATTATCCTTAGTGGTAATTGACTGTATGCTACAGATATGCCAGGTAAAGATTAGATTGGTAAGCAATCAATTAGTCATACTGTAAGGTGACTAATAGGCTATATTCACATTACAAGCCTTATTACACAGTTCAGATTTTTGCTCAGATCAGATTTTTCTGCCTAGATGGCCTTGAAACATCCTGCATGCGTACATCCTAATCAATAGCTTCACGTGAATGATTCATGTGCGTCATGAACAACAAATGAATAAACTAACAGCACAAGATCATTTACTCTGAACAGCTCTCAGCTGTTCGTGATTATGGGAGAAGGCAAAAAAGGCCAGCTGCCTTAATGCTTCTGCAGCGTTTACCAATAGAAACTTGAAGCCACTGCAGCGATGCTGCCAACACAGGATGATGACAATATTAACTAGCTTTTGAATTCCCATCTGACGGGTCTCATTAAGGTTGCTTGGTCACGAATCGGTTATATGTATCCTATCAAGGACCACATGTCAAAGTTGCTCAGGATTTATTTAAAAAGATTTTTCACACAGCTCTGAAAACATCAGATCTGTGTCACATTAGGGCAAAAAATTAGATTTTTGCCATTTCAATCTGGTGAACATAGCCATAGATTTAGCAAGGATGACTGAAGGGGATGACAGAGTGCCCCTGACTGAACTGCCCCTTGTTTCCCATTAAAAACACAGTATAAAAGCTACAGTATAAAAACTAAGCTGCTCATTGCCTTGCTTTTTATCATTCTAAAACAGAACAATACAGTTTGTGCATATCTGAATGAAAGCAGCAAACTCCAAGTAGCAGTTTTTGAATGCCACTTTCACAACATTAGCCAAGGTTATATTATCTTGTTAGATCTTATTTAATGTCTCCAGAAGGTTGTTATGCTTAAGCCAACATTAAGCCAAGTCCACAACAAACCTTGCTGATAGCAGCATAATGTTGATTTACTTTCCATTTTTATGGTACAATATAACCATAGCCCAATCATTAATGTAGTGTATTATGTTATAATAAAAAAAATAATCATGGGCGAAGGGTTTTGTGAGGCTCCCATGTTATATTTTAAAATTTGATGTAAGATAAATTGTAATGGTGATGATCACCTAGCAAACACAATTACGTTGTGACAACGTTGTGACAACCTATTGTTTTGGTGACCATAATGTTGAAATGTAATTCCTCAGTAGGTTGTGACATTATTATCTGACAACATTGTGACAGCGTAATGGCAATGTTGTCAGTACGTTGTCACAACCTCCTAGTATTGTCATAAGTCCCATTATGTTGTGCATGGAACTAAATGGAATTTTGTTTGCCTATAGGTAGTCATAACATCATACAGCAACATTACTTAATAATGACGTTGTGACAATGTTGTGACAACCTTGTTCAGACAACGTAAACAGCACCACCTTTTGACAATGTTGTAGCAACATTGTAAAAAAGTAGACAGCATTGTGACAGTGTTGTGTGTTTGCTGGGTAGGGGAGTCCCTTTCTTTTTATCAGAGCTACTGCTCCTTTATATGTCCGTGCAGGGGCCTGTTGAGTAGCCTGTTAGGCCCTTTGCAAGATTTCAGAAGATTTAAACACTAAATGTATGTCATATTATTTCTTATAAGAGCTTGTTTGATTTTTATTGCAGGTGTACCCCAAGTATGGATGTTCACCTCAGTATACAAAGAGAAGAATGGCTGCCTATATGACTGTCACATTTTGGTATGGCAGTAATCTTACCAGAAGAAACACAGCAAACCACTGCACTATACAACACAAGTAATTAAGTTTTTTTAAGCAAGTTTAAGTTTTCCTTGTTGTTTTCTCCTCATTATGTCTGTGGAGTAGGCTCAGTATTAAGCTTTATCACAACTGTTGGAAAATGTAATAAATCTTGTATGACATTTCATCAAATGCTGTCTGTAACTATGTAATATTATGAGTAAACAATAAGGAATATGTTTGGTAGTCTGAACCTAATTCTGTGCACAATGAAAATGTTTTAATTAATGGAGAGTACTGATCCAATCCCTAGAATGTAAAACAAAACCTAAAGGGAGTTCCCAGTTTGTCCTCAGTATTTGTGTATATGTTTAATTACCGATTCTCCAAACTTTTCTTTATCCATGGCTGTGATCATTTATTTGTCCTGTGAACGCAGTAATTCTAACCCCTCTTGTAAATCTCTGTAAACCCTGCAACTGCAGTTTTGGGACATTGTTGTAATTGACTTAAGTATGGGAACGAGCCCGGCTCTGTAAACAGTTAGGGCCTTCATCACCCCTATGCACGGCCGACTGCTTTGATTACTTCTGTTGTTTCAGTTGGAAAAGATTCAGCTGAGCCTCAGAGAATACAGTTTCCTGGTAAGGCCTGCTGGAGCTGGACCTCATTGAGAGAGATGTGCTCACTGTCCCTTCATGCATTGAAAAAAGAAACCGTGTTGAAGTTGCTGCCTTCTTTTGAGAAGCATAAAAGTTAATCAGTCTGTTTTTCTTGAATGGTTTGGTGACTGACGCTGTATCTGGCATTACTTCACAGCAGCAATGTCATGAAGGCAAGGTTTGGGTTGAGTGCAACTTGAAACATGAAAGAAAGTGACTAATAGAGAAAGGCTGATAAGGTTTGTGGGGCTTGGAGCAAAGTCGGAGGGCTGAAACTTAACATAATGTTGTTAGAGGGGGATCAAACTGTCCTGAACTCTCAGAGAACCTCTACACCGCACAGATTCAATGACCTAGCGCAATATGAAAAAAATAAAAATAAAAAGCTCTCAGAGGACCTAGGAGACTTGTAACAAGGGGATCTGAAAGCATATCTGTCTGAGTTTATGAATCGAGTGAGTAATATAAACACAATGGGCCATTTCACTAATGTGCTACAGCTAAGGAGCCCACTTGTGTTTTGGCTTCAGCATTAGGATGTAGTGTTGGGTGATACTAATAAAATTCAATATCACAATATTTTCTGAACATATCCTGATATCAGATGATGAGACTGCATTAATATACTGTAGTTAATGAAGCTATGATATTTTTGAACAGGTATTCTATGCTTAGGGGTGAAAAAGGTACAGAGAAACTATACTTACTATAGTTGTATATTTTAAACTAGCAAACATTTTATACATCAAATTAAACTAGAGGAACTGCTGGTGTAGACCATATGAGTTAGGACATTTGACCTGCATTAATATGAGTGCTAACCAATTTATAATGTGAATTCTACTTTCTTACATCAGAGTCACCTAAGTCTTCCAACTGTCCATGCCAATTCAGGAGGCTGGTAGGCATTTACAACAGGTATATCACCCCTGAGAGTATCCCAAATATAGTAACAAAGTACGATTATTACAAAATGTTCCACCTCATCTTTGTGAAAGAATGTAACTTGTTGTTTGGTACATAAGAAAAACTTCAGGGTCTAAGCTGTTTTTCTCTATGGAGAAAATTAACCTCACCAAATGTCAAAATAATTGCATTATGAGACTGTTACAGGGTCAAAATGTGAATATTGCTACATACAAGATAACACTGCCAGACACTGAATTGACATCATAAGACTGGGAACCTCACTAAAATGCCCCACACAAACCAGTAGTGTTTGTGTGGGGCATTTTAGTGTGACAGCAGTGATTTTGAAAAGCGCCATTCATTTTCCCATAGACAATAGCAGCTCAGACACGGTATTCTTTATTTGGGCATATGCGGGCCATCAGGCCCTTGCGACTGATCCAGAATACAGAAGCACGGCTTGTCTTCAATCTTCTTCAGTTCACTTCAGAGCACCAAATGTTGGGCCCCTGGTACAGTAGTGTGCCAAGGGCCCCTCCCAAAAAAATGAAGAAAAAAACAAGTTTATTATGATATTTTTCTTTATGAGGCTGGTTGGGGTGCATTTAATGGTAAAATAGCTAGCAAACAATAAGTTAAGTTGTGCATTTCACTGCAAAAAAATGGTAACCTGGCAAGTGAAAATACCTTAAATCTTCTTAATATATCTAAAATTTCTCATTTTGAGATTGTAACCTTATTTGTAGATTATTTAATTTGTAGGCATTTTTACTTGCTTTAAGAAATTTTGTGGAGTAAAATTATTTCACTATATTGGCGAATAATTTTGCTGGTTTCAAGCATGTTTCTTAAAACACGCAAAAAGATCTGCCAATACAGTGAGATAATTGGACTTATGAAATTGCCTAAAAAACGAATAAATGTCTAAAATAGAGTTAAATAATCTTAAAATAAGTTTACAACAATATGAGAAAATTATGAGAAATATTAGATATATTAACTAGATTTAAGATTTTAAGATTTATCATCACTCTCGCTGTAGTTCAAAAATTATTAGACTTCAACTCGGTTCATTTTTTAAGGCAATAAATGCAATTAGAGGGAAATTCAAAAGAGAAAAAACAAAATATATACAAATTTACTGTCATTTTCAGTTCAAAAAAATGGTTGATTGGAAGTTGGAACACCTATTTAATACCTGCTTTGGTGAGCTCATCATTGGTGTCTCATTTCTTTAGTTGCTTCAATTGCATCAGAAAGAAGTCCCAATTTTTTCTCCCTCAGTGACTGTGGCTGCTTCTGGGACTAACAGTGCTAGCAGTGTGTGTTTTACAGGTTAGCTGCTGGGCTGAGGCTGAACTTTGCTGCATTAAAGTCACAAACACACACACAGACACACTCTCTAAGCTGCTTATCCTACTGGGTTGCGGGTGGTGCTGAAGCCTATCCTAGTGGTCACTGGGTGGAAGGCAGGAAACACCCTGGACAGGTCAACAAAAACAGTGTCTGTTATATTAACTATTAATAAATTGCTTACTAGCTGCATTAAATCAAATCCTGCTTCTTTATGAGCTTTGTGCTTGTTATGAATGACTGCTTACTAGCTAATCGCTAACTAGCAAGCTAGCTTACTTTACTGCAACATACTTACAGTTTGGCACTTTAGGCTCATCTGTTTTCTGAAAGAAACTCGTCGGCAGTTGTCTGCTCCACTAACTGCTCTCTTGGCTGCGTGGCGATTTTTACGAATAGATTTGTGCGCTGGAGGATCTTTTTGCTTTTAGGGGGAGCAGAAAGGGAGAAAGCAGGCAGATAAGCAGATAAAGGACTCAACACAGAGATAAGCCTGGTATAAGATAAGTGTAGTAAGAGCATAACTTACCATAAAAGTTATTAATTACTTCTATTATAACAGAAAGTATCAAAATTGGCAAAATTATAAGCCAAAATCTATTTATTTGCAAGGCTTTTGAAGGGCCCCATCCAAGCAGGTCCCTGGTTAGCCAGGTCCACCATTACCTGCGGTCCGACACCCCTGGGAATGATTAAAACTCAATCCGTACCTCAAGCCCTTCGAGCTTCAAGTACAGCTCGGCTTGACCCATAATCCTTCAAGGTGCATGAAAGACAAGCAACACGACTCTTCCCTGTCCTGGTGGAACGAACTTCCACTGGCTGTCCGAACACCGACTCCCTCGTGGTCTTCAAACGTAGACTGAAGACCCATCTCTTTGTACAGCACTTGAGCACCACTCTAGGTAATTAATATATTCCATCTAGGTAATAATGTATTGCACTTATGCTATGTTTAATTATGTTACTTCCTTTCTAGGCATTAGTGCTGGCTTTTGTTTCTGGTGGTGTCTGAGCTTAACGGTAGTTGGAACCTTTTAGCTAGGATACATTCTCTAAGAGGATAACAAAGCATTTTTGTAAGTTGCTCTGGTTAAGAGAGTCTGTTAAATGCCGTAAATGTGTAAATGTAATTGTCGACATGTCAACGAAATGACGCATGACTTCTGTGGTCTATGTTTAACAAAACTGACATAGCTTGTTTTGATTGGACTGTCCTATTTTCTTCTCTTAAAATTACTCCAGACCATACACAGTATTGTAGACATGAATCACACGTTTTTAGAAAGAAAAAGTACTACTACACCTAAAAAGATGTTGGCAATATATGCTCAAATATCGCTCATCGCGGTATCAGTATCACAGCACACTGGTGTATAGACGTTAGAACAGGATGTGAGCAGCTGGCTTCAAAGTTGTCGTAGAGCGTGTGTTCATATTCTGAAGTACTTCTTGAAAAGTTCTTAACGGCTACTTGTGATTAGCCTTCGCCAGTGCTGAGATTTGAAAGTAAACGTAACTGTACTCGTCAATGTTTTGTCCTCGTGCGTTGCGTGAGCTTCGTGTAGTCAAAGGTGCGAGAGAGAGAGAGAGAGAGAGAGAGAGAGAGAGAGAGAGAGAGAGAGAGAGAGAGAGAGCAACTCCCCTGATTCCACTCCTGAATTTTTAACAGCGTTGTGGAACTTTGCTGGCTGGTTGCTATGACTCCTGGGGTTTAGCATTACATCGTTGTCTCCTACAGGCAACAAAACTGGGAAAGGCGGTGAGAATGGACTGAAACGCGGTCAACACTGACAAAGATACAGGCAAAGCCGACCGAAACGCAGTCAAAAGTGAACGAAGCGCGGTCAAAACTGAGGAAAAGCAGACGTTTAAAAGCGACCGAGGCGCGGACAAAACCCACAGGAAGGCAGCAAAAAGGACCTGAAGCTCAGTCAAAACTAAAAGAAAGTAGCTAGCGAATTCTGAAGAAAGTAGTTCAGACTGAAGAGGGAAAACTAATTCAAACACACGGAAAGGCAGTGAAATCTGAGGTAAAAGCAAATCCAGGCTGGCTGCAAAGCGGTCACAACTGACCAGAGAGCCGTGCTTGGAGATGGAGCAGTGCAGTAAGGAGTAACAGCTGTACTCGCCTCCAGCGCATATTCACTGCAGCGCCTTGGTTGACCTTGTATTGGCACTAGTCGCGCATGGCCTTGCCTGTGAGTAGATCTTCATAATTCAGTGATTTTTTTTTTAGGTGTTGTTAACTAACTTAATCGTTAGACCGTTTTTGTCAGTTTTATTTCACCATAAAAGTTGTTTGAAATTTGGATTTGTGGGCCTGCTAAACTACCAGACTACTTTGTGTGACGTTTTCATGTGCAAAGGAATGCTCACGCTCATAAGATGACGCTAAATACGGAGAGAGAGGGTAAGGAAACGCTGCGGAGAAGAGCGAGCACTCCGATCCCCTCTGCTCACCAGCCGGGCCTGAGAGACAGACAGCTGCCCGTAGAGCCCCGCCACCCTCCTCTCGGCCAGTCCGCTTCCTACCAAGCCGGGGACAAGAGCGTCCACCCGCGGGCCAGCTGGTCCTCAGACTCAGAGGAGTCGGACAGCTCCGGAGCAGAATGCCTCTACCGGGTTGTTCTGTTGGGAGATCACGGCGTGGGGAAGTCCAGCCTGGCCAGCATATTCGCCGGAATACAAGAGAAAGATGCACACAAGCACATAGGAGGTGGGCTGTTTCGAAAACTGGATTTGTTTTTTGACTGTATCCGTAGCTTGGTATCCCGTTTGCGCCATGCAATGGGTCACTCCACATTCATTTATTATTTTAGCTATGGATAGATGAAAACTTCATTAGTCCCTCTGAGCATTGTATTAGGCTACGTTGTTATCATGCTATTCTTTAAAGGAACAGCTCACCAAAAATGAATTTGCAGGATTTAGTAGTATTTACTACTTAACTATCAGCCAAGATATGCTTGGTGTCTTAAGTTTGCTTCTTTAGTTTAGCACTGGTGCTACAATGCTAATGTAGGTACTAAATAGTCCATGTTCATGTGTAAGTCTAGATCAACAGAACTAGGTCTGCTTTGGGTGACAGACGTCTATTATATTTGCCCTGCAGCTCCATTGTAAAACTAAACTTCAAACACGTCTTAACCAATCGACTGCGTTTGGGGTAAGGGGAAAACTGTGTGAAGTAGATTTTTCCGTGCATTTAAGTTATCTGTACATTTTAGCCAAGTCACGTTACTATAATAACCTTGGCTAAACTTCAGGGACTGACTGATAGATTGAACCCTGAATATGCCACATGTAGTGATTGATCTGAAAACATTAATTGTAGTGCAGCATTGATTTCATACAATATACTAATCTATATGTCCTGAGGTGTCTGAAATGCTGTAGCCTATTATTTGAGGGTGTCCTTGCAGTGGACATGGTTATTGTCTGTAATATGTTCCTAGCACTGCTGGATTTGGTCATTGCTTAGGACTGGGCAGAAGCTGACTGAATAAGAAAGAATAGCCGTGGTGGAGTGAGACCCATCATGTGTCCACTCTTCTTCATGTCATGCATCCCAGGGATGCAAGATGGTCTGCTTTGACGGACAGCCTGGATAGAGTTTGATGTACTGTGCTGTCGCTCTGTTTTAAGCTCTCTCAGACCTGCTGTCAGTACTAATGCAGTAACCTTGTTTGCTAGCAAAACACACACTTTACAAAAATGTATGCAGTTGGTAAACTGTACTGACTGGAGATGTCTAAGATCACCTTACAAGATTCTCTTACATGGTTACAGATGTAGGTCACAGATATAAGTGCAGTGACTGGATTATTTATTGATCTGAAGGCAATACATACATTAATTCTTCATTAACAGCCTTATACATTGTGGCCTACGAGTAACTGGACAGTGACACAATTCCTTTCTTTCTGTCCTTCAGAACATTGAATTTGATGTGAAAAAACAATAAAACAATGTACAGTTAAAGTGCAGAACAGCTTTAAGTAGAGAATATTTACAGCTGTATTGGTTGAATCATATTGGAATCACAGTTCTTTTTATACATAGTCCCATAATAAATAATAAATTATCCAAGAATCATGAATTAACATAATCTTAAATGAAATCATCATGCTTAATTTAAATCCTTTGCAGTCGATTAATGCCTTTTGCAGCCCACAGACAAGATATCCTCCCCTGGTGGTGCTCTACCAGGCCTGAAATCCAGCTATATTTCAGTTTCTGCTTGTTTCAAGGCTTTTTACCCTCAGTTTTAAGTATGTGAAATGCATGCTCGGGGGTTCAGGTAAAGTGTTTTACTAACCCAGACAAGAATATTCCACTTTTTGGTCCTGAAAAACTCCACAGTTGCTTTAGTATTATGTTTTCAGTCATAGCTCGAAGGTGAAGTATGTTTCACTGCGTTCTGAGGCATTTGGCTGAGAAGTTAAGATGCAGCTGTACTCTTCAGAATTCATCCTGCTGCTGGCACCAACAATCACTTCGTTAATAAAGGCTAATGAAATAGTTCCACTGGCAGTAATGCAGGCCCATGGCATGTATGTTTAAGAAATGAGGTGGTTTGCTTTGTATCTTGAACAGTTCTTTTTTGCCTCATTTCATCACTCTGGTACAGATTTGTATCATCTTATCTCTTATGTGTCCATAAGACATTGTACATGCATTTAATGCACTTTTTATGTAGCTAGTGGTTTGCATCTTGTGTTGATCCGTTCTTCTCTTCCTGATGGTCTAAATCCTCGATAGTGGTCTGAATCTCTTAACAGTTTTTCTTCATTGACTGAAAGTATTTTTTGTTCATTCACCACAGCAGTCTTCCATGTTTGCTGTTACAGAGCTCAATAGTGTGTTTGTGCTTCTTTGGATATGTTTCTGATTGATTTATTTAGATTGGTTACCTGCATGCTGCATGCATGGTCTGCTTTCCTGCCAGTGAAACATGTTGAAAGATAACAGCAGCAAATGCCATTGCTGCGTCTACACTCTCTAATTCATGAATTAATGATTCAACAACAGCCGGCTGAGAAATATTTGAGCATTCATTGTAAATCCCCTAAATAGGGCACTATGTATAAAAAGAGCTAAAATGGCTATGGTTCACTCAATGTAAGAATAAAAGAAAACAGAAAATGGCAAAAATATCATATCACAACACTTAGACTTTTTCACAACTTTTTTCACTTTTTCACATTATGTATCACAACACACAGACACTATGCACACGGTGCCACATTTGAAAACTGCCATTAAAAACTGTGTACACTGTTTTTTTATTCAATACTTCACTTACTGAACTGCACTAAATACAGTTTAACAGCCCAAAAAATATGCAGTACACAAAATAAGATTTATCAGTGATGATAAAATATTGTCATACTGCCCAACTTTACTTATAACTATTATTTAGTTTGCCTGCACTGTGCCTTTTCATTGAATGTAAGTTAGTACTCTTCTCTTTGACACAGGTTTATCCTTTTCTTTGTTCTGCATGAATCTGCATGGTAAGGCCTTCAGGAGAACATCAAGTATTTGCAAAACAAAAGAAGCGGAGAAAATAATAGAATAGGAGAAAGTGAAGAGTTTTGAATTTTAATTAATATAAACCATCTAATATACACCTAGTTTTCTGTTATCCTAGGTGAAATGGTCCAGGTTTTTAGAGTTGTGTCAACATAAACGACAGCTGCTTGTGTGTGAGTGTGTCTGTGTGTGCATGTATGCATGTGTGTGTGTGTGTATGTCTGTTGACCTGTTATTCCCTAGAGACATGAGCAATGTTTCTATTATTTCTTCTTCCCTTCACCATCTTGCCTCACAAGTAGGAAATCACCAGTCTTCAGTTCCTTCAATGTACAGTTCATTAGTTTCATGTATTCTTGAGTTTTACCATGCTTAGCTTTGATCCTCAGTCACAAAGCTCATCTTCAGTTTGATATTACCAAACAAAATGAGATGCTATCAGAAGTGAAATTTGCATTGGATAAATGGATGGTGAAATTTGCATTTGCGCTCTGCTGATGAGACTCATTTTTATAGATGATTATGACGCAATTTTAATATAGCTGTACTATTTTTAGTTTAATTAGATACAGCACATTTAGAGAGAGTTAACGGATGCTGAGTCACGAACACTGGAATTCATTGTAGCTTCTTTTAATCCTAGTTTAAATTCATACATTGAAGTCATAATGGAATAGCTAGCCTCAGCTGTACCTGTTGTAAGTACGTTGAAGGCTTGACAGGGTGGATTTAAAGTGGAAAAATGAGACAAGGTCTGTTTCACTCTAAAGCAAAGAGTGTTTTCATCTTCTTGTCAAACTAGCCACAAGATCAGCCTAAACTAGACATGGTGCAATGCTTTTTCCACCACTCTGCTCCACATTCATTCTTCATGGCCATGAATGTGAAAAAATAACGTACCACTCAAGGAGATCAGGGATAAGCACATCAACACTAACATAAACGGGGTGCCTTTTGGTCGGAGCTTTATCAACTGTGTCATCTGTTTGAACAGTTGAACCATAGCAGTGGCACTGCAAAGGTCTTTACAGCAACATTTTGGTTTGTTTCTTGAAACACTTCTACATTTGGGTTAAGGCTATTGCTGTTGGTTACATAAGTGATTGACTAATCTATTGATTATTGCTTTAAAAAAAGTAAAAGTGATTTACTTGGCCATTTAAGAACATTCCACTTTTTGGCCCTGAAAAACTCCACAGTTGCGTAGTATTATGTTTTGAATCATTGTACTGCTAAAAGGCCAAGTGCCTTTCACTGAGTTCTGAGGAATTTGATTGGATCTGAGCAGTTAAGATGCTGCTGTTTTCTTCAGAATTTATCCTGCTGCTAGCATCACCAGTCACATCATTAATAAAGACAAATTAAATAGATCCACTGGCAGTCACAGGCCCTGTTCACACTTGGTATTAACATCCGTCTCGAGTGATCTGATCATACGTGGGCAAGACCATGTCCGGTCGCACCTCACACTTCAATGCGTCACAAGTCTCCAGTTATCAGATTTTGTGACTGGAGGATGGGTACAGCCCAACATGTACTACATCAGTCTCTCACTTCATTTGTTGTCAGAATAAAAGTCCATGTTGGTGTAAATGAAACGGCTGTTACAGAAGTTTAGACCACTTAAACAACTAATGTGACATGTAAACAAATGGTAGAAGAGATGAAAAATTAAGCTATGCAGCGTGATGACGCAGCTAATTAAGGCGTTTCTTTTGTCGCAGTCGAAGACACATCAAGGCACTTTAGCGTTCACACTGCAAATATGTGAGTATAGGACCACCTCCGAAGGTGATTTGAGTGATCAAATCACAATGGCCTTGTTCAGACTGCCAGCCCAAATCCGATTTTGGCATATCCATATTGTATCCAGATTGATTATTGATAGTTTGGACAGCCAAAATACACTTTAAATCTAATTTCTGCAAATCAGATCCAAACCACATTTGGAGGTATTTTGAAATCCGATTTCGATTAGATTTTTACAGATTCATCTCAGTCTGGACGCTCTGGATGCTCGAATCAGATTTCAAAGTGTCTTTTGCATCATTCACAACACAATAAACAACCACAATGTCAAATCCAGAGAGTCAAAAGTGCTGGAATTCAAGAAGAGTGCGAAAAATTCATGCTTATGGCAGAGAATTTTGAAGGGTTTGGTGGGCGAGATGATGCACTGCCATTTCTCCTGCATTTGTGTTTGAAATCCACATCACCAGCATAGCTACGTAGTTACTGATGCCTACGTCGTTACCACAGCAACCTATGCAGATAGGTTGGTGATGTCTGGACATACAAATTTGATCTGATCACTTGCAAATAATGGTGCGGGCAAGAGATCTGATTAGAGAAACAAATCCAATTGACCTGCAATCTAAACATAGCCAATGTGTCTCCAAGACACATTGTACCCCGTTCACACCTGTACTTAGCACTGTCCACTTATGACTGGATCACCCAGGACGCATGTTAATGACAAGTCTGAGAGTGGCCTAGAGGCCCACACCAGGATGTTTCAGACTTTGTGCTAGAACTCTGCAGGCTTTTTCTAACCTCTCTAGTGCATGAATTTATAATGCAACAACACAAAGTTCTCCAAGAAACATCTGAGCATCCACTGTCCAATTACGTATCAAAAAGTGAAAGGGAGGCCATATACGAAAAGGGCGGAAAAGGCTATGAATCCTATTATTCACTCAATTTCACATTTATATAACCTTATAGTCACTGTTTCTATATATTGAGCCATGTTTTAAACTTTTAACTCATCTCTTTCTTTTTTGACATTTTTTTTTAATCTGCAGAAAGGCTAAAGCCATCAGGAGAACATAACTTAACTGCAAGCTCAAGACATGGACAAAGCAATAGAATAGGATAAAATGGAAGAGTTTGAGTATTTAATCTAATATAGACCTTTATATAGATCTAGTTCTCTAGGACTTAACTGAGTGATAACAAACCATGCATAGCCTTTTAACGTTTCCATGATATTTCAAAGGATAAACTTTGAAAAGAAAGAAAAATAACAATAATGGACCGTAATGTTGTGAATGGATATTTGACAGAGAGTTTCTGTTTTTCATCTTTAGAGGACACATATGAAAGAACACTAACAGTGGATGGAGAAGAGACCACGCTTGTTGTAATGGACACATGGGAAACAGAGAAGCAGGTATGAAAAAACTCCAAAAAAAGAAACATTTTAGCACACACCCAACATCATCTGTAGATTGAAAAAATAAAGCATAACCTACTTTATAAACTATAGACCAAGTAAAAAAAAAACATCCAAAGGCATTTGGTCCCCACACATAGATTTGCGTGTATCTGAGCTGCAAGCTTGCTGTTGACAACAAACAACACCCTCACTTAAAGGCCACAATGCCCTTCCCACAGTGAATGTTGTGGAAAAACATGGCCACTGAGCGCCACTGGCCAAACTCCATTGACAGTAGCTGAAGTGGAGTGGGCTGGAGTCCAGCAGAGATTGGACAGAACGCTCTGGGCCCCCGCCGAGCACCTCCACACACCAGAGGACACTGATGGCTTTGGGACCTAATTACACCAATATTGATCACACGGCTCTATGCAAACTCCCACTGAGGGCTCCAAGGCAGCTCAGCTTGGCCTTAGTGGTTGTTTACAAGGTTGAACAAAAAACTGACCCCGTCTTGTTAGGTTTGGGAGAAAAAAAATATTTCTGTAAAAAAACATGGGGCTACGTGTCGATATTGTATGATTTAATTCTTAATGTTTAATGTGTAGCTCTGATGAAAGTCTGTTAACTGAAATGTATGCAACCCTGTTTCAAAATGTTGACCTGAAATCAAAATGGATCTTTTTTACCTTTGTTAGTTCTTGATCTTGGTCATTTTAAGCACAATCCATCCATCCATCATCTAAACCGCTTATCCTTCTGGGTCGCGGTGGGGTGCTGGAGCCTATCCCAGCTGTCATTGGGTGAAAGGCAGGATACACCCTGGACAGGTCACCAGTCCATCGCAGGGCATTTAAGCACAATCCATGTTATATAATTTAAAAGACAAAACTATTGTTTCTGCGTAATCTTTGAACAAAGTGTAATGACTTTTGCACATGTCTAAACGCCATCTGACATTTGACTGCATCACTGGCCGGGAAAAAAATATACAAACCAGTAATATCTTACCTTGTTTTTCCTCCCCCGCCCACTCTTACCACCCTGACCTGTCATTGACCGAAAACACTAATTACCACCTCCGCTCACGGCTACACATACACAGCTCCAGTTGGTTAGCCTGCTGCTGACGTAACTTGATTTACTGTCTGATTTTCACTTTTTTTTTACCGGTTGTCAGAATAGTTACTTATAAGTTATTTTATTTTGTGTAGGCTGTCGATCTGTGTTCATCGTACCACAAGGGAGGTACTTCAAATATCTGTCAGTATTTGCCCTGTTTTCTAAAGTTTTCTACTGCACTGCAATGCTGTGAGGAGGATCAGCTGATGATGAAGGCAACATGCACAGTCTGTCTCTTGCTCACACACAGTAGTTAGTTACACTCGTACACTGATTTATTTTAATAATAACCTAATTTTTTTCCAAAAGTCATTTTCTCTTGCTTTTACGCCAAAACGTAAGAAAAGCAGGAACAACGCAGATGCTAAAAGGTTACTCTAGTGCTTCACCTCATCTATGTGTCTTGAAAAGGTTTTCGTACTGCAATCCTGAAGAATAAAGTCATGTCCTGCACACAGTTACTTCCCACCTGAATGTTCTGTTTTACGTCACATTATGAAAGAAAAAAGTGTTTTGATTCACATTGGCTTCAATTTCACTATGCACTTCAGTACTATGACTTTTTTTATTTCAGCTAAGATTTTTAATTTTGTGGCCTTGGGCCCTTTTTTCTTTTGTAGTAGCAGTTGGACAACATAGTAGATAACTCCATTGCCTTGCAGACAGGAGATTTGATTTGATGGTTTGATTCCCCATCCAAGGAGGAATGCAGGAATGATATATGAAGAAGAGATCTTGGGCTACACACCTAATGTCATATTTACCTAGCATTTTAGAGCATCTTCTAGGAAGCGTTTTGAATTTGAAAAATAATTTTACTGAAATGAACATAGCCACAGGTAAAACTTGTTTTTCTTCTAGAGACGTAATTTGCAGTCAAAAGTACTAAATTGCAATATACCGCAAGATGTATTATCTAGGTCTGGAAGATTATTAATTCTATCACTAAACATGTGACTGCACATAATATGCAACTATTATTTATTATTATTTAAAAAGCTATTTGTAAAATAAGCTGTCTATTAGATATGTTTTCCAAACATTGACTTTTGTCGTTGTTCAAGCATTGCCATCGGGTTATATGTGAGTCATCATTCATAACTGATTATATCAACCTGTCGCCCAGCTGTAGTCATATCACAATACTTTGCATATCACAAATCTTTAAAAATTACAACAGAACCTTATCTTTGCTCAAATATCACGATAATATCAGATCATGAGGCATCTAATAATTCTCACCTCTGCCATTCTGATTAACTGATATTTTGTACCTGAATTAACAACTCTTATCACATTATGCTACTCACGTTTTATTTTCTACCTCACTAGAACTTGTGATGAACAGTGGGTACTGTGCTATAAACTGCTATGTGTGAGTATTTCTTTTTTCTGTCTGTGATTCACAGGAGGAGGATGAGAAGTGGGTACAGGATTACTGCATGCAGGTGGGCAACGCTTATGTCATTGTTTACTCCATCACTGACCGCAGCAGCTTCGAAAGTGCATCAGAGCTACGCATCCAGCTGCGACGAATCCGCCAGGCCGAGAACATTCCTATCATCCTTGTGGGCAATAAGAGTGACTTGGTGCGCTGTCGAGAAGTGGCAGTGGAAGGTAAGCAAGCAGCACAACACATGAACAGGTTTGTCCTACTGAAACAGCACTTCTTTAAGTTTCTTGAAGTAATATGCCGCTATGTGTAGATGCTGAATTCTGCCGGTAATCGCTAATGCAAAATGTGTATTTTGGATAATGAATTCTTCACTCAATTAAATCTTAACAATTTCCTGTAATTCATTCTTTCAGAGATGGGAGTAGTATTCCAAACGAAAGAACTTGTGTTAATATGTGGGTGGAGTTTTCACAGGCTCCTGTCTGATCACACATGGATACAGACAACTTAGAAAAGTAAGCAGGACTGCAGTTGCTCTAGTTTTCAAACGGTAAATAAAACTTTGTAAGGACAGCTTTGGGAATACATTCTCATGCTAAGACATGCATATTGAGAGTGTAATGGCTGTTGAATTAGAGGTGAGCAATATGATGATATTTATCACTGCTGTAACAAAATGTGTCACATTACATCACATGCTTTTCTGAGCATGTTGTGGATGTCAAGAGTACTTAAAGAACATAGTTTTTAGTTTTATTATTAATTTTAGCATTAGTACAGTATTTTTCACTACAGGCTCTACTGGGACTATTTTTATGTTCCAAATAAACTTTGGAAACACTAAATATCTGTGCTGTATACCATATACCATAAAAATGTCTTGAAGTGATGTTACATTTTGCCATACTGGCCACTTCTATTTTGAATTCATGTCATATAGACACATCTTGCGAACGATTATTCGGAATTCAGCAACTGCCCAAAGACTTCTGTTATAAGTAAGTTTGATTAATTGGATTTTCTGTTCTGTTCTGAGTAGAAGAAAATGCACTGAAAATGTTGTTCATCGTAGTTAACAAAACAATGCAATGCAGCAGACAGACATTAGGTTTAAAAAACTATTCCTTGGCTCATACTAGTCGTATGCTAGAGTATCATCTCATGCCTATAAGATGTAACTTGTTGCAAGATGTTTACCAAGAATAACGTGTCTTGCTCTGTTTGCCAGAGGGCCGGGCATGTGCTGTAGTCTTTGACTGCAAGTTCATTGAAACATCGGCCTCACTGCACCATAACGTGCATGAGCTGTTTGAAGGCATTGTAAGGCAGATCCGTCTGCGGCGAGACAGCAAAGAGGCCAACGAACGCCGCCGCTCCATCTACAAGCGCAAGGAAAGCATCACCAAGAAGGCTCGCCGCTTCCTCGACAGGCTGGTGGCCAAGAACAACAAAAAGATGGCCCTAAAAGTGCGCTCAAAATCCTGCCACGACCTCACAGTGCTGTGAGTCTTACCACTCCAAATGTCTCTTCGTCTTCTTCTCTTCATTCCTGAAAGGTTCCGTTCTGTTCTTCATAAAAACCATCAGTTATGGACATTTGTGTTTTGCGTTATTTGTTATTTATTTAAACCCTTTCAAAGATGGAGAATTGGACTATGCACCACTTTCCTGCTCACTCTCTTGAGAATACTTTCAGCTAATAGATCTGAAGAATTGTGTTGAGCTGAGGAGCAGTAAAAATTTTTGGAGTATTTCTTAAACCAAAGGTTTATTACTGTATATCACTAAATAAGTGGGCTTTGTTTTTGTTGGACTTCTATCAGTGTTTGCCTTATCATACTGGGTAGACATCTGGGTTAGGGAACCTAGCTCTAGTTGCTTACTGTTATTTCTACTATTTTCAAAGTAACATAAAAATATGATCCTTTTTCTAATAAAGAAATTCCTTTGTATACACTGATGTCATTTCCTACAAGGAAAACACTGTTCAAAGAGGAACCAAAGGAGAGACCACTGTCTTTGATTTTGAAGTTTTGCACTATGTACGTTGTTTCACTGAACTGACCAGTTCGAATCCCAAATGGCTCTGCATGTTTAAAGCTAAAAAGCTGAAAGGAAAGAAATATCTGCAGACATGCCATTAGGACCTGCCGTATGGATGTGTATTTTATTTCAGGAACACTATGCAACTCTGCATTCTTTCAGAGAACCCTGTCTAGTTTCTTCACAAATTGCTCTATGGTATAAGTGCGAGTGATTAAGAAATGATTGAGAGTTGTTTGTACTTGCTAGGTATAACAAAGAAGAACACTTTATGAACTGAACTCTTTTCTTACGAATTTGTGTCTAAACGTTTGACGAAAAAAGAAGCATTTTGTACAAAGAAATGTTGGTTTGTAAATATACAGAGTTACTGTATGTTCGGAATTTGTTTAATACAATAAATAAAGTAAAAACTGCACATACTGAAATGTATTATTCTCTCACTGGTTTTGGAAGATTATATATCATGATAAAGGATGATACATGGTCTTTTTTGTGCGCTGAAAAGTTTTGGTCACTGGCCGGGAAAAAATTATACAAACCAGTAATATCTTACCTTGTTTTTCCTCCCCCGCCCACTCTTACCACCCTGACCTGTCATTGACCGAAAACACTAATTACCACCTCTAATAATCTGACAGTTAGTCAGATTATTAGAGGATCTATAAAATATGCTTTAAACAGGTATATGCCAAAGTCAATGTTTATATTCTACAGATTTTCTTTTATTGAATTCCAACAATGGATGTACCTTTATTGTGGTGAGGCTACTCAGGCTTGAGCCAAATGCTACAGATTGCTTTGCTACACAGTTACTACGCTTCTCTTCCTTTTTCTCAGAATTACTAGAAATGGCGTGATTTCTTTCTTGATTCCTGAAACCTTGAGTATTAGCTGATACTAATCCAATAGTTTTTCTATAAAAGCTGCTAAGTTTTGCAGCACTTAATTTAATATAAGCATTCACATTACCAGGCTTTATTGATTGATTGATTGATTTGTTGCCTTAACGTGACGCAGACCTGTTTACAAGCAAATCTGATTTTTTTCAAATCAGATTGAGGCACTTTTATACGTGGTCCTAGATGGGATGCATATCCATCTATTCATGGCCGCTTTACCTTAACAGAATTAAAGTTTTTTGTTACATTGTAAAAATAGTTTGTCAGTTCAACCTAAAAAAAATGTATTCATGTGGTAATAAGCAATTTAACTGATTTTGTTCAACTCAAATACTTTGAATGCAGCAATGTAAAGCAAAATTTTAGTTTAGATGAACAAAAGCAATATTTAAAGTTTATTCAATCCTCAAAAACACTTGAACATAACTTCTGCCCTGTTCCAATTTTTAGAGCATAGTTTGTTGTTTACGCACATTGTTCATTTACTTACATGGCGTTATTGATAAAGACGTGCCCATGCGGAACATTTCAGGACGCAGGTTTATTCACATTAATGACAGATTTTAGCTCCTTGCTCACACGAATGTGAACCGTCATGTTAGAAGGATCGGCTCACAAATCAGAATTGATGAGGTTTGTAAATGTAAAGTAAGCTATCGTGCTCAAGCTTTTGAAACACTCTACTTTCCCACAGGAAGAAATACACACCTAACAACCTGAAAAACGCTTTACATTATTACATCATTTCTTGCAAAAAACTTGCATAAGGCTGATTGTTAATAACAAAAGTCATGTTTGATATGTTTCTATCTCTAATTTCATGTATGTCGCATGAAGGCCACTTCCCTAACTTCCCATATCCTGGTGATATGGAAATTTTGTGTATTGTTATTTTATCATTTATATTTATAATCATATTTATTTTTCCATCAAAACTGTAATGTGACAGATCATGTTTCTCTGCTATATAGAGCTGTTTGAGTACTTTCCATTTAGAAAGGCTGTAGCACTTTTTGGACATCTCCCTCTGTAAGATCTGAAATGTGGCAGCATTCCTTTAAAAAACACTCTCATCTCGCCTTCAGTTCAACTCCAGCTCTTTGCCATGCTGTTTGTTTTTGTTGTAAGAGGCACATGAGGGAACTCTGTGACAAATTTGTACGTTAATGCATTATTTTTCCCCACAAAAAGTTTCCAATGTGGGTTTTCACAACATTTCATTATCGTCAAACACACTTTCTGCTAAAGCTGAGTGGAAAAGGTTTTTTCAACATTTAAAAAATATCACAAACAATTTCCGATTCCACAGCCTACAATAGCAGACTTCTTAAAGTGTTAAAACGTGTCGTAAAAAATCATTTGGATAGGAATGTAGCTAGAGTGGCTCTGTGATTTTTCAGGCTGGATTTTCTCCAGGATCAGATCGATACTGATACCTGGTATCTGTAAATTTCTACTTTTTTGTATCCTCAGTGTTCTTTTACTTTTCTTCAAGTATATAATATACAGGTGTATAATTATCAATTGTAAATCATGCATTAGTATTAGAATCCAAACTAAGAACACAGTTTAGTAGATTGCAAGTGATCATGTTAAATTGTTACACTTTTTAGTCATTTACACAAGCAAAATGTATAGCCATTACATCATGCTGGTACTCATTCACATAGTCCAGGCCAGCAATTAGTATGATAATGAGGTGCTCCGATATCTCCTTTGTTTTGAGTGCACGCTGCCTGGATGACCATCCATTGTATTTGTTCTCAGACACAGTCCAGTGGCTTTGAGAGTACTGGCCTACAACAATGGGCAGGGTATCAATGAAACTCTAGTGTTCCAAAAGGCCCACACTGATAGCTCATGGCCGATGCCAAGATCTTTCTTTGTGCGCTGAGAAGTTCTAGTTCCATTCGTCTCAGTTAATCAGATTACACTTTGTGCCAAGATGAACCTGATCAACCTCATTAGAGAACTCCTCCACCAGATAGATCAGCAGATTTCTGAATTAAATTTCCAGACTTAAAGAAAAGTATTATCTCTTAATACCACTATTTATAACGCTGGAGTTAACCTGAAGTTGTGTTTTTTCAATAAAACAGTGTTCCATCTGCATGTTATTGTCCACAGTACCATTTAAGTCACTTGACCTATCCATGCTCCTCCCACAAACTATTCTTTTGTGGCAACTGTTGTAAGATATACCTAAATGTCTGTAATGCCACAATGTTTATTTAGAGCAGCTACATAACATTAATTTTCCAGTTTAAAATGCTTTGCTGCTAAGCTAGACTACCTTGTTTTAGCTATTCAAAACTAGGCAATTTTGAAATTAGTTTTTCACCATGCTAGTTACCCTGGTTGCACGATTGGTTACAAAAAATGCTGTAACACTGTGATCGTACAAAATAAACACATACAACAAATAATTTAAAATGAGCCTCTTACAATCCCAGACTTGCTACGTACTAAGGCTCATTCAGTATTTACATGGACTACAATGCAAACTGGTTATTCTTAGGTTATGGAAGTGTATAGTAAAACTTTGGACCCACCAGTTGGTCCTAGCTATTAAATGAACTCTCAATTTAGGTATTCTGACAGGTTCACTACTGTTCATTACTATATTAAATGGAATTTTTGTCATCATTCTTTAAAGCTTGTCTTGCCGCAATGAAAGTCTGCATTTGAGAGCATAGATTGATCTACTGTCTTTTAAATCAACTGATAACAGACACATATCTCAAAAGCATCAAGCCAATGAAAAAAGCTTCATTTTTTCTATTTAAGTAGTTCATGCACTGCACAATTTTCTTCTGCTTTGACACACTTGACTTGATGATTATGGTATGATAATTTATTATTATCTATTTCATATTTGTCAGCTGAATCAGATAAAACATGATGCTGTCAGAAAGTCTTAGAATGAGAAATATATACCGTAACAGGAAAGATTATCTTAATACCACCCTGCTGAAAAACTGGGCCTGGTTTGTTATTGTTTTTTGTCTGCTTGTTACTGTTAGTGTTGGATGAAATACTGCAAGCAGGTCATTCTGAAATGGACAATGATGAAAGTCAATGTCCATGGGGATGGCCTACTTCTGTAACACTAGGCAGGGCTCCTAACTTAGTGACCAATTTGACACCCACAGTAAATGTAAATGATTACTGACAACATAATACTGTGCATAAATCAGACTTTCATCTCTTCCATTTTCAGTGTTATGTTGCAGTTCTGGCATTTAAGTGATATTTCAGACTAGATTTCTTTTAGAACCAGGTCAGATTTGTTCCTTCTTTGCCTCCGATATCTAACATAGCATTTTCTGCTGGTATCAGCTTGATAAACTTTCTGGGTACTGAGCATCGGATAAGTGCCATCTCGAGCAGAAACAGTTCACTAAGTCATTCATGTTTAGTTCCACAGTTTGGACATCCACTGTCTGTCAGCCCACATGGGCGTGCGTGGGTGTGTTTTTGACGTAGGCAGATGTGTTGGGACAACCATTGCTCAGCACCAGGAGGGGCAGGAAGGGGGCCAGAGGCTGCAACAAGGCCAGCTTCAGAGTGCCGTGCCTGGGTCAGCTCTTTCCACTCGGCCCAGTGGGGGTTGCTGTGGGGGGAGGGGACAGGGCCTGCTGGCTGGAGCTCAGAGCATTGATTTGGTCTGGCTAATGGAAAGAATGCCTCACTCCACGGTCAACCTTTCCCCCAGCTAATTTAGACACTACCAACACCCATACACATGCTCAACACACAAACAAAACCGTCATTTCCGCAGAAACATGGGGGGACTTTATCTCATACAGATGATTTTGTTGAAAAGCTTCCCATACAAGAGTGGGATGTTTAGCAAAGCATAATCTGACAATGTGTGCATGTGTGTTACGACATTGGCAGACATTGATGGTAACAAGTTTCTCCATGCTCCATTTGCTCAAATTTTGATTGATTAGTCTTTCTCTTGGTGATTTCAATTGGAAATACTTTTTACTTCTCTTCATGTATATTTGTGCAGAAAGTAATCAACTTTTTTACTCAGCTCTGCTTTAGCCACTGACATTGAGTTACTTTTCATTGTGTTAGTTCAGGCCCTAGGCTGTTGCTTGAACCTCTCACGTTTGTGCTTTAGCTTTTATATTTAGGAGTAGGAGGAGTTTCTAAACTTTTAGTCTTGGGGGGACCAAATTGCAATGTTGTGGTGGGCTGAGGGCAAAAAACATGGTATAAAAATAAAGAAGGTTTGACTGTAGGACAATATGAAGTTTTGTTTTTTTAAGTTTTATGGACTTTATAACATTACATTTGTTACTAAAATATTACAGGTTATAAGTACAGGTTATCAATTTTTCAGCATCAGAAACAATTACACAGAAAAATAGCCTTAGCAACTACATATAATATTGGATTTTTCAGTATATAGTGTGCCCACTCTTTAATTTTATTATAGCTTCCATTCTTTTCAGGAGACTTTCAGTTTTTTAAATAAATTTGCTGGGATATTTTCCCACATCTCCAAAGATCAGTCCTAGAAGTTAGTTACGTTTTCTGCTTTTTACGAACCAAGTAATGCCAAAACAAAAAATGATAAAATTACGCTGCATTGTAAAATGATCTTTGTTCTCTCATTGGATAAAGGAGAGGGGTTAAGTTAACTTTTTTTTAAGGGGGCCAAATAAAAACATCCTCGTGGGCCACACTTTGGGCAATCCCAGTTTTAGACCAAAATGGTTCTAAAAAGAAAAGATACAGCCAAAGTTCAGTTCCTATACAGGTGGTGGATATACTAAGAAGATCTACTGCTATTCTATAAATTACTCAGTACTTGAGTAGTTTTTCAAACAAGGAACTTTTGTGCTGGAATGTTTGTACTACTATGCCAGTTTTGTTTTTGTTTGTTTGTTTGTATGTTTTGCTAGGCTATTTTTTTGCTAGTTCTAAAAAGCCACGAGTTTGAGCGATGTTTACACCTTTAAAATCTGCTGACTTAAACTACACTGCTTGCCTCAACAGCTTTGTAATGCTACCTTGATTCATATACCAATTTGTTTTACTAAGTAGCATTTAATGTTTCTTCCTCTCATCTCTACTGGCTTCTTGTATAATTTAAACACATTCTTTCCTGCAATGAAGTATATTCCTTTCAAAACAAAAAGACGCCTGTTTCCTTTAAATGGCAACAGCAATTAGGTATTAAGTGTTAGACATGAGATTATAGGGGACAAAGCTACGAGAGTCTTGCAGTAAAACCCAACAACACAACATAAGAGAGAGAGAGAGAGAGCAAGAGAGAGAGAGCACCGAATGGAAAAACTGAATAAGGCCAATGAGGTGGTGGTGCATACAGAAAGATGAACGACCCCGCACTGGTCACACTGACTGGTTCTTGTAACGTGTCAAGAAACTGGCGTCCTCCAGATGTGTGTCATGTTTATACTGTCCAAAGCCTCCCAGGAGATTTACATTTGGCTGCGCTCTACTGGACTGAAGGCAGAGAGAGAGAAGAGGGAGAAAGAGAGAAGAGGGAGAGCAAGAGACACACACAGAGAGAGAGAGAGAGAGAGAGAGAGAGAGAAAGAGAGAGAGACAGAGAGAGCTAATTACGGAAAGTTGGCAGCCAGCAAAGGAGCAAGCAAGCTGTGGCAAGATACAACGGAAAGAATGAGATTAAACCAAGAAAAATGCAAGGTCATAAAGGTTTTTTGTCTTTTTTAAAAAGATTTAAAAACCTTTGTACAACCCTCTTTTCTATATCACATCAGAAGTAAACCTTGTATTTTCTGAATGGTAACTTTTTTCAGGAAAGAAAAAATGTTAATATGTTCAATGTAAATGTCATGAGATTTTATTCTTAAGAAATTTTAAAAAATGGTCAATTCATCATAAAATGGTCACATAATGTAAAAAACTTTATGGATTTTCAACTACAAAAACAAAAATGGTACAAGGCTTTGATATGACAGTGACAATATTCTGCCAATATGTTTACTGTTTTGGGGCTGTATGTTCTTATACAGGCAACAGAAGCTCCATTATATGTTGCTATGTCATTTGGGATGTGAACTGGTCAGTTAATACAGTTCAGCTCATCCTAGGGTCACTGCAGTCCAGCAGGTCAACAGACACTGATCTGTGAGAGCCAGTGTAGTGCATTGATTTTTTTTCACTGCTCGTACTATATGGAGTGAACATTTTCCAGCCTAAGGCGAATGCTTTAAGGTCAAATGTTTGTTCGTCTATCTGTATCCTCACAGGATTGGTGCTATGAAGATCAAAGTAGTGTATGCTCAGCGGAATAAAACACAACCAAATATAGGAATCCAAGACCGTGAGTTCAACTACAGATGGCCACCAGTGTGACTTGTAAATTAACCAAGGTCTAAAATAAATTAACTGTAGGTCTAAAGTATCTGTATGTTTCAGCTGTTAATGACCCATGAATAGCACAGTCTACCACATGTTCAATTGTGGAAAGTGTGAAACAGTCAGTTAGGCCCAAATTCACATAAAGACCTGTCGTAAACTGACTCTTCTCTACTCTACTCTAAACCATATCTAGAAATATAAACAATTTAAACGATTAATTGACAGAGAAGCTAAAACAACTTGCTGACATGCTAACATTTGCTGGGCAACTTCACCAGGCAACATATAATCTAATCTTTCCACTCATGCCATTTTGAGTTACAATAGATTTTCAGGAGTTTCAGTTCCGCCTAACGGTAACACTACGCTCTTAGTGACCGAGACGTCGTGGCCATGACGGAGACAGCATTTACCAAGAGGACATATATGGCAAAAGCATGCTAGGCTGCAGTACTTCATTACACATCACATTAATACGCCTGATTTAGCCAGAACAAGCTGCCAATACATCTTGAATGACGTTGCATGAAATAACAACTTGTATGACTACTGAGTACTTATGTGAAGTTTATTTTAAAGTTTTGACTCAGTAAAATCAGCCTACTCACTTACTTTATCCTAGCCATTTTTACACTCAGCGCGGTCCAAACAACATAAATAATGCCTGGTGACTTCTGGGGAGAGCCCTCATTCAAGTCATTTTGTAATGCTGTTCCAAATTTAACAGTGTGGTTGGTATTACAGTGATTAAGCCTACACAAGGTATTTCATAGAGAGAATGATTACAGTAACCATTGTGCACTGCTCCAAACTAAAGTGTTGAAAAACTTTAAAGGGAAAACTGATGGACAATCCCAAAATGTTTTGCTGTGCTATTGCTGACTGACAAAACTGGTGAAGTTTAGTCCACCATGAAACGGAGAGTTTTGTAGTTTGTATGTGCCCCTCAAGATAGTTGGGCAGCAATCATATTACCTCGCCACACAAACACGCATGAACATCATAAGTGTCATTTTATTCATTCTTGATGACATATTTACTTTAAATATAAAGTAATAAATATAGAGAGCCTTTGTCACATATTTTATATGTTGCACACATGTTAACTAACATACCTATCCAGAATATAATACTGTACTATATCACTGTTTATATTGAATTTCCATTAAATTTGTAATAAGATGTAACTACTTTTAAGTTTTAAATCAAAAGCTCAGATGACTTCTATTTGTCTATAGCTTTTTAATGTTGTGCCAACTTCCCATAGAAAACGTTTTGGGGTTGGTTGGCACAAATGCACAACATGAATTTGGCCATGAGGTAGTATTTGCATGAAATATTTTTGACAATAAGAATTAAATAATTAAGTCATGATTTTAAGATAACAATCCAGAAATTTATAGCAACAGCTCATGGCCTGTTTGGACTTCCGTTTTTTCAGCTAAAATATTCAGCTTTTATGTGCTGCTAGTCAGGTTATATTAATTTATGGTAGTCAAGGGCGGATCGATCCTGAAATATTGATGCTCTTGATCCTGTCATTTCTTTTTGAGAATCGATCCTCACATGACAATATCGATAAAAAGTGTTTTCTTTAAGCTGTAAATACATCTGTATTATTCAACTAATGGTGAAAACATAATGGTCACAAAAAAGGTCATAATTATTAAATGTGTAGGATAGGAAATACTTTTCCTTTCGTCCTCTCTTTCTGTTCTCTCTCTCCCTCACACGCACCTAGGGAGCCATGAGACGCAGTGAATGCTCAAAAATGGCAGATTAGTTATTTCCCTAAACAGACAGTTTGTGGAGTTGCACCTTTTTAAAAGTATCGGGATTACTTGGTGTCCGATCAATAGAAAATTAGTTTGCCTATGATATGTTAGAGACACCAGTAGTATATGTGTATGTTGTATATTGCCTTTTTTTTTACTGGTCAGTTTGTGCTTACAAGTCTACACTCCAGAAAAACCCAGACAGACTGCATTACAATATAATGTAGACCTACCATTGTGTTAAGAGAACGTTCATGTCATAGTATTACATATAAGACCTCAACTACAGCGCAGGCCCTTTTTTATCTGCTATCATTGATTTTGCCTGTTGCCGTAGCCTTGTCTATCCACCAACTAGTGAGCTCTGCCAATTCATTTAATGAGTCAAGATACATTTCAGGAAAAATCAAGGGTAGTTAATAGGAAAGGAAATTTCATTCAACCCCTCTCTTGGATTATTTGGAGGGAATCAGGGGCGTGCAGTGAACATCCACTATGGTTCTCACAGCTCACCACGGACTGTTTGTTCAGTGGTCTTAGGTCCCCCTTGTGGAAGGCGCCGTTAAACCCTCTTATGCAACGAGGCACATTCATGCGCCATAACAGTTTGCCGCCACGGTCTGGAAAGGCGAACGTGGAGCGCGGTGTTGGAGTACAGCATTTAGCGTTTATTTAAAGTAGGAAACGTAGTTATTTTGTGTGAAATACGTGTTTGGTTATTTATAGGAGCATACATTTGTTTCAGGCTACAGAAGAAGAGGGAGAAGGAGATCCAGAGAGCCCTACGTTCACCGTCGTTTGAACGGGGACTCTAGTAGGCCGCATTAGCTAACACGGTAAGGCGGAAAATGTAAGGTAACGTTAGCTATTTTCTGATTATTTGACTACTCACCTATAATATTAAATACATATTTATCTTAAAATACTGCGAACCACTAAAATTGGTTTTGGTAAAGCAGTCCTATTTGCGCGTTTTATTTGTTAGCTAACCTAGCCGGCCTGTCATTAGCCCTTTGCTAACAACACAGCGAACACGAAAATAAAAATGGGACATTACTAGCTAGCTAGTGTCGGTTGCTTGCTATTTTTTATCTGCTATGGTCGATATAGATGTCATACATCATAGTAAATAAGTGAAACGTTGGAGAAAATGGCCAGTTAGATCTGTGAACGTGCTAATTAACGCTTGCATGCTAGCTAGCTATCTAGGTAGGTTAACCTCTTCGCTAGCATACATTTGCAATTTAGCTAGCTCGCTCGCTGTGAGAGAAATGTTAGGCAGCCATCTATAGGCAGTACATTCAGTTTGTCAGCAGTGAGTGAGGAAGTTTTTGAAAGTTAACTTATTAAAGTGTTCTCTGTTGAAACATTGTGTCAGCAATTAATTGTTGTTCCGTGCAGAATTTGTCTCGAACATTAATCTTGTAACGAATCCCTAACAGCACATTCTTTTATCCACTGTTTTACTCGCCAACAGATCACCGACATCATGGCCGACGACTTTGACATCGAAGCAATGCTTGAGGCGCCATTTAAAAAGGTGGGTGTTAAATTAAACACTAAGTTAGCTAACTTTTGCATTCAATTGAAACTGCAATCCAAGCTACGCCTTGTTTTAGTTAGCTAACTCGTTATATGTAGCTAAATAACATGTTTGTTTCTGTCATAGTGGTTTCAATGAATAAATGCCCATCTATCTCTTTTTGTAGACATGCCTATATCTCACCTCTACTCCCATGAATTCCAGTGTGAACTGTCAAAAAAATGAAGGTAGTAATTGCCCCATATATTGATGTACTGTGGTACCCTTGGTTGAAAACACATAGGCTGAATGATATTGGTGCCGACAAAAATAAATGCAGTGGATGCACATGAAATTAAGTGCTGGTATGAAGTCTTTGGAGACTATTCACGCTTTTAAATGCATGGTATTTTTTAGCAGCTATCCTCATGATTTTTCAGTATGTTAGTTACTGAAAGGTTACTGTAGTCTGCATGTCTTATAGAGTAATACTGTAGTAAACGTCTGATTTTTGTTGATGTAAACTTACATTGGCCTAATTGTTAAAATTCTCATTACAGATATTCTGGAGTGGGCTTACAAGCTATTCCACATAGTTTTCATGTTTTACATGGGATTGGAATTGAACAAAGATGAACATAAATTATAACCAGGAGGTTATCAATACTGACACATTTTAAGGGAAATTCATCACTTCATGCATTAAGCATTATGCATGCAGTTGACTTTCATATCAGTGATATGTGGTTGTTTCTTTGGTCTTACTGACAGGAAATGATGGCTCTCTACACAATGCAAGATAGTTTTGTCATTTTTCTACTGAATACAGATGGCCACTTTTGTTTTAAAAAACTTATGCTGATCATTAGGTACATTTTAAAGAACATCTCAACTTTAGATGTTCTTTGGAAGTCGATATTACTAAGCCGTGTGAATCCCTGTTTGCTTCAGGGCGAGATGTGTGACAGAGGTGGCATCGAACTCTTACAATCCACGAAGGCAAATGGGGTGAAGATCACTGGAATGGCATCCACCACTGGAGCTCGCTTAGTGGCTGGCTGCTAGCGTTGCCACTTTGGGTCTTATAGGCACAGATAGCCTTGGTACTGAACCTATCAGGCTGCTGAAAGAATGAAGTCACTGAATATGCCATTTTTACATTCACAGCATAGCACTAGTCTTGACCTATTGACCGTACCACATACGAATTACTAATACTAGTAAGGAAAGAGAAAAATGGCAGCCTTGTGGTTCTAATGGCCCTCTTTTTATTTGTCGTTCTCCCACACATAAGTCTTGTAAAGAACACATATTTAATGATCATATCATATTCTCTTTTGTTCCCATCCCCCCCTTTATCCTTACGACTTGCAATGTTACGCCGTCCTCCTCATGATGTTCTTCTATCGACCCTGCTTAGGATGAGACCAAGTCCATAAGTTCCAATGGCCATGAAGACCGGAGCAAGAAGTAAGTCTTTTTATTTATTTATTTATTAATTATTTAGATTTTAATTTTTGCAGTTCAGAAACAGAAGACATTGTAAATAATTATATACTCAATCTAATCTGTTGTAATTAATTCAGATTAATACATTGAGATGAACGTGTGCATATTGACATGTTAAATCTTGAAATGGAAGGAAAAAGAAGAGCAGGAGTCGTAGCAGGAGTAGGGAGCGAAAGAGAAGCAAGAGTCGTAGCAGGAGTAGGGAGCGAAAGAGAAGCAAGAGTCGGGAACGTAAAAGGACCCGAAGCCGGGACAGGAGTCGGGAGCGTAAGAGGAGCCGGAGCCGCGACAAGAGACGCAGTCGGAGCAAGGAAAGACGCCGCAGCCGTTCAAGGAGCAGAGAGCGTGGAGGCCGCTTCAGAGTGTCCTTGTATGTATGCCGTTCTTTGATTAGGTCTTAGTTGTCATCTATGTATAGCTGCATAAATCTAGCTACTATTACGTGTATTTTAAGTTCTTTCTTTTTTAAGACTAGATTTACTGATCCTTAAAGTATTTTTGATGTGAATACATCTTGAAAAGCAGTTACATCCCCTCCTTTATCCTTACAACTTGCATAAGGTTTTTTTTTGTCTAACTCATTCGTACTCCTAATATGTAATCATTCTTGGTTGGCTCTCCCTGAAGTTGTCAAGTGAGCAAAACATTGTCTGTCCCCCCATTGAACCATACATTTTTATGACAGCCATTAAAAGTAGAGCGATAGTAGTAGCTGCTGAGATAAACCTTGTTTTTAAATCACAGTTCTGGCCTGAAATTTAACGGTGGTTCCAGGGGGAAGACTGGCCCACCACCTGCCATCAAACTAAGGTTTCTATGATACTATTTTTGTTGTGTGTGGGTAGTTGCCTGTTCAGTGTATGAGTCAAAAGGTGGCGATATCTGCTGAAACACTAATAGAAAGCTTTTTCATGTAGCCGTAAAAGGTCAAGAAGCCGCAGCCCTTTCAGAAGAGACAAAAGCCCTATCAGGTAAGCTTGAACCAGCTTGAAATCCTTATCTTACAGTGATAAGTTATTTTTTTTTTTTTTTTTTATTACCCCATTTAATGGATTTTTTTTCCCAATTTTGACTTATTGGTAAATGTATTTGTTTCTAGACAACCCATAGATAACCTTACACCAGAGGAGAGGGATGCACGCACAGTTTTCTGCATGCAGCTTGCTGCCAGAATCCGGCCACGGGACCTGGAAGAGTTCTTCTCTGCTGTGGGAAAAGTCAGTAATTAATTGTTACTTATTTGTCAGCTTCTGGATACTCTTGACTTTTGTTGGCTGTGATATGTACAGTGTTAATCTCTAGTTCTCCATCAACAGGTAAGGGATGTGAGGATGATCTCTGACAGGAACTCCAGGAGATCCAAAGGCATTGCTTACATTGAATTTGTGGAAGCCACCTCTGTGCCTCTGGCAATTGGCCTGTCTGGACAAAGGCTGCTAGGTGTACCAATCATTGTTCAGGCCTCACAGGTAAGTCTTTAGCAAATATTTAAGACCAGTTATGTGTTGTTTTAGCTGTGTATTCTGATGTAGATCTATTTACTCCTATTATTTGTTTCCAGGCTGAAAAGAACAGAGCAGCTGCAACGGCAAACAACCTGCAGAAAGGCAGTGCTGGGCCTATGAGGCTTTATGTTGGCTCACTTCACTTCAATATCACGGAGGACATGCTCAGAGGAATCTTTGAACCATTTGGACGGGTAAAATCTCTCAAGCAATTTGCTTACTTGTCAGTGTACAATTGTACAGTCAATGGCATGTTAAATTTTTTTGTCTTTTTGTTGACCTTCTCTTTCAAATAGATTGATAGTATTCAGCTTATGATGGATACTGAAACAGGGCGATCCAAAGGATATGGCTTTATCACAGTAAGTTAATACTAATGATAATTTTATTGTATGTGTTATATATTCACCAATAATAGTATAATGTTTTAAATATGGGGTGTGTGTGTGTGTGTGTGTGTGTGTGTGTACACATTTATTTATTTGTTGTATTCTTTTTCCTTCCTTTCTTCCCATCCAGTTTGCTGATGCTGAATGTGCTAAGAAAGCCTTGGAGCAGCTAAATGGCTTTGAGCTGGCTGGCAGGCCAATGAAAGTGGGTCATGTGACTGAGCGCACCGATGCCTCCACAGCAAGCTCCTTCCTGGATAATGATGAATTGGAGAGGACTGGCATTGACCTGGGCACTACAGGAAGGCTGCAGCTCATGGCCAGGCTGGCTGAAGGTAAGATTTTATTGCCTAATTAAAATGCTGCTGTCTTTCTCCATTTCCCCATTTCCCCCTCCCCCAAAAGTTTACATTGTCCTAATGACTTGGTTTTTCTCTGTGAATTACTAACATGCAATTTCTTATGTATTTTAAGGTACTGGTCTGCAGATCCCTCCAGCTGCGCAGCAGGCTCTTCAGATGAGTGGCTCCATGGTTGCAATGGCAGCAGCTACAGGTGTGTTTTGAACAGTACAGGATTGGCAATCCCTGTTGACAAAATTACAAGTTGGTCTGGAGATTTTCATGTTCAGTTTGTTCACCATGTTTTGTTCTATTCTAGCGGCTATGAATCCTGGATTAAGTTTCAATATCAGCATGCCCACAAACCAAGCTTTAAATCTACCCTCTCAGCCTATTGCCACACACTGCTTCCAGCTTTCTAACATGTTTGATCCACACTCGTAAGTATCTCTGTAGTGTCACATGTATGGACATATGTAATACATTAGTGAGGTTTTCATTGCGTTATGTTCCTTTTAACACTTTAAATTTAATTTGTCCTTGCTTTCATAGGGAGAATGATCCTGGATGGGATATTGAAATTCAAGATGATGTCATTGAAGAATGTAACAAACATGGCGGCGTTATTCATATATATGTGGACAAGAAATCTACTGAGGTACATGCTTATTTGACAACAACATGGAAGTTAGGAGTCAGTAGTTTTGTCATATACCTGAGTCTCACAGCCATGCTAATACTGAGTGTTTTTGTTTGTAGGGGAATGTATATGTGAAGTGTCCAACCATCCCTGCTGCAATGGCTGCAGTAAGTGCATTACATGGACGTTGGTTTGGAGGTAAGATTTGTAATTGTATGTAAAAGGCGTAAAACAATTTTGTTTACATTGCTTGTGTGTTCTCATCATGCTTTTGTGGTTTTTTATTATTATTATTTTTTAAGCTAAACAATCAAATTTCAGTCAGTTTTACAGTAACCAAATACATGAATACAATGCACAACTTTCAGTCCATCATTCAATTTCAAGTGTCTAAATCTAACAGTTACTAAATGATAACTAGTGCTCTTAACCAGGAGAGAGGAGCTGGTTAGCATTAGCTTGGCTAGCATGCTCACCAAAGAACAGGCTTTGTTCTTCTTTTTGCAAGTTTAGATGATGAGCGCGTTTAGATGCACTTAATCTGATAACTGCAGAAAATAAGATTGTCAGTAATCCAATTAACGCGTTTACATGCTCTTGAGTAGTCAGTTAATGGGGAAACTCTGGGTCTACATGAGTCGGACAGTAATCGAATTTCTGTTTTGCAACCAGCCAGTAAACTCACCGAAGATGTGAAAACTCTAACTTTATGCCGCAGCTGCCTTTTAAAACATCTGTCTGCTTTACCTAAAAATGTATACATACATAATATAGAAGATGAAGAATATTAAAATCCTTTTTGTGTTTGGTTTCAGTGCAGCTCAGTGTTTTGCTGTCATCTCATGGCACCGCTTCTTGCTTATTTCTGTTCCCGCCGTCTGTTTTTGCACATGCGCATACTGAGAAATCCGATAGAAATCAGGAGTATGAGTATACATGCACTGAGAAATCTGATTACTGAGCTAAAATCCAGCTCTCTATCGGATTTCTTAGTCAGATTTCTAAATAGTGTTTACATGACCGTTTGAATAATCGGATAACTGCAGAAATCGGATTAATGAGTGCATGTAAACGCACTCATGGAGTCAAATTTGAGGGAGTGAAGTTGAGCGACTGGAATTGGAAGGACAAAAAGGTGTATTTAACCTGTTCCTAGGTGTTTAGATATGTAGCCTACTAGCTAACGTAACGCTAGCTTAGTGAGCACAGTTAGTCCTGTTTAATTTGAGTAAGTGCCTGAAAGGTGTGTGAAATGGAGAATTTATTTATTTATTTATTTTTAAATATGGTACCAGTGCAGGTTTTGTTTTTTTTAATTTTGGCCCAGCTTATTAGACGTCAGAAAAACCAAACATGATATATTGTGAAAATGTCTTGTATTATTTTTGCCATATTACATTACTTATCTACTTTTGAGTACCAATCTCATTTCATATTATTTTCCACAGGTAAAATGATCAAAGCAGCATATGTCCCCCTGCCAACATACCACAATCTGTTTCCTGAGTCAGTGCAAGCAACGCAGCTTCTTATGCCTACTCGCCGGTGATCTCTTACCTCTGGGGATTATCATTTTTCAGCCTTTCTCTTTTTAACATTTTTGGGTAAAATATTCGTATTGAAATTCTGCAAGCTATGACAGTTCCTTTTTCTTTTTTTTTGTTTCTGTTTAATTGATTTAAGAGGTTCAAGGTTCATGTTCATATGCCCTTCACATTACTTGGGCATTTAAAGAAGGTTCTGTGGTAGTTTTGTATGTACAGCCTTTTTTCTTCCTGTTTTCTTTAGGCCTCTTGACCTTTTATTGTTGATACAATTTTCAGGTTTTTATTTTTATTTCTTCAACATATATTGTCTTTGTGATTGGCATGAATTCCACTTTAGAAAATGTACAGTTAGCCACACACAAAATGAAAATGTTGCATTTTTTTGAATTAATTAAACCCTACAGTTTTGGTTAAATATCTACATATTCAGTGTTTTGGGCTCTATGAGCTGTGGGAACTAAATGGGTGATGAGAGCCTTTGTTCATAGAGACTATATGGTTTCAAAGCATCCTGTTTTTCTAATCAAGATTTGATTTTGTAAAGTCCTTGATGAACAGTTCATTTCAAATAAAGCCATGATACTGGCAAAGGTTTTGGTTTTATTGTCCTGATGTAAGCTGTTACATTAAAACCGGAAAAGCAATTTAACAGAAGTGGAATCGGAAATGTAAAGAAGAGGTCCCTCCTGTTTGTTTCATGACAAGGTATGTGCAACAAATGAAATGTGAAAATAAAAGTATACTGTAAGAGCAAACATGTAGGAGATGACTGACTAAGAGAGAAAATGTTGATGGCTTATTCTCCAAGCTTTTCAGAGCAGCTTTGAAAGCCGCCTCAGGCAAATGAACTTAATAAGGATAAGTAGTGCTGGCCTAGTTATTTTGTAAGAGGAGTCTTGTATAAGACCCAATGCCTTAATTAAAAAAAATAATTAAATTGACATTTGTGTGACATTTAATGTAATGTAATTGATTTTTACATGACAATTTTCCATCTTACCTTTATCCCTTAGAAAGCTTTTCTTACTGTGCCAGATCCATGTAAATGACATGTTCTGATTGGCTGCCTGTATTGTGCTTAATTCAAAAAGCAATCTGGGCTGAAATACCCATTACAATGTTCAACAGGTGGGGCTAAGTAAATGCATTGGTTTTTGTGATAACAATACAAATGAATTCAGAAGGGGTTGTGTTTGTAGCTCAGTGTCCATAAATGGACTGGGGAGTGAACAGTGATTTGAAACTTTTACTATGTTTATATACTATGTCAAACATCAAAAAATAACTTTTTTTTTAGCATGACATGAGTTACGCACATGAGCTTCCAACATCATTGAAGCATTACATTCTAAATAGATTGCTGTTTAATAGGTTACATTTAGTTTATGAACTAGTCTCTGATTTGGGGAGAAGAATACTCTCAGGGTTGGGCTGTTTAAAGGAATTACTGTAATCATGTCCTCTGTCTATATGCTCTATGCTGCAAACTCAGCATCTTGGCCAAGTGCATGGGCTCAGGATGTAGGATCAGATGACTCCATCCTCTAAAGCTGACAGAGCCCTACTTTTCGTTTCATGTAAAGTCCAGACACGCATGTCCACAGTTGCAAGTTGTGTTCTTGTAAAATGCACATTTACATGACATTTTTCTTTATTTAGCAAAATGCGCAAGCACATGTTAAGACTGCAAGTGTACAGACCTGAATCTTGTCTTTGTAGAACAGATAGCAAAATGGTGAATTTAACTTTATTCCCTGATATTTACCCTACATTACTTAAGTTCTGTGATATTTCAGACTGGATTGTTAAAGAACTGGATTGGATTTTTTGTTTTTTTGTTCAATAACCTAGCCACCACAAATTGGTGCCAGAGTCAAAGCTTAATGGAGGATGGTATATTTCCTAATCCTCATGCAGGTGTATTTGTTTGTCCTCAAGATCTTGAAAACTGTTTTCCAGCCTATGCATAGGCACAAAAATTGCCCATAGTTTTTGTCCAAAGAATATATATACAAACCCAATTCCAAAAATGTTGGGACAGCATGTGAAATGCAAATAAAAGCAGTGATTAGTAAATTCTGTTTGACATGTATTAAACAGTACATTAAATTTAAACAGTACAAAAACAAAATGTTTGATGTTGCACCTTATGAACATCATTTTTGTAAATATATGCTCATTCTAGATTTGAGGCCTGCAACATATTCCAAAATAGTTGGGACAGGAGCATGTTTAACACCGTGTTATATCACTTTTCTTTTTACCAACACTGGTAATATAAGATATTGGAGACACCAATTGATCCTGTTTTGAAAGCAGAATTATTTGCCATTGTTCTATTGCACTAGTCTTTATTTTAATTAGAAGACAGATCTGGACTGCAAGCCATGCTGTTGTAACACATTCAGAATGTGATCTGTCACTGTCATGTTGAAGTAAGCATGGATGTCCCTGAAAAAAGACGGCACCGAAAAGACTGCATATGTTGCTCCAAAATGTGTTCTGGTGCCTTCACAACAACTGCCCATCCTGTGCAGTCTGATGCTGTTGCTTCATCTGCCTTGATTGGGTGCCCACTGCTCGCCCGCCTTCTGGACCAGTTTGACCACCATGGAGCTTCCTGCTGTATATAATTTACTCTAATTTTAAAACCTCATTGTCTGTTCATATTGCTCTTTTGTTATTGTTGCTATCCGTTGTTGACCAGAAGAGGATGGGTTCCCCTTTTGAGTTTTGGTTCCTCTCAAGGTTTCTTCCTCTTGCTCTTTCCTTGCCGCCATTCCTTGTCGCCATGGCTTGCTTATGGGGGCTTGGACCCAGATTTTTTAAAGCTGCTTTGCGACAACGCCTGTTGTAAAAAGCGATATGCAAATAAACCTTGACTTGATTTGTCTTCACACATGTGCAGATTACCCATTTAACCCACCCCCCACCCACCCCCACCGCGACAGATCCTGGTTTTTGAACTTTACACTTGTAACAATCGGGATGGCCTCCATTGACCCAAAAACACAACGTCCAATATTTCCATAAATAATCTGAAAGGTCAGATGAGCTTGAGTCCAGAGAAGTCGACAGTGTTTCTGGATGCTGTTGACATATGACTTCCCCTGTGCATAATACAGCCTTAACTTGTGTTTGTGGATGCAGTGACAGACGGTGTTTATTGACAACCATTTTTCACAAGCATTTCTGAGCCCATGCATCATATCTATCACAGAAGCATGCTGGTTTTTGATGCAGTGCTGGCTCTGAGGGGTCAAAGTTCACAGGCATTCATTTGTTGTTTTTGACATTTTCCTTTACACGCAGAGATAGCTCTGTTTTTCCTGAATGTTTTGATTATTATGCACTGTAGAGGGTGAAAAATGTAAAGTCCTTGCAATCGCTAGCTGAAGCACATTATTATTTTAAAAATAATGGATTTTTGGATTGGATTGTTGGATTTTTGGAAGTGGCGAGCCTCGACCCACCTCTAACTCATAAAGGTCTAGGCCTTTCCTGGATGTTCCTTTTATATACAAGCATAATTGCATCACATATTTAAAATTCCCCAACTTTTTTGGAACGTGTTGCTGGCATCAACTTTAGAATTTATTTTTTATTTACAAAAAACAGTGAAGTTGATAAAATAAAACATGACAAATATTTGTACTGTTTTGTTCAAATACAGGTCAAAGTAGGTTTATAAATCACTGCTTTTTGTGTTTGTGAATATACCTTGCAGATGTAAAGTCAGAGACGATAGCTCATCTGTTGCTACACAGTTGGTGTTAATCATCCTCTAGTCCTTCATCAGTGGTCACAGGACGCTGCTGGCTGGATATTTTCAGTTGGTGGACTATTTTCAATCCAGCAGTGATGATGAGGTGTTTAAAAACTCCAGTACCATCTGGAGTACCATCATAACACACACTAACACACCACCGCCACGTCAGTATCACTGCTGCGCCGAGAATGATCCACCACCCAAACAATGCCTGCTTTGTGGTGGTGCTTTGGAGGTCCTGACCATTGAAGAACAGGTTAAAAGGGGGCTAACAAAGTATACAGAGAAACAGATGGGCTAAAGTAATTGTAGATCTACAGAGTGCTTGTATATGCTAAGGGAACCTAATAAAATGCACAATGAGAGTAGGACTAAGAGTACACTGTCTTTTTATGAAAGTGAATGTCTTTTTGAAAAAGTGAAAATATTATTATTATAAATAAATGTATAGGATAGAAACTACTTCTCTTCTAGCCTTTTCTCTCTGCTGCCTCGCACACACACAGGCACGTATTCAATATTAATTCAAAGGCTTTTAAATATTCGTATGTCCACGTACTGATTTTGACTATAGACATCACAACGAAATCCTTTGTGTACATATTTGTACCCGGGGAGGCTTTTAAAACTATCAATATCGTTGGGTAAATACCTTTGGTAGCTATTACTTAGTTTAGGATCGGAAAGCAAATCAATGGTATCATCCATGTCTACTACAGTCTGCGACTCTTATATAGAGCAACGCAGTCTGTTAATCAAAAGTGAAATTTCTATTGGCTGATATTTCAGATTTCCGGTTGAGACGACACGCCTTTTGAATTTTGAACCACTGAATTTCGCTTACGTCAAATCAGCCCGCCTACAATGCAAACATGTAACCAGTCAGAGTTTCGGTTGACAGCGTTTATCCGTCCACAGTACAGTCGCGTCTTGTGTAAGCGCCGCTCTCTGGGCGCTCTGGGTGAAGCGAGTCGAATTTAGTGTGTCATGCGCTCTGTGCTGGCGCTATTTGGATAACGGCAGTACTTAGCTGCAGGGAAACTTTATTTCCTGCGAGTGACTATTAACAACCCACTTGTAATTTTTCTGTCGCGAATAAACCAGTCGTTGCTTAATGATGATGAGCAAGAACGTTACGAGGACGCTTTTGAGCTCCATACGTGGGATTTCTTCAAGCCTTCGCCTGAATTACCCGCAGAGTTCTGTCAGTGCCTCGAAGAGAGATAGAGGTAACTAGCTAGCTGGAGTAATTTACTAGAAAATCCCTTAAAAGCCATGCGGTAGCTGTAATCTCCTCTCTCCTCATGACGCACTTCAATTTGTTCAACGTGCTGTTGCTAGCCTCTGCTAGCTACCTTGCTAACTCGCTAGCCTGAGTTAGCTCGATAACAGTTAGCTAGCCTCTCGACTTTTGTTTAATGACATAAGCTGAAAGTGTTTTCAACGAGAAGGAAGCTGTTTGTTAACTTACCAGTTTTATTGAATATGTGAAGACTAAACTGCTGCTTTTGAATGACTTACTTGTCACTCATACTGCCTCCACAGAGGTGATCAAAAGTAGGGAGCTGGAGAAAGATGAGCTCCGACCGCTGTACATGGACTTTCAGGCAACAACACCGATGGTAATGTATTTTCTGTAATGGCCATAACTATTTTTTTTAAACCAGAGGTAGGTTAGTAAAGTAGTCTAGCAGAAAACAACTTGAGAAGGAGTAAAAAAAGTACCAGGTCATCGTATTACATACAGCATCTATCGGCAAAGGAAATTTGAGGGACGCTCCGACCGAAATGAAAAATTTAACCTCGCTGTATTTGTTGTAAACATGCCTATTCAGCTCCTAAAACAGTGCCACTATAGTATCTAAAACTAGACACCCTGGTTTAAAGGCTAGGAACCCCCCTTTTGGTGGGGGTGTATATTCAAGGTGGAAGTACATTTTGAAAGACTACAAATGAGATGGATACTTTCAGGAGGGCTGTTTGATTTTCTCTTTTTGTCGCTCTTTCTTTTTTTATCTCTCTTTCTTTTTGTGTCGCTCTTTCTTTCTCTCTTTTAACAGAAGTTTGATGACCAATATCACTAACGCTAGCTCGCACCACAGATGTGTATGTATTAGCTTTTAGATCTATGGCCAGTAATCACGATTTGTTGAGTACTCTGGATTCCCAGTAGTTGTGGGATGTGTTTGCATAATGCATGGTGGGTATTGTGCAGTTGTATTGAGTGAACGTTGATGGACTGTTAATTGGGTTTCTGTAAAACCAGTGTGCATCAGGGGTGCAATTGCTACACTTCAGAATACGTCATAACATAACAAATAACATTTATGCTAGTTTTAGGCCGAAATACCCCTGTAAGATTGTTATGGCCTATTGTTTTTGATGCAATTGTTCTGAAATAAAATGCTAAACCCTAAATCAGAGTTGTGAGCAACCTGAAAACAGTACAGCGCTGTCACCAAAAACATTAATTAAACATTTAAAAATTAATTAGTAACTAAATGTTAATGGCCAAAATGTCACTTAGGTCAAAAAGTAGATAACTTTCAGATTTACATGAGTATTGGAAAAAGTATTATTTCAAAATATTCCCCATAATCCATGTTTTGTTTTTTTTTTTTACTTAAGTACATGTAACTAGTTACGATTATTTCTGCTCACCTCTGCTTAAAACCAAAAATGTGTGAATTAGATGTTAAACGGTTAGAGTAGAAACTTTTTCATACAGGTAGATATGGTTTTTCTCAGATACATTTTAGTGTTGGAATAATGTCTGCTGTCAGTAGAGAAAACATTTCAGTACTCTTGGGTGGCTTGTGCAACTCATCTGATTATAACGTGATTGGGAGCTGAGTCATGTTTGGTTGTCATTGTTTTCAAGTACAATATTGTTTATTTCTGCCTCTGCAGGATCCCAGAGTTCTGGATGCTATGCTCCCTTACCAAGTGAACTACTATGGCAATCCACACTCTAGGACACATGCTTATGGGTGGGAAAGTGAGGCTGCAATGGAAAAAGCGAGAAAAGTTAGTTAATTGCATCCCGAAATGGTTGTTTTTGTTGGCCATCTCTGCAAATAGTTTCTTTACTTCTTTGTTTCACCATTACATTGGTTTTGAATAAATAGCTGTGCTTTGCTTATGCAGTCCAAAGCAAAATATTTTGGTTAAGCCAAAAATGCATTGCTTATGTAAACATCGTTGTTTATTTCCACTTCCAGCAAGTAGCAGATCTTATTGGGGCTGATCCACGAGAAATTGTGTTTACTAGTGGTGCCACAGAGTCCAACAATATGTCAATCAAAGTAAGTATTTTCTAACTTTCTAGCAAGAGAAGGAGTATGACGTGAGGTTAAATGTTATTTTGGACATGCATAAAGCAGCATATTGTTTAAGAATTACAGTCAAGTACAGGCTAAATGTATCAAATACAGTCATGGGACAGGGAATGACTATATTTTACAACGTTCTGTCTTGTCCCCAGGGTGTGGCCCGCTTCTATAAGGCCAAGAAGAAGCATGTCATCACCACACAGATCGAGCATAAGTGTGTGCTGGACTCCTGTCGTGTCCTAGAGTCTGAGGGCTTTGAAGTAACATACCTACCTGTGAAAAGCAATGGTCTAATTGACCTCCAGGTATGATTTATTGCCTCTAAGAAGAACAAATGATATGTCCTTGATCTTTGTGTCTGTTTTTGGTGCTGGCAATGCTATTTTAGGTAAGAAGTAGGTACACACTGTTTAAAATGTTTACTCTTTTCCAGCATATTTCGACAAACAGATACCCAGTCTTTATTTAAACATTGTTGTTAGATAAAACCAATAATTTATTTAATTTAGGTGTCAGTTCTTAAATTGTAACATTTTTATCATCGTTTTTTATGCTGCTGTCGGTTTTGTTTTTTGTTTTTATTTTGTAATATTTATCTATACATATGGCTTAACTGAAGATCAAATACTGATATGTTCACATGACAAAAAAGGAAACATTTCATGGGGTGTACTTACTTTTTAGCACAGCTTAACTGAAGATGTTCACGTCAAAAAGGGAAACATTTTATGGGGTGTACTTACTTTTTAGCATGACTGTAGGGCATGTCACTTGTCATGACACATTTCAAGTTCATTCTTCAACTTATTCAAAATCAGAGATAGATTATGACATTGTGGGTTCTCACTGCTCTCTTTATTCTGCTTTTTCAGCAACTAGATGAAACAATACGTCCAGATACCAGCTTGGTGTCTATCATGATGGTTAACAATGAGATTGGAGTCAAACAGCCAATTGAAGAGATAGGTAATTCTCCACAACTTTCAGTTGTACGCTATAATTAGCTGTACAACATTCAGAATAGGGCACTTTATTGGCCTGATATTCTCATGTTTTCTCTGATAGGTCACATCTGTAGGTCCAAGAATGTGTTCTTCCACACTGATGCAGCCCAAGCTATTGGAAAAATCCCCATCAATGTCTCTGACTTAAAAGTGGATTTGATGTCCATTAGTGGTCACAAAATATATGGCCCCAAAGGTATCACATGCCTTTTGTTAATAGTGCTCATCTAAAGACAGTAAATCTTTGATGAAGAGAAAATGTAAGCATTCTGGGCAATATTGATACCAACATGTTTTTTAAATGATGTGATGGATACATAGGAGTGTCTGTTTGTGAGTCTGAATGCTGTTGCCAGGTGTCGGGGCTCTGTATGTAAGGAGGAGGCCAAGGGTTCGCATCGAGCCGCTGCAGAGCGGAGGGGGACAGGAGAGAGGGCTGCGCTCAGGCACAGTACCCACCCCCTTGGCTGTGGGACTGGGGGCTGCCTGTGAGCTTGCCCAGCAAGAGATGGAGGTAGAACATCTGAATTACTTATTGGTGGCTGTAGTGTACCTAAAAACTTCAACACTTTTCTAAATAATTTTTCAACAGCAAAATTTACAGGAGTAAATTCTGCTCAATAAATAAGTAGTAGATGATGTGTGGCCACTGCAGTTATATCACACCTTACAGCAACATTCAAAACGAATTGGCTCATTTTAGAGAGCAACAGCTCATTAAACCAGGACTCTGCGCTGACACACACACACATGTGCCAGCCACTTCATAAAGTACACCTCCTTGTTTCTCCTCTCATTTATTTTATGATTCATGTATTTCTTGTTTATTTGTCTATATAGGATTTGCAGTTGTACAATTGCACACTGTAGTCCATCTGTTTCTTTGCATACTTTGTTAGCCCCCTTTTATCCTGTTCTTCAATGGTCAGGACCCACACAGGACCAACATATAGCAGGTATTATTTAGGTGTGAATCATTCTCAGCACTGCAGTGACACTGATGTGGTGGTGGCGTGTTAGTGTGTGTTATGCTGGTATGAGTAGATCAGAAACAACAGTGCTGCTGGAGTTTTTAAACACATGTGGGCAGCATCCTGTTACCACTCATGAAGCAATGGAGGATGATTAACACAAACCGTGCAGCAACACATGAACTATTGTCTTTGACTTTACATCCACTAAGTGGGTTTGATAGAGTGGACAGTGAATGGACACTGTTTAAAAACCCCAGCAGCACTGCTGTGTCTGATGCCCTTGTGCAACACATACTAACACACCACTACCACGTCAGTGTCACTGCAGTGCTGAGAATGATCCACCACCCAAATAATACCTGCTCTTTGGGGATCCTGAGCTTTGAAGAACAGGGTAAAAGGGGGCTAACAAAGTATGCAGAGAAACAGATGGACTATATTCTTTAACTGTAGAATTACAAAGCACACCTATATGGTAAATGGACCTGATAAAATGGACAAAGCGTGTAGATACAAGGTAAGTGTACTTACCTTGTAATGAAGTAGGCAGTCGGTGTAAATCCAGTCACAGTGCGCACTCAAGCTACACACAGCTACACTTGTCTTTTGAATGCGTATACAGACAACATCCAGATACAGGATGCATTTTAATGCCAAGTGTATAAAGGTTTGCATAACTCTTAAGCATTTGTTTACATATTTTCAGGAATTATATTTCTAGCCTAGTTGTGTAAGATTTGCCATTGTTAGCAGGCTTCTAAAATTGGTAACAAATCATCTTATGATATAAAACTAAATAAATAACCCCTTTTTCCAGTATGACCATGCCCGAGTGTCTGTGCTTGCTAATCGCCTTGTGCAGAAGATAATGTCTGAGATTCCAGATGTTGTGATGAATGGAGATCCAGAACAGAGATACCCCGGTGAGACATATTGGCCCTTATTCAGTTTCTCAGTGTAAAAAACAGCACCTTTAATGATGCACAAACTAGTCCCCGTCTGATTCATGAAACCTCTCTACAACGTGGAAAAAGGCGGAAATTTGAGTGATAAATCTTCAATGCATGACATCAAGCGCCAGCCTACTAGTAATCATTTACATACAGTTTACATGACGTACGCCGTAATTCATGCAGATGCTTTGGTAGGGAGCTGATAAAACAACAGCATTCAGAGGCTCATGCATGGGGTTTGAGATCGAGCTGTGAGGGCACTTCTTTACAAACCGGTCAAACTTTATAGTGTTAAAATTACATTGACTGGAAAGAACAAAATGTGAAATAAGCGAAACATGTACATATATTTTTTTGAGATGTGATTGTGTGATTATTTTCCTAAAATATCATATTTAAATACTGTATTATTGTAGTGTATAAGATGCTTCTACACTAGCTGTGGTTAGCATTTTTTATTTTATGGGCAGTGTCTCAACAACAAACAAAAACAACACTGTAATGTATTTATATGGAACATGAAATAGTTTAAGTATTTGTTTATACCAATGGGCATGTAAAATAAGTATATCCCCTTTTGTACTGGATTGCCATGTGGACAAATTATTAATAGTTCTGTTCCTATCTATTTTTATACTTATTATTAGTATATTATAGATTATATTGATAATTTAGTTAGTTAATAGCAGATAAAGCATTTTTTTTTTTAGGTTGTTAAATGTTTACCGTCAAATTTACACGCACTCCTATTAGACGTGAGTTTGATCATACAGATACGCAGAAGATGAAATTGATGGATAATAAAATTGTCTGAAACTTGAATGTGCTCAATTTACGGTCAGATTAAAACATACACAAATTTGATGAATAAGGGCCATCTTGAGGAACTGATGAATTTTACAAGTATGTATGTTGCTTGTACATTAGTTTATGCTGTTTTTTTCATTGGGCTTTAGGATGTATCAATTTATCATTTGCCTATGTTGAGGGTGAGAGTCTGCTGATGGCTTTAAAGGATGTTGCACTATCCTCTGGGAGGTTAGTTATTTCTTAAATTGAAGTTACAGAGATTGTTCATTCTTTCTTTCCTGTGACAGCTATTGAGAATATCCCTTTCTTGTAGTGCATGCACCTCTGCTTCATTGGAGCCTTCCTATGTACTGAGGGCAATAGGAGCAGATGAGGACCTGGCCCATTCTTCAATCAGGTTGGTATTCATTTTGCAGTATATCTGTACTATACTTTGGTAATTACTATTAGCTAGCTGACTTCAGACATTGTTTGCAGGTTTGGAATTGGGCGCTTTACCACAGAGGAGGAAGTGGACTACACAGCTGAGAAGTGCATTCAACAGGTTAGACGACTACGAGAGATGAGGTAATATATTTACTGTACATTAGCTTGGTAGCAATCCGATTAGAATTAAATAGCTAATAAAAAGCTATGGCATACAGTCCAAGCCTGTCACCCCAATCTTAAGTTATTGCACAGTGTATAGTTTCTCTTCTGATGATTGTGCTGGTGTTTGTCCTGCAGTCCTTTGTGGGAGATGGTGCAGGAGGGTATTGATCTGAAGAGCATCAAGTGGACACAGCATTGAACCACCTCTCAGGGAGAAATGCTAGAGGATCACTGGAGTACAAATACTTTTATATAGTATTTTTGAAAACACCTAGGACTTCTCTTTCCTCAAAGAAACACGCACAATTTTATTATTTGAGAATTGAGAATGTTCATTAAGCAGGTGGTAGCGTTTTGTACTAGTGCATTGGGGTTTTAAATCGTTCAGATTGCAGAGATAGTTTGTTTCTGCTTTCTTCAGCTGACCACAAAGGAAATAACTTGTTCTCAGAATTAGGTTTTACCACAAAATACATGCACTTTGCTTATTAGTGCATATTTGGACTCTGTGGAGTAGTTTTGTTCAAATTACTGTTTTTTAGGTAATTAACACTACTAAAACAATCCTTTTCTGTATTAAGTCTTTGTCTCCCACAATATAGTATTGACTTGGAGGCTCACATTACACCTTGACCTTGGATCAGAATTAGGACTTAAGATACCCGTTACATTCTTTGGTGTATGTTTTGTGTATACCATCTTTATATAGTCAGAACAGTACCAAGGACAGATGCTGTTCTTTTATGATTAGAGAGATGTGTATTTAAGTGTGATGAGAACATACCTAGTGGTATCATTGGGAAAAAAATGTGAATTAAAATCTAAATAATCTCAGAACAGAATATGGATTGTCAATAAATCTTATCCTCATTTGTCACATGCCCATTTGTTACACATACTGAGTAAGGAGTTATCCATGCATGCAGTATGAGTCCTCATAACTTTTCCACAAAGGCAGTTTACAGTTAAACTAATTTAATCAGGTATGTTGTTGTGTAGACATCGTCACCATTCCAGTCACAAATGTATCTTACTAATAAACAACTACAAAGACATATGGCTTGGTTTTGTTTCCCCCAGAAATAGTTCAGTTGGGCCGGCAGGTGTATCTGGTATGAACTTGGATGTTCTTAATTAATTATAATTAGTAGTAGAGTTACTAATTAGTACACGTCATGTTGCTTTTTATTCAATGATTCATTGACGAGCCATAATGAGAAATACAAAAAGCAACAGAACTGGGCTACAAAACTGCTTTCAAATGAAATTGAAATTTGTATTCACACTCACATTAAATCAAATTAGCATTTTACATCAATTTACAAAAAAGTATGACCCAAACCTTTGTACATATCTTTTTATACAATTTTCTATTTCTCATATATACAGTAAAAATGAATTATGTACAACACATTTTCCCCAGTCTTTCCACAGGACAAAAATAAGACAAACCTGAAGATGTACAGTGTTTTACACTAAAAAAGGGTGCTATTATAAAAGTGCCACTTTGACAGAATGCTGCTTTAAATCATGAGCAGATGCTGTTGACTTCATGAAGAGGCTGGATATGGTACAAACGCACACAGTAAAGTACCCATAAAAAGACGTCTCAGTCTTAACTTGAACAGAACTTCCACACATTTAGCCACTAATTCTGCTCTGTTTGACACTGACAAAAACAAACATTTTATTTGCCATCATAGATTGTTCCTCCATTTGTTGACATTATTATAACCAGGTAACCAGCCCCATAGGAACTGACATAATTCTTAGCACAAAAGGGCAAGAGAGTATGCAGTGCTGTTAGCAGTGTCGTATAGCTTATGTAAGAAAAGCAACATACTTTTAAAATATATATGTATTAAGTGCTGGTTCTTGAGTCTACCCTGTAATTCCAAAGGGACAGAATGTTTGAGATGGCCTCAGTGGATATAACACATCAATGAGGTCTGTGATTAGAGGAAACCAATTAATCAGAAATCTAAATTTCACAGACTTTTCACCATTTATAGTTTTGCACAGACAACTATCATTTTTAAGCATCATGAATACTTCTGAGTGTTAAATTATAAAAAAAATACTTGGTGCAAAACAAAAGCAGCTAATGCAAGAAAGCATGAGTAAGCATTCTTAATTTCAGTGCTCAGCAAATACCGTTTTATGCCCCCTCGAGTTTTGAAATATGTGGTGACAGCTTCTGACCAGCAGAGGGTGATGCCTGATTGTCTTCAAGTCTGTTAGCCTGAATGCAGCTTGCAACAATGGAGGACATTCCTGGTGGTAATGAAAGCAGATATAAACTGCTTTTCAGGTACTGATGAACTGTTTCTGATATCTAAAGAATATTATCTAGTGGTAAGGAATACATTTTTTTCTTGGAGCATTCTCACTGGATTTCGCCTTGACAAGCCTTAACAAAATAACTGATTTCTACTGACCTCTGACTTTGGTTTAAATTTGCCCTCAACTCATTATGTGCAATTATCCTTAAAATGGCCCATATAAACCTCAAATCAAATCCCCAATAATAAATGAATCACAGTAGAACCACATTTGCTGCTGTGGGCGTAAAGCAAGACTAATGGAACAGACCAAAAAAACACGGAGGCAGAACAGAGTGAGGATGATTGGACCATGCACTGCTTTTCTTGTTTGTAATTTGGCACTGGCCCATGGTCACATTATGTCCACAAAAAACTCGCAGGGATTGCCCATGGCATGCTGAAATGACTGTCGGCTAGCTGTGAGCTCCGGGGGAACAGAAGATAGCTCACGGACTGGCGGGGCCCCTGGGGGCCCGCTGTTAATGGCCCCTTTAGGTGCAAGTCTGGCTAAACTGTAGGGAGGAGGCAAACCCGGGGGTCCATAAGAGGAGGCGTGGCTCCGTTCACTGTGTGCACAGGAGGTGCGCCCTTGCTTGGAAAAGGATGCGTGGCTATAGGAGAAGGAGGCACGGCTGTGGTGGGAGGGCACACGGCTTCGGTGAGAGTGGGTGTTGCTGTGTCCGGAGTGGGCATGGCTACGGTGGCTTAGCTGACTGGCCGAGCGCTCGCCCCGTCTACCCCCTCCTCGTGTGCCTGTTTCAGATTCGCTGCCGCCACTGCCTGTCGACTTGCGATCTTTTTCCCGAGGCATGGGTCGCTGGCTCCTCCCGGCACTGGGGTTGGAACTGCTGCTGCGGCTGCCTGAAAGAGAGGGAAAAAAAGCACATATCAAACCTGCACATAAATACTTTTCAGTGTTAATCACCTACATGACTTTGACTGAACAACTGAAAAGTGTTTTTAACTTCCTGTTCTTAAAACATTCTGAATGATCGGCAATGCCTGACAGTGATTCAATTCCTGATTATCATTACTAACAGTTCAGACAGTTGCAATGCTAGTGTCTAATGGTAAGTTATATTTAGATCAAACAGAGCAAATTACATTTGGAGTGTAGACTGCTGCAAAAGAGTGAAAAAAAAGACAAATTTACTGCAAATAATTTACTGCAAATAATTTTCCTGAATTAACCTGACTATTCTTCATGGATTTCTCCATGACCTGCCATCTCCCAATTATGTGTGTAAGTGTTCAGTAATCACCACATGAATTACAAATCAGCAAAAGCTATATTTGGAAAAATACAGATGTATGATTTGCTGTCATTATGCTGATTGTGATTTTGAACAGTTGTGTTAATGATGATCAGATGATCATAAAGAGTACCCATGGTCCCAGTGCTCCCAAAGCAGTTTGAAGTTGTTTCGACCAGACATTCTTCAATAATGCAGATTTAGTCATATGAATGCATTACCAGTACGTAACCTTTTTTAAGTGAAGGTAGAGGTCTGAAGTAGGGAACGTTGTTGCATGGCATAAGTTTTTGGATGAGTGTCTACTTCAGAGGTGTCCAATCCTTGTCTTGGAGATTTACCACCTGGCACAGTTTAGCTCCAACCCTAATCAAACACATCTGATCCAGGTAACAAAGGCTTTGAGTGACATCTGAATAATAGAGCCAGGTGTGTTGAATCTGAAACCTCCAGGGTGGTAAATCTCCAGGAGCAGGACTGGACACTCAAATTTATGTTTCAGAGAAAAACGTAAAGGCTCTATATAACCTGAAGAAGCATCGAAAAAATGGCAAAGCACATTAGCAACTGAAAAAGAGCATGTTTTTTGAAAACTATGAAAATGACAAAATGATCACCATAAATAAAAAAAAATTCTGTGACTCCTCAAAATGTAAACCCTTCCAGATGATTTTAGTGCAGAGCATAAAGCAGTTTTAATTTTGTAACTTTGTATTTATGTCTTTGTTAGAGTGCCATCCATCTCTTTGAAGACAAAAGATTTTTACTAGAACAGCACACCAGCAAAACATGCTTAGAGACAGAGAGACATGAGGTGAACCAGATGTCAAAGTAACAGCAATGCCTGAGTTACAGTGGGAAGCATGAGCATATGAGAGAGAGAGAAGGATGAGAGGAAGGGAGGCTGCCTTACCGGACACCCCAGCGGTGGGACTACCTCCTCCATCAGCCTGCCATTGCCCAGCAGAAACAGAGGGAATAGCACAGTTACATAGTGGCCCTACCTAAAAAAAACAAATCTCTCTCTAGCAACCTCCAACCTGAGCCTAATGTCAGGACATTCTTTTACAGTGTATTTGATCACCCAAATAAAGCAGGCAAAGTTTACACTTTGTTCATCTCACTTCAGTCTTTTATACTGAAGGAAAACAGGAAGTAGAAAAAGTAACATTCGAAGACCTTCTTCCAACAATTACATATTCGACACGTTCTCATTCAGAGCCATATACAACGGAAAGTGAACGTTAGGAGTCTTGCTCAAGGATTCTGATTGCTATGACAGATTTTATTGTGTCCCTGCCTGGACAGGAAACTGAACCCTAATCTCTTTGATATAATAAAAGTGAAAGGTGTTACACACTGTGTCAGTAGCTTTCAAACTGTGGGCCATAAGGAAGCTGCATCAACATTTTTTTGCTTTTCCATGAAAGCAGAGCTAAAGGAAGTTTTGGTCAGGAGGGGGAACAAAGGCCGCTTTTCCACTGTCGAGCCAAATGGTTCTCATGGCCGTACTAGCTAGCGTTAAGCCGTTCCGCGCTGGTCCGGACTCGTGAGACCGGTTACAGTTTCTGTTTCCATCTGTTGTACCGCTAAATCAGAACCAGGAAATACCCGAGAAAACACATAAACGCGTGGCTAACTGCTAATGGGCTAATAATCATGCCCACACCACTTATCACAAAACATTCCGTTCCATTCCATTGTCACTCCAACTCCAGTCTCTCTCTCCGTGCTCTCTTCTTTATCATCTAAACGAGTAGTATTTGAGCATCTGTTACTAAAACCTCGAACCTGCACTGGCGTGTTTGGATTTCCTCAGCTATGCTGTTAGGTTAACTAACCTAGCTAAGAGAGAGAAGCCGCCTAGCATTAGCTTAGCTAGCTAGGAGGTTCCAGCTCCAGGCACCAGAGAACAGGTTTAATTTCGGCTTCCTGTACCTTTAACGTCAGCCGCTCGACTTCGCTTACTCAGAGCTGAGTCATTAAAATATAAACTTGTGTCAGTAAAGCCTGTGTTAGTCAGAGTCGAACCTGTTTCTGTAATGAGCAGAGCTGGCAGCATGCTAGTTAAGCTAACGCTAACCAGCTACTCTCTACTTGTTATCAACACCGTTTAATATTAAGAAATTAGTGTTAGATTGAAGCTTTGACATTTATTGAATGGTAGGTTTAAAATCGTGCACTGCTTTCATTTATTTGCCGTCTGTCTGAGCGAACTGAACTTGTTTTTTGTTGTTTTTTTCAGTTTGAGCTAAAGCAGCAGGATGCGGTTGCACAACAGCGACATAAGCATAGAACCAATCAGCGAATAGTAACGTCGTTACGTCATCCCACAAAACGGTTCTGTGGTACCGGTTAGCTAACCGTGCTGAACAAATCGGGTTGAGCCTGGTTTTTAAGGGTTTCATGTCGAACTATGTCCGTGTGGAACCACCACGGGAACGGTTACCTTCCGTTCTCAGAAACGTTCGGCCCTGCAGTGGAAAAGACGCCCAACACTGTTTCTGTACCACGCTTGTAAAGTGCTCATGTTTGCACAAAGGGCAGTTTCTGGCTTTAAATTGCCTTTGTGAACTGAATGATGACAAAAGGGCTTCTACATATCTGTAACTAAGTAATTATAATTAAAAGATATAGGACTATTAATTTTTAATACTGACTAAATACTGACAAATTTACCACCATCATTTTATCATTTTCTGTTGTTAGAAAACATCTAAAAGCACTTTTAGTTTCATGACAGTTTTATGGCTTATTGGGTCTTGGGACAAACGCTACCTCAGCATGGGGGTCATGGCATGAAAAAGTTTGGGAACTCCTGCACTATGCTTCCAACCACCAAACTCACCAGAAAGAACAAAAAGTATACTATTTTCTTACCCCAAGTATCACAATACTATGTTATGTCTTTTTTTCTCCAACCCTAATGTTGATGTAATAAGACCATTCTATGTACCTGACAAAGTTCAAATATTTTTCTGAAAGAGAAAAAAAGAAAAATCTGACCACTAGCTAAGTAGAGCAATCTGACACTGCTAAATCAAGACCATTCCAAATGCACTCTTTCTGTTCCACCAGGCTCAATTTACTACCATCAAACACAAAATGGCACACACATGTACTTGCTGCTCTCTTTACAAACATATTTGAGGTGCTCCACTTCTAATCAACACATTATGAGAAAGACTATTTTAAAGTGAAGGAAATCTATGAGTGGAATGAGTCAGCTACAAGCGTAATGGAGAGATTAGAGTTAGAAAGTATTGTCAAAATAAGGTTCGGTGTCAATGGCAGTGCTTATGAAATGAGTGAGTAATGGGATGGTGGATTTCTTGACTTTGAAGTATATCAGACTATAAACAAAACCACGTGAAGAATGTCCAAACAGTAGAAGTGTTTCACGCTGCATATATATGGATGGTTCTAGAAAGTTTTTGTTCAGGGTTGAAAAGCACTGAAGTCCATTAATGTGCAGAGACAAAAACTTTGCATTGCTGTTTGTGGTTATGAAGTCATATGCAAAAGGTGCAAAACCCTTGTTATTGTCTATAATACCTCCCAGGCTTAGTAAGACATTTAAAAAATTGTCAAAAAATTGACAAATTAAGTAAATGTCTTTTCTCCTTTGAGCCTTAGGTTTAAATGAACATTGGTGTTGCCATTACAAGAAGTGCAGGCTTCTGTATAACAAAATAATGTCTTGGAGCAATGTAATTAAGAGTAATAACTTACTCTTTAATGAAAAGTTTAGTCTAAAATGGCCTCTTAACCTCACCTTCATCAGATGTTTTATATTGGTCTACCATCCTCCCTACAAATTAGCATCTGTTTTCCTGAGTTTAGGTCTAGCCCTTGATTAGTTAGCGATTTAGCTGAAAACAGTACTGGAAGGCAGACCTCCAAGAATTAATCATGACTATTTAAAGTACTAGTTTGCCTTTACCCCAAATGTAGTTAACCTGTCAATATATGTTTGGTGTCTAAACTTTTCTACTTTAGTTTAGCACTGGAGTCATGACACTAATATAGCTATCAAGTTATGGAAGCTTAATTAGTAAATTGCAAGCATTGGAGGGTGTTACGGCAAAAAACAGTATCACAATACTGTAAAACATTTTTACAATACGTTATTTTGTTTTTCTGAGCTGTGATAAGCTGGAACAGACAGTAGTGCCATATTTAAAAAATACTATCAACAATGAGTACAATAATGTTTACGCAATTATTAATTGTTTCACACACTGCACTGCACTAATTCCAATTAAATAAGACTGATGAAACATAATTTACAATGATGCACTAAAATACTGTCATATCAACCACCCTATGCCAGGAAGTCTACTTCAAATGACCTAACAATGTAAAGTGTACGATTTATGCATGCAGTTGGAATAATGCTAATTTGTGATGTATATGCATCAATCACTAGCTACATTGGCCTCATTGATGCAGTGCAAGACAGAAGAAGCAAACTTCAGGCACCAAATGTCTTGCCTTCATTTGGGGAAAGGGGGCAATTGTGTAAAATTGTGTATGTAATCAGCTAATCAGGTGGACTGTGTGAACACATGAACATCGCTGTGTGCAAACATGAACACTCACCCTCACTGTGCTGGCTGCCGGCACTGCCGCTGTGGAAGCTGTGACAGGGGTCAGAGTAGCCCGGAGGGAAGCCAGGAGGTGCTGAAGAGAAAGGTGGGTAAGGGAAAGGCTGGCCGCCCATGGGCCAGGGGTTGGAGGATGGAGGGAGAGGGGCCAGGGTGTCCTGTTCTGAACCACCACCACTCGAACCCTCGTTCAAGTTCAGCGAAGCCATGTCTGAGGAGAAACAAGGCAAAAAAGAAAAAAGAAGAATGGAAGGGTGCTGACATTGGTTGACAATATGGCTGCACCTTGTTTAATTAGTTTTTATTATATTATTTTAAGTACAATATATTTAACACTTAGAAGTCACAGGCACAGATATTACCAGTGGTAACAAAAGCAGTGTATAATTCTGTATTAATATTGTCTCACTTGTAGCTTAAAATGAGTGGAGAAATTCTGTTGACAATGTGGATTCTAAACTTTAAATCAACGCCCTGTTTGTGTGCAAAAGTAAAAAGATTTTATTTTGATTTAAAGTTGATGTTATTGTGCATACAGCCATATTTTGCAGAATATAAAAACATGCTATACAATTTGGCCACTTTTTGTCACTGCTTCACAACAGAACAAACTGAAAAAAGTGCAATCTGGATACTGTTGATACAGAATGTGACTTCTAAGGGTTAACCATATCTTGATGTATGTGCAGTACTTTGGCAAAGGTCTCCAAATGTGTAGTAACACTGCTCAGAAAATGTGATTTTGTTGACAGTGTGTCTCAGGTAGCCATGCTTCAGCATACTGCTGGCGTATTTTCTGGCATCCCGTCGGTCCTTGAAGCCTTCAACCCGCGAGTACAGCCAATCCACCACATCAGCACCTAGAAGACAATAGGTTTAGTCAGACATTTAAACACAAGTGAAAGACAATTTAAAGCCAGAAAGATACATATTTACACACATTATGTACAGCCACAGTTTTCTTACCTATAACAGCATTTGCAATGGTAATCTTTAGCCACATCCTGTCCCTGATTTCTAAGCCCGAGTCTGGGAGCTGCATCACCTTCACGATGGTGGCCATGTCTGTCTTCCCGACCGTTAGTGGAAGATCGTCAAACTCTGAGAAGTACAAAGAGTCTGATTTTAGACTGAAAGCTCAACTAAGTTCAACGTTCTATGTAAAAAAAGAAATAACTGTCTAAATTAATGATTGTGGCATACCATACTGTGGGTATGTTCCTGTCAGAGCTGTAGTGTGAGATATCCAAGCTGCCGGATCAATTGGACGTACAGGTTCAGCTGGTAAAAATGGGGTTAGGATTAGGGTTACAGTTAAATTACAAACGGATAAATACACAGTCTAACATACAAGCAATACATGTGATAAATTCAAGAGCCCAATGAGGCACATTTCAAGAGCGCAGTGAGGCACACTTACAGCACTTCTAGCATCTATAAGGTGCATCTGTCTAAATTCTCAAAACAAATCAGACAAAGGAATATGGTCCAATTTAGGCCTAATTATCTTGTTCTTTAGAAATTCATTACTACAAAGAATTATTCATAGGATTATCTGCAACATCATTCTTGGCTTGAAAAACAAAAACACATTGATATGTTTGCCAAATGCTATACGACCCTCACTTCTTTCCCCTGCCTATAGAGTAACTTAAGCAGTTAGCTGGATTTGAACCTTGATTTCTGCATAATGAAAATTCTGTTCAAAACCACTGAGTGATTAGCTGAATTGTCTCTCTTCTTGAAAGTTGGAAAATGAAAGCAAGGGAGCAGGAGACATCATATGAAAAGCTTTGGTGGCAGGGTTTATTTAGATCCGTTTTGTAATTCTTCTAAGTCTTTTTTCTTGAGAATTCTGCCCGGGACATTTTTGTTTAATTCCCTCAAGGTCATACGAAATTCAAATGAAGTAGTGAAACACCTCTTTGCTTAGTTTTCATATTATGAAAATATTAGTGTTACTTTCCCTTTTCCCTGTCCTGTCATTTGCCTGCATTTCTGCTTATATCGGTTGGGGTTGGACTGTTCAGATGTCAAAAATAAATGTTTCTACACTGTTAATTTCTATAGGCGATTAGTATGAAACATTAACTACTTAGCGCAACAGCATTTCTCTCTGGTGATTAGTATGAAACATTAACTACCTAGCGCAACAGCATTTCTCTCTGACTCAAGGCAAAAACAGTTAAGATGGTAGATCTAGCTAATCATTTCAATTTCTAGCTCATCATTTCAATTTGTATTTCAATTTAGACTATCAGCACACTACCACTACAGAGTCGGTACATGCATCAGTATTGCCTGATAACTGACCAATATCAGAATTGGCTTGGTATTCTATCTTGATTAAAATATTCCAGATGAGCAGATTAGATGATTGACAACTTAGGGCTCTAAGTGACACCATTAAAGACAGTTTAATTGCTTATGAGGCACACTTACAGCAGTTCTATAGAATCTGAATTACTGCTGTTAAAGTTACTTGAGCAGTTTAAGAGGAGTCAGTCCAAGGACTACTATTCTGAAAGGTACAATGGCCTTTCTTTCAGAAAAGTCACTTTACTGGCTAAACATTTTTTTTGACAAAGCAAGTGTCTTATTCTCACTTGATTAAAAAATCAAGAACCACTCAGTTTGGGGAATTCCACAGAGACATAAGACAAGGAAGAAAGTGTCTGGAACACTGTTTTGTAACTCAGTGCGTGGTTGAATAAAAAAAAAAACTTTTACTCCTGCTGTGCAGCTTGTCTATATATAAGCAGTGGATTATTTTATTTCATTATATTTTATTTATTGTGCAGGGCTTCCTAACACCCTCTGGCATCTTTTTTATTTTTGAAGTGAAAAGAAGTAAACAAAGCCTCTGCAGCTATTACTATTTTATTTTTTCTATTTTTTAAGTTTATCAAATATAAAGTAACTGTACATTGACATTTGCAGTAAAATATTATTTAAAAAAAAAATAGTTTGCTACAAAGGTTGTGCTTACTTGTTTCCATTTTAAGAATATGTAATTTGGCCAGCGGTGCCCAACCTTTGGCATAAAACTGTATGTATGTATGTGTGTGCTGACCTCTGGGTATGGTGAAGTAGCTGCGAGGGGATGGATCCCAGCACTTGGCAACAGTGAGACTAATTGGGCTGCAGGAGAGAAGCACATATTAATTCAGCTCACATTTAACATGCAATGACAGCTAAATTAATGAATCTATACCATTTAAACCCAGCTCTGTGTAATTACCCAGTCTTAGAGACAATCTCCCTGAGGATCCTGACAGCATCGTCATTGCTCATATTCTCAAAGTTCACATCATTCACCTGCATGTCAGAAAAACAGGCATGCTCATTCACAAACAATCACTACATACACAATAATAATATGCTCATTATCTCATTTCAAGAGTCGCCAGATTATTCAATCTTATATCTTATATTTACTTATATCTAATATTTACTTATCTATTTGTATCCAGATTAAACCCAGATATAAGGAATACTGGATTTCAAAAACTACAAAAATTACCTGTATTTTACCCCAGTAATCAGGTTGTTCAGTGCATGTATACTGTTGATTTAATCTCTTTAATTTTTCTCCATCTGAACATGTGCAAACATAACTGCATAGGAAAGAGCTTCTTTGGGAGCAATAAACACTGTAGACTTGATTCAACACTATACATGCACCATGTCAATAAACTAAAAAAAAGCATATAAAAAGCATACACTGACCAGCCATAATTGCAGTTCTACAATTATACACTGTAGTTCATCTGTTTCTCTGTATCATTTTTTAGTCTCCCTTTACCTTGTTCTCCAGTGGTCAGGACCCCCACACAGTAGGGATATTTTGGGTTGTTGATCATTCTCAGTGCTGCAGTGACACTGATGTGGTGGTGGCGTGTTAGTAAGTGTTGCCCTGGTGTGAGAGGATCAGACACAGCAGTGCTGCCCTGTGTCTATTTGGTGACCAAAGCTCATCTTAACTTACTTATTATGAGGGGTTTAAAAAAAGCAGCACTGATGCAGACAATGATCCACCACCCAAATAATACCTGCTCTGTGGCAGTCCTGACCACTGAAGAGCAGGGTGAAATGTATACAAAAACAAAGGTAAAAAAGGGTATCAGAATGCAGTGAAACAGATGGACTTCAGTCTGTAACTGTAGACTCACAAAGTGCACCTATATGGCAAGTGGAGCTGATAAAATGGACAATGAGTATAAATACAAGGCAGTTGTACTCAACAACATGGCCAGTTGGTGTATATATATAAGCATATGTTAACAAAAAATATACTTTGTATTTTACATTAGATTGGACACTATATCTGTGCCAAGACACCATGTATTTCTTTTTTTGGTAGGTTTACTGACAAGTTACAGAGAACTGTAGAGGTGCATGTGTCATGTATTTAGAAAAAAATGTGTTTGACTGATTCATATAGATCCCGAGGTTTCCTATTATCAGATTACTGTGCATGTAAATGTGTCATCTGAATTACTAACAAAATCACTTATCAAATTATTTTGTACATGCAAATGTATACACTGCATTCCTAGTGTATTTTTAGCACTGTTAATGTCTAAAAATGGCAAACAGGGCTGTCTGTGTATTTCTACTCCCACAGGCCACTGCTTGGTGAAATCACACTGAGCGCCTACAGGCGACATCAAATTGTCTTTCGGCTAAGCTGTTCTGCTACCAAGTCAAATCTGAAAAAAACAGACAGAAGTCACATCTACTCCTCTGAACAGCCCCAGGGGAGCTGAATCCGAACCAGATATTACACCTTTATGCTAATATTCACTGTATTACCAAGCAACACAGTGGCATCTCCCTATAAGGGAATCCATCTAATCCACACCATTACCTTCAGCCTGCCATTCAGCCAGGATTAACAAACTGCTGGAGACATTTGATGGCTGGGGCTGTGCCTGGAGAAAGCTGCTAATGCCAAAGAGCTACAAGGCAAGAACTAGAGGATGAGCAACCCCCTTGTTTCATCCTCTAAAACTGATCTCAAGGTAAAATCCTGATGTCCTGCAGTGTTTAATCGCTTAAACCCAACACTGTGGCTTCTGCCGGCTTAGCCGATCTGTGGCATTATTTTAAGATGCTTTGTGTGTAAGGGGTATAGAACGGAACATGGATGTTTTTTCCCTTCAGTTTGGTGTTCTTCACTCAAAAATATGCTATTAGGTTTTAGGATTTTTTTGTGCTTGTGTACACATATCTGCGTTTGACAAAAGCTTATATGCTGTGGGCAATGTCAAAAGCATTATAACGCTTAAACAATAACAGCTATTTGAGCTGTCTGTGAATCAGTGAACCACAATCACTGTGTTATTTACTATTAACTCCTTGAACCCCAGGATTATTACTCAGCTATTTATCAGAAGATGTATTTACTATCTATAAACTATTATTATTCAGTGCCATGAATTACTTGGTCACTACTGTGAAACCAATATGTCAGTTATACAGTCATAAGAGTGAGGAAAGAAAGTGTGAGCTCTTAGGGTTTCACTTGTTAAGTACATAGTCCCTAGGCACCTTTTTGTTCTATACAGTAAAGACAGAAGAGTAGCACCTGCAGGAGCATGTCCCCTGGCTCTATCCTCCCATCAGCTGCTACTGCTCCTCCTTTCATGATGGAGCCAATGTAGATCCCACCGTCTCCGCGGTCATTGCTCTGCCCTACGATACTAATGCCTAGGAAGTTATACTTCTCTGTAAGGAGAGAGACATAAAAGGTGGCTGGTCTGTAAGGCATAATGTGCGGTGGTATGCATACTGAGGTCTTCAAGATAAAGCTCTTACCCATATTGAGTGTAACTGTGATTATATTGAGGCTCATGGTTGAATCTGTGATACTGCTGAATGAAGACGACTACGGACAGAAAAACAAATGTTTTAAATTAAAGATGTACTAGACTTACTCATAATTGGCTATAACTCTGGACAGTCTACTAAACTGTCAATTGTTTTGGCTAATTAAGTTTAATACTGCATTTTATATATAGATTATATTGTGAAATTATTTTAAAACACTAAAGAGTTTTATTGGTTCTTGATATTGGTATCTGCCACAGCAAGGTGTAAATTATTTCATCCCTGAAATACCATATTGGTGCATCCCTGGAAAATACACATCTCTTACCCGGTCAATCTTGGGCACTTTATGTCGCCTGCGTCTGCGCTTGTGCCTCCTCATTAAATGAGAAGAGGAGCTCTGCTCTGTAGAACTGCTCAGTCTAACAACCATACAGACACAGATTGGTACGAAAGGAAGTCAGATACTGCACAACTGGGCAAAAAGTAGCATAAAGAATATGATTTTACAGTTGTTATAAAATGTAAATGTATATGTCTCATAATGATGTGCTTGAGCTTGTGTGTGTTTTTAATACTAACCTACTGGTGTCCTCATCTTCCTCACTGTCAATGAAGGAGCTGGACTCCAGCTCACTGCTCATCATGGAGGCACTGTCGCAGACCATAGCTGTGTCCCTCATGACTCGCTCGGCTTTGGAGTGACCATTCACATGCGGAACTGAAGACAACCCAAAACACACAGCTCAGAGTAAGATGTACTTCAAGTTTTTGCATGATATTAGTGCACAGAGCACTACAAAGCCCAATAGGTATTTGAACATTTGCACATAAACAAAATAAATGCACCATGCTTCAGAGCAGCCATCACATGGATAATGAATTGTGAAAAAACTAAAACAGTAGTTCTGCTTCAAACATGATGATTACATTCATGGCTTGATCACACCTTGAGTGTTACAACTCTGCTGGGTTTCATCTGTAACACGAAGACGACATGAAAAATGTATAGACAACATACATTGCTTTGGGTGTGGCTGGGCCTCGGGGTAGCAGCGGATTGGCTGGAAGGCCCGAGTGAGGCGGAGGCATCTCAGAGAGTCCGGGTGGGAGTGGGTTTTCCGGGGAAAGCCAAAACAATCCAGTACAGTCGGGGTGGCCATCCTGCCTTGCCTTTGTCTGATAGTACCTCTGTCTCTCTCACAGTCCTTCTTTTTTACTTTATACGCCCCTAAAAGCTTCTGTTTATCTTCTGTTTATCTGGTAACCACATTCTTAGTTCTCTAGCACAGGTGCATGCTCTGACCTCCAGATTGGCTTTCAAGTTCGACTGACAGCTTGTGGAGGGAAAAAAGAAGTGAAGGGCTGATGAAGAGCAATAAGAGGAGACAGTCTGAAACAGGGGCAAAGTACATACACAGGCATGGGAAAACTGAAAGTGGGAATAGGCAGGCAGCAGTGGAGAGGTCGATAATACAATTTCAATTCATTGTTTTTCTATCAAAATTGAATTTTCTGAAAACAAATATCCCTCCAAGGCCTACCTATATTCTATAATTGCTTTTCATTGAGACACGCATGAGCCATAGACTGACTTCCATTTCACCAGCAATTTAACTTAATACTCATCCAGAGTCCTGGCAGACAGGACAATCCATTACTGAACAATGTTGCACACACAGAAATGAAATCGAGATATCACGGATATTTGTGAACACCGTTAGGGGAATAACACTATAATGCATCACCTGATGAGGCAGGAAACTACTCTCAGGTTATACACTGAATCCAGTCCAACAGCTCTCAGTCTGAGTGAGGTCAAATGGGCAGTGATAGATCTGAATTAACCACTGACTATTCAGTAAACAGTCAAACAAACAAAAAACGTAGTTTTTCTTCGACTTCAGTAAAACCTTCATTATTCAAATACTGCTGATGCCAAGACCCTTTAAAAAGAACGTTATTTTACATACTTCCTGTTAAAACACATATCATTTTATCAGCTGTGATACTACAGATCATGTTTCATGTCGCTAAAGAACTATATTAGCTACCGTACGAAACATCACTTACCAAAAAGCTGCTTACGAGAATCAGATCAGGTTAAATGTCTCTATCCGTTAAAACATCACAAACAAAAAAAATCCTCCTACACATTTTTTCATATTAATTCAAAGACAGCTAATATTGTTGTCTAAAAAGGGCGAAAAAAGCATATAAAACGAATCCTTAATGGTCTTACCTCAGTCACAGCCACACAGCCACTGAGCCACAGAGGGCGAGCACAACTGCGTAAACTCTCTCGCTCGCTTCCACCAACAGACTCTTTCGTGAAGGAGCGGGTGAGCGCACTGAGTCCCTCCCCTTCTGCGCGGAGACAATGGCTGCGTCCAAAACCACATATTATACTACTATAGTTTAAATACTACACTAATACTGTACAATATACAATGTACTAATAATGGAGGCTCTATTTACCACATGCGATTTAGTATGGTAGTGGGCGGTTTTGGACGCAGCCAATGTGCGCGCGGCTCAGTGTCCATGGATTTGTTTCTCACAGTGAGATCTGAGCAATACTGATGGCCTGAACTAACAAGAAAGTGACTTGAGTGGAAGGTTAGCCAGCGGCCAGGTAATGGATACAGAGCACAACCCCGCTACAGCAGAGATACTCACCGCCTCCAGACAGATAGGAAACTTCAGCATGGATTCTTTTGGAAGTGCTTTTAGTTACTGCCAGCGTATAAAGTACTAATCATTTTCTTTGCATTTTGGTTCTTTTCATTCTTGCACTATTAAATAATGATAATAATAATAATAACAATAGTTATATATAATATCGATACATACACTACTTTTTCTTTAAAAACTACTAAGATTTAAAAAAATCATATCTTTTTCTTGCATTTTAATTTTTTCTGAGGTTTACTGATGTTTATGTAGGTCTATGCACCATGATTCATTATTCAAGCCCCATTTTCCAACCTCTTTCATCCCTTACAATTAAACAGTGCCTTTAAGACTGATACATGTAAATGCCTTCTGTTCAAATGACTGCTCCGTTTAGTGCCTCATTCAAAAAGCAGTCAAGGCTACAACACTCCTTATAACTTCAATGTGAATGGGTATACCACAGACTAAATAGGCAGACATATGTATTATGTACTTTTTTGTCACATCACAAAAAGAGTGAATTCAATAGGGGCTGTTTTTGAAGCTTACAATCATATATAGAGTGAGGAGTGAGGAGCATTTTGAAACTTTAACTGTGTTTATATACTACATCAAACTATTTCATTATAAAATTTAGATTTTATAACATTTGGGCCATTTAAAATGAGCAATTTTTAATTGAAACACTTCACTTAAGATGGGCAATGGACATCTAAAAGTGGCATGTTCAGACTAGTCAAATAATCACTAGAGAAAATAAAATATAAGGAAACAAAATCACAATTCTAGTATATCTAGCTATTCACAACTTTACGTTAAGTTGCACTACAAACAATTCTGTGATAGTCCAGGGTAAATTTGTTATAGATCAGAGTGGTTTTTTTTGCTTTTTTCCAACGATATCTGATCCTGCATTTTCCTTTTCATTGGGCATTGCATTGTGCTGATTATATTTCTTTTACATATAATATTTTATAGATACAATCACATGCAAATGTTCTTAGACAAATTACATGTCTTGTGAAAATAATTTAACACATCTTCCACAGGGAGCACACTTCTGCACATTTTAATACACAGTTACTGTTTATTTACTGAACATCTTGGAAATCATCTAGCCCTGGTCTGGATTGCAAATGCTTTCACGTCCACATCAAAGCATCTTCTGAAATTCCAATATGCTGACACGCAATCATAGATTTTTTTTCCTTTTTATGGTCAGACTTACTGTTTTCATGGCAACCTTGATTGTTTTTTGTGTTTAGGTGTTTTGTCTCTATACTCCAGCCCATTAATTCTCTGAGCACAGTGCCATCATAACTACTATCTTGAGGCTGTGGTCACCATTCCTAAAGTCTAATTAAGCTCTGCTGATAAATGATCACTGGGATCTAATGGGGTTCAGGGGTGAAACAAGCACTACTGTCACAAAAACACAGATGAATTATTGTAAGGAGAGAGAGAGAGAGAGAGAGAGAGTAACAAAGAGAGAGTGTATGATATATGTGAGGTGAGGTAATTGGGAGGGCAATTGAGGGATTCTGTTTGGTGACTTGTTACTATAGGTACTTATATGTGGGTCTTTGATTGCCTTTGTGTTCACATGTTTACATATCACTGTAGTAACAAAACCATGTATCTCCAAAACGTAAACTTCATAAAAGGAAAAAACATCTTAACTTAAATGTACAGAATTTTGAACAATGCTTATTGGTGCTTTTGTCAGGAAATGTTCAATTTAAAGAATAGCTGGTGTTTTCAAATTTTGTAAGAAAATAAAAACGGAAGTTCTGACACGACAGCAACAATATGTTGAAGACGAAGTGAATGACATATATGCGGTAATTTATGAAGCAAATCAAATAACAGGTAATACAGCAAAGAAACAAAATCACCCCCAAGAGAGATGAACAGAGGAGAAAGATGGATGGTGGTGAATGGAGATGTGAGAGTGCGCTAAAATAAGCTGAGGCTGTAACATATGGGTGGGAGCCATAACAGCATGGGGCAGGGTGGACCAATGGATAAATATAGTATTTCCTGTCTGAAGGGTCAGTGAAAAAAGGCAGTGGCTGTGGCCAGAGTTAGCCACACGTCCACACGGCAATTGGAAAAGGCAGGATTGAGTAAACGGAGACCAGCACAAAAACATGCTACATGATCATACAAATCTGTTGATGCAGAATCTATTTATTCTTCAAAAAATATGGACCATCCAGCCATCCAGAAATACACTCAGACACAAAGTCATACAACTGCATGCACACACACATACAATTATGCACTCCATATTCACTCTCAGTTTTGTAATTTCTCATTTTCATTGTACAGCAACAATGAAACCAGCGTATTTTCCGGTAGCAAAAAGATTGGTTGCAATTGTTGGGTACTCACAGAGCAAGGTTTAATCATTTTGAATGTATATGCCAGCAGGTGCTGGCATCACAACTGCGCTTCTAAACGGTCAGCACATGTACCTCATTAGCAGAAGCTGTATAAATGTTTGCAATCCTCAGGATGTGATCAAGCCTTGAACACTTCCTAAATATCCTATGTGTCAGACAGGGCATCCAGATGCCAAAACCTGATATTATATTTTCTGTACCAGGCCTTGCTCAGTTATGCTACAGCATCTGTAATAATCTAAAGCAATCTGCCACTCAAGGCTGTGCATGACAATGATTTTATCATGGTTAAAGTAATAGTTCACCAACAAAATTTTACCCTTACCCCATTAGGGTTCAAACTGGTGGGGTGGGGTAATGGCTGGAGGGTCCCAGACCTCCCATATGCTTCATAAGAGAGCAAACATTGAACTTGGGTTTTTGTGAAATTACCAATATACGAAAGGAATTTTACTTGTATGTCTAGCAAAAAAAAGACCTCTGCGACAGTTTGAACCCTGCCCAACATAATCGATTAACCAAGACATCTTTGGTGTCTGAAGTTTGCTTCTTTAGTTTTGCAGTTGAGCTACAAGGCTAATATAATAGAAATCTATGACATGTCATTAGCCTCGTAGCTGTAGTGCAAAACTAAAGAAGCAAACTTCAGACACCAAAGACTGTAAATCATTACCATTCCTTTAAGAGGTCATTTTTATCACTTTACCTATGGTAAAATCATTATAACACACAGCCTTGAGTGGTTTATTGATTTTTGCACCCGACAACAAAATACAATATGATAAAATACAAGAGGTTCAATAAATTTTTTATTATTGACAATTCCTCTGCAGTGTAGTCTGTTAACAGTAGACTATGGCTGTCAAGCAACATAACAAATCTTCCTGTACTTCCTGTAATCTGGCATGTTAATAGACTTCAGTTGATGTGTTATACACATATGTGTATACTGAATATTCTAAAAAAAACTTAATCAATGGCATTTAGGAGAATGTTATTTGTGTGTTTGGGCAGTACTCACGTTCTTCTCTTCTCCGCCGGGCTCTCTCTCGCTCCTTCTCTCTACGGTGGCTGAGAAGCGACTCGCTTGTCTCGGTGTCCAGGCCATCTCTACTGCTTACTGCATTGGCACTTGCACACAAACACACAAGCACATACACACACATGAGCCACAGGTAACACAAGCTTACACCCACTCCCACTGCCTTACACAACACCACACCTGTGCAGAGTATGTGTGTGACATATAATCTTAAAGGAAATGACCTCAGGACAAGGAGAGAAACTTACACTGCCACTCATAAATCACCCTATAAACAGGATACTCTTTCTGTTTTTTCTGACACAATGACATTCCTGTCATGCTAGTCACATATAGCATGTATGTATAAAGTACTGGGTGGTATTCATCAGATTCAGAAGTATTCATCAGAAGTATATTGTTATGGTGTCATATTGGACACCATGCAAAATGCACAACATAGTATTGAAAGGGCCGATGTCATGGAAAACCTCATTTTCCTCGCTTTTTTAAATAACGCACTGTTCACTCCACAGTCCATATATAGTAACTAAGCTGTTAGATCAGCTTGTATTGAATTTCTGTGAGGTCATGAAAACCAACACATTTACATATTTCCACCTAATCAGCCTACAGCAGCTTAGCCCTGCCTATTCACACAAGGTATAAGGAGGGTTTCAGCCTAGTACAGTACAGGACAGCCAGTCAGAACACAGGTTATTTACATATATCAGTCTTGAAGCCACAGTATAATAAAGTAGCTTATTGAATTGTAATTGATAAAGATAGGTTGGAAAATAGACATGTGAATGTGTGTTTCCTTTTAATACTACTTAAACGGACAACATTTAATTGAACATGTTTAATTTAACATGTAATTGAATATTTATACAATAAATATTGCGGTGTGACACCAATACTGGTATACTGGCATAGACAATATATCGCTGTGTGCAGGTGGTAGAAAGAGTTCTATGCATGACGCCATAGAAGAACCGGTAAATTGTTAAAGAACCTTTATGTTACATCATGCTGGCATTGCCCAAGGAACACTTTATGACAATTTTTATTTAAGAGTAAATGTATTGTGCATAGTGTACATTAGCAAGCATCTATGGTTCATACAGTAGACTTGCAAAGACACACTTGCATGTGTGTAGCACTGACCTGTGCAACCTCTTCTGTCCTGGAATGAGAAATATTTGCCAACATAGTGGGGGACACTAGGTTTCTAGGGAATAACAACACTGATATATTAGTGTTTTATCAAACAGAATTATTATGCTGGTTCCCAGCCAAACCCCTGGGGCCAGGGACAGAGAGAGAGTATGTGTGTGTGTCACTCGGAGAGCAGCGGCCACAGGCTTTGTAGAAACCTGAGCAGGGTGAGAAGTCTACCTGCACTGAGAAATAGCTGCAGCTCTGATGATCCACCCAGCTGTGGAGATATTTCAGACATCCACACAAACACACACACCAATCTGCCCTCACAGATCCTCCATCTATCATTACCCATGATGCACTGCAGAAAATGGGTCATTCTATGTAATAACAAATGCAGCTGCCTGTTCAGGATGCTGCAGTTTTCTTTGTTGTGTAAAATTAATTTGCCATATCAGGAAGTGTAGAAATTCAATGAAGGATGCATCCTGTTACATTAGCAATGTCCAATAAATGTATTCATTTTTACATTTATTTAATTAATTTAATTAATTAATTTATTTACAACCTGATTTCCAAAACAGTTGAGATGCTGTGCAGAATGTAAATAAAAATAGAATGCAATGATATGCAAATCATGTAAACCATATTTTTAAAGGAAAATACTACAAAGACAACATATCAAATGTTGAAACTGAGAAATTTGATTGTTTTTTGAAAAAAATTATGCCCATTTTGAATATGATGCCAACAACACGTTCCAAAAAGGTTGGGATGGGAGCATGTTTACCACTGTGTTTCATCACCTCTTCTTTTAACAGCACTCTGTAAGCATTTGGGAACTGAGGAGAACGACTGCTGTAGTTTTGAAAGTGAAATGTTTTCCCATTCTTGTTTGAAGGATTTCAGCTGCTCAACAGTTCAGGGTCTCCTTTGTTGTATTTTTCAATATTTTTAGTGGTGACAGGTCTAGACTGCAGGCAGGTCAGTTTAACGCCCAGACTCTTTTAATATGGAGCAATGCTGCTGTAATACATGCAGAATGTGGTTTGGCATTGTCTTGCTGAAATAAGCAAGGCCTTCCCAGAAAAAGATGTCAACTGGATGGCAGCATATGCTGCCAAAACTTGTGTATATCGTTCAGCATTAATGGTGCCTTCACAGATGTACATGTCACCATGCCATGTGCACTAATGCCCCCCTATACCGTCATGAACACTGGCTTTTGAACTATGCACTGATAACAAGCTGAGCGGTCTTTAGCCGGAGGACACAGTGTCCATGATTTCCAAAAAGAATTCCAAATTTTGATTTGTCAGACCACAGGACACTTTTCCACCTCCCCTCAGTCCACTTTAAATGAGCTCGGGCCCAGAGAAGGTGGCAGCATTTCTGGGTCCTGTTTATATATGGTTTCTTCTTTGCGTTTTAGAGTTTTAACTTGCATTTGTGGGTGCAGTGACAAACTGTTTTCACAGACAGTGGTTTTCAGAAGTGTTCCTGAGCCCATGCAGTGATTTCCACTACAGAATCTTGTCTGTTTTAATGCAGTGCCGCCTGAGGGCCCAAAGATCATGGCCGGCCAATACTGGTTTTCAGCCTTGTCTTCTGTATACAGAGATTTCTCCAGATTCTCTAAATCTTTTAATGTTATTATGTACTATAGATGATGAAAAGCTTTTTTGCTATTTTATGTTGAGAAATGTCATTCTTGAATTGAATTGCACTACTTGCCCACGCAGTCTTTCACAGAGTGGTGAACCCCTCCTCATCTTTACTTTTTAAAGGCTCGGCCTCTCTGAGAAGATCTTTTTATAGACAATCATGTTACTGACCTGTTGTCAATCAACCACCAGGTGTTTTTTTTTAGCATTACACAACTTTACCAGCCTTTTGTTGCCCCATCCCAACTTTTTTGGAATGTGTTTTGGCATCAAATTCAAAATGGGCAAATTTTTCAACATTTTCATCAGTTTCAACATTTTATATGTAGTCTTTGTACTATTTTCAATTAAATATAGAGTTTAAATGATTTGCATATCATTGCATTCTGTTTTGTTACAACAGAAACAAATGTATGGATCATTCTATCGAACTGGTTCAAAGTCATTTCAGACTTTTAACTGACTTGGACTTCAGTCTAAGACTAAAGTGAGTCGATACTGTAAATATGTTTATTTTATTAAAATAAATGATTGAATATCCCATTTTTGTCACAACAAAATAATCATAACACTGCCAAAACGTTACCAAATGTTTCAGGAGAGATTTTTTCGGTAGTGAAATTTCAGGTAATTTTGAGCATAACACAAACATATTAGCCAGTACATTACAGCTTTTACCAGTACACACATAAAATCATTATATATATTTATTACAAAACAAGAAAGTCGACCTAAAATGTTTTTCGTTAGTGACAATTCATAATGTTACACACTTATTGCTACCCTGTTAATCAATCGTCAGGAACCCCACAAGGGCACCACTGAGCAGGTATCCACTACCAGGCCACTACCATGTCAGTGTCACTGCAGTGCTGAGAATGATTCAACACCCAAATAACATTTGCTCAGAGGTGGTCCTGTGGGGGTCCTGACCACTGATCAATGGCTAACAAATTAATCAGAGAAACAGATGGACTACAGTCTATAATTAAAGAGTTTCATTCTAAAACAAATTTATCTATCACTTTCAAGAATTTTCTTTTTTTCAGTGATATAAATTGTGAGTGGGCTTTACACATATGCGAAATATCATATGCTATATTATGACTAATACTACCATTATTAGATAAATAAAAATGTATTTTCTATTATACATCACTTGTTACAGTTTTCAAAACTTGTTACATCCAAAATTGTTACAAATTGATATACAGCATTTAGCAATTAAACTTTTTGGGCCATGTTATTGGTCCATTCACCGTGGCATTTTCAAACAATGTAAAGGCCATCTGTTACAAATTGACATACAGCATTTTGGAATGGGACTTCAATTGAAGAACTACAAAAAAAACATGTATACTAAGTGGATCTGATGGAATGGATAACGAACATAGATACAAGGTAGATGCATCTAATATAGTGTCCAGTGAGTGTGCACAATTGTATCTAAACTTTACACCTCCAAAATGGTAAAAAATAACATTCTTATCTTTAATGTGAGTTAATGTAACAAAATTTTATTCCAAGTAAAATGTTTCAACAAGATCATTTAAGACTTTCAAATGGTTAAAAAAAGAAAAAAATGTTAACTGCCCTTATTTATACATTTACATAAGCAAATCTATTTCCTAGTCTGGCTAAATATAGCCTCTCTTACTCAGATCGTATTATTCATGACAAAACACACCAATGGCTGTTCAAGTGTGCGAGCAGTCAAGCAAGAAAGTCTACCCTTACAAAAAATGAAGGGCATGCACGTGTAGCGCTACATAATGACAGCGACTAGGAGAGGAGGTGCTGTTCAGAATATGACCACGAGAGGGCAGACAGTGGCGGTGTTAGAATGATGACTTAGATCACTCCAACAGCAAAAAGATTAAGTGGTTCCCAGTCCTGCTCCCGGACTACCTGTGTCCTGTACTTTATAGTGATTTTGTGCTCATACACCCACTTGAGCTCTGAGAGGGTTTGCAAATGAGCTGATTAGTTGGGTCAGTTCTGGCATAGCAGAGAAAACAGAAAATATGCATAAATATGCCGTTGTAGAGATACCTGCCGAGTCAGAATTGTTTACAGTGTTGGCGATAGGAACCCGATCTCCAGAATGTTTACAATCTACCTTACAGGACATTATTACACAAAATGGTCATATGTTGCCTGATGCCTGAGACCTTGGCAGATCTGCCAGCCTGTAAGCATTTTGCATTGCAGGTATGCATTCTGACATCAAAGTACGCTGGTATGATTTGTCAGTCTAAACTACACAAAAAGCTGGTGACGCCTGCCCAGCAAACACACAACGTTGTCGCGTTAAAACTACCTTTTGGCAACTTAGCAAAATTCCATGGAGTTCCATTCACAACGTAAGCCCAATTCGGACAGGATTATATTGTCAGATAACGTTGTCACAACTTTCTGAGGAATTACATTTCTACGTTGTGACAACGTAGAGAACAGCAAGTAGACAACGTCGTGGGCACCAAAACAGTAGGTTGTCATAACATAACTGTGTTAGCAGGGTGTGAGCTCAATTGTGCACGCACCAATCTAACAGCAAGAGGCAGAAGCGTCTAACCTTGTGTAAAAAAATAGTTCAACCAATCATAGCACTGGGTTCATTCCCTAAAAATCAAGCGGGGATAACAAATGCGTGATGTCAATCATTTCAAGAGACTGCAAATCAACAGCAACATGAATGGTTTTTGTCGCAGGTTGTTAAATGTGACTTTTCACAGTACCGTATTCATAATTATTACTGCAGCCAAACCCGTAACCATAATGAGAGGAGCAGATCATGCCAGGTTGAAAATAAAAAGCGAGTGCATTTGCCGCAGAAATAACATTACCTAGAAAGTTACTGGGAGGTGTATGTTTGTGTGTGTGCGTGCGTGCCTTAAAGTTAAAGTAAACCTGACGTCAGATGAGAACACTGACAGGGAAATGGATGATGACCCTGTTGAATAACTAAACTTGATTATATGGTGTAGAGTGCGGAAATGACACTGTAGTAAGCATTTTTTCGCGCTGCACTATTGAGCTTCGCATTGTTTTATGTTAGTTTCAAGATACATTGTTCACATCAGACCATTCTAAATTATTTTGTTTACATTCCAGATCGAATTATGTATATATTATGTATATATTTTGAAAAAACATTAAATTCCCCATTAAATATATTACTCTTCTTCTTCTTCTTCTTCTTCTTCTTCTTCTTCTTCTTATTATTATTATGTATCCAGTACAACTGAAGAAATATATCAAATGAACAAAACTTGAAATGTAAGTTTCTTCTCAGGACACAATCTAATGAAAGTTTTTCTCTTTTACTGAAATAAAGTAATAATAAACTGAGAGGCAAATTGTGTTGAGGTAATGCACTTTATTCATGTGGTAATGATACACATTTAAATCAAGTCAATTAAGTGTATTACCTTCTCTCTCTCGCTCTCTCTCTCTCTCTCTCTCTCTCTCTCTCTCAGAGGTCTCTCTCTCTCTCTCTCTCTCTCTCTCTCAGAGGTCTCTCTGCGTTGTTGTGTGTCTGTGGGGGGGTGTTAATGTTTGGTTGGGTGGTTTGTTTCCGAGATATCACATTTGCCTTCTTTTATTAGTCCTGCAGTTTACGGATGAGCGACTCAGTTAGGGACTACCCATCCACTCTCTACAGTGTTGTTATACGATGCTATGTAGAGATCACTGCATACATGAACAGACTGCATTAGGCTTTTCAGACTGTGGATGGATGGGAACAAAGAACAGGTGGAGGGTGTAATGGTATAAAAATTAATAGCAGTGTATTATAGTCATTTGATATGGAGTCTGGATTATTATTATTACTGTATATATTATTTCTATTGTTTTTTATTTCATAATTTTGTTTTTTTATTTTGTAATGTTTTATTAGTTGTCTTGAAAGTCAGTCCATACTGACCACCCCTACAAGAGAGTGTGTGTATGTGTGGATGACAGGTGGAAAAAAATCCATTAGGATGCAACAGAGTTGTGGAGCGTGTATATAAGCTGCAGAAGTGTGTGACATAGCAGATGCATTTATGTGCACAAAGAGGCGTAAAGTAGAGGTCTGATGGTGTGTATGATGTGTGAGAGAGGATGAGTGCACTGCGTGGGTTTGTGTGTGGATTTTCAGGGTGTCACTAACTTGCTTCTACCCAGAAAGCACTATTAGAAAGGCTGCATCAGATTTGTGTGTGTGCGCGCGTGTGTGTGTGTTTTATTCTCTTTCTGATGACAACATTCTGATGTCACTGGTTCTCAAAATGAAAAAAGCTTTTTGTAATACATGCAGCTGTCACCTTTGGATTTCCATTCCATTAAGGTTAGATACAGATGTACACTGTTTCATTTACTTGCTTCAATCCTTTTCACAGTAACATGATTTGCACCTTAGCCCCTCCATTTTTGCAGTTCCATGGAATAATATTTTAATGGAAACACAGAGTTACAAAACTAGTCTACAAACTGAATTTGTATCCATTACTGTCTCGCCCTTCATTGCTTGCTAGCAGCTCTGTGTGAGTGTCTCGGTTGGTCTGATAACAACGTTACAGGGAAAAAATACTTCAGGGTCAGCAGAAAGACATTACATGTGTACATTATTTCCACCTGAACAAAATGTTGATCAACACATTTGAAAAGGATGTTTCAGCAACACTACTTTTGGCTTTGTAGCTTATGTTTGGCACAAATGGTAAGATATTTTATTATTGTGTAAATGAAACAATGTCAATTCAATGTAGCATTTTTTTCACTGTAAGCATTAGCAGCATTTAGCAGTGACTAGAAATCCTGATGAGGACAGTATTACAAGAGTGCATGTGTTTGTGCATTTATGTGTGTAACACAAGCCTACATTAGCAACTTATCACCATTATCAGATCATCATCTAATCTTGATACGGTTGTTTACACTTGCCCTTTTCAAATGTTGCTTCTGTATCCATTTATTGATTGCATCTCCTTTCCCTGCACAATGTTTAATCTGGCTGGCATGGTGCCAGAGCAGAGCAGGCACAGATTATACAGACTGTGCTGTGTTTCATTCTTTATAAAACATTTGCAATCACAATGAGAGCATTCCACTTTAATTTACAAAGAAACTATTTTTGCTTAGCTCCCACAACAATGCATGCTCAGCTGCCTCGGGTTCTGAACATATTCTGATCACAAACGTGGTTACACTTGTATTTTTAAATGCATATATGGACAACATGCAGAAATACAACATGCATACATGGGATGCATTTTAATGGCAAGTGTAAACAGGGCCACAGGGTAGGTGGAGTGTACTTACTGGAATGAGGGTGGCCTTGAGTCTCCGATGCCACCCGTTCTCTCTAAGGGTGGAGGAAGTTCAGCATGACGGTCTGTACACACTGACATCCCATCAGAGTGTGAACTCTCTGCCAGTACAAGCTGAGAAAAACACACAAAAAAATGTCAAAATATTATCAGCACACTGGTTCCAAATCCTAGCAAGTGGTGGAAGGTTTACTGATGTAAAAGTGGATAGTGGTGTGATGTTTGGCCAAGATATGGATTTTATCATATTGTGCATACTGTAATAAGCCCCACCCACTAGAACAAATAAACATAAACAACTTAAATACCAAACAACTCAACAAAAGTGCAGCACATAATTTAGACATTTACATAAAAAAGCCTAAAAACAAACAGCACATGAGTTCCCCATAACTGGCAGTGGACAATACTGCCCTAAAACATGATAGACCACATGATGCAGACATAAATGGATAACACAAAACAAATGTAGCATCAACAGTGAGCTAGACCAATATATCAACAGAGAGCTAGAAACCATCAGAAGTGCTGTAAGCCACAGGGGCTGCAGTAATGCAATAACAGACTCATACAGTGCTAATCGAAGCACAGTATCCTGGATAGAATTAGAAAGCACTTTTTTTTAGAATTCTGGCTGCTGGCTTTGAAACCCAATAGAAGTCAAGGACACTGGTGCAGTGCATTAAAATTTTATCCTCTGCAGTAAAAAACACATGGACAGTGGAGAATATACCATTTTAGACTGATGCTGATCTGCTATATTTGGGATAGGGTAACAGAGCAACATGCATTTTGGTGGAAAGATACATCCAAAGGTTGGTATTAAAATTGGGGGAATCCACTTTTTACATATCGCCAAACCAGCCCCAAATTTTATTTTATTTTTTCGTGAACAGGACAGACCCAAAACTTAGTAAAACAAAAGAGAACATAAAAAGTGATTAGCTTTTTCATTTTTAGACTTCCACCCATTAACCTGTCAATCAAGGTCAGGCCACAGCACACTAAGCAGAAAAGGGGCTTTATCTGAAACATCAGATACCAACAGAATTTATACAAGCAGTCAGGGCCATTGCAGGGACACCTCATTGTTTGGGGACCCTAAACAACTGCTTATACTACTTAAATCAGTTCATGCATTGGCAGATGAGATGGAACAGAGAAAAAACTAAAATATTAGCTCAACATCTAACATTATTTACCAGATTGATGGTCAGATTGATTAAATCAGATGAATATCATGCAGAATGTATGAATATGCAATAAATTGATCTAATAATATGGCATGCCATATGACCTGATACTTTTCTTGTCCACTTCCTATTTAGATATTATATAAGCCACAGAACATTTCAGCTTACCCATGACACCACTCTGCCGTTGAAGCAAGGCAATTTGGCATTGTCATCTGAGATTTCCTCCTTAACCACCCTGAACAAGACAGACAAAAACATGTATGACATGTCACAACACTGTGAACACACATCATCTGCAGCATAACTAATAAGTAATGGCACTAGTGTAAGTGTTTGTGTGTGACAGAGCTGTGAGGATGATGTTTGTGTTTGTGCTTATGTTGTGTGTATGTGTGGCCAGGCCAGCTCTAGCCTTCTGGGGGCCCTAAGCAAGATTCTTTTGATCATGTTAGCTGACATACTGCAAAATCAGAAGCTAACTAATAACCATGGCTACCACATGCTGTCTAAATGATACACATTTATAAGTGGGAAATTTTTGTTTTGCTCGTTTGGAGTTCTAAATTCCAGTTTAAATTACAGAAAACCTTTTCAGCATTCTTGACCTAGAAGTCTGTCTCACAATGCAGTATTTCTTGCTTACTAACTTTAAGTTTAATTGGATCTAACTCCAGTGGGGGTGGTAACAGCATTGCTTTTTCATTGTTATTAATGCCTACATTAATACATACATACATACTGTCTACATATTTAGGCATTATGATTTTTCTTCTCATTCTTCATAAATGTCACGTTTCATGTGCACACACAAGGATTAATCACAGCTTGTGTATCTAAACCTGGATTAAGCACAGTCTGAATATCTAAACCTGGATCAGTCACAGTCTGAGCATCTAAACCTGGATCAATCACAGTCTGAATATCTAAACCTGGATCAATCACAGCTTAAATATCTAAACCTGGATCAATCACAGCCTGAGTATCTAAACCTGGATCAATCACAGCTTAAGTAGCTAAACCAGGATCAGTCACAGTCTAAATATCTAAACCTGGATCAATTACAGCCTGAGTAGCTAAACCTGGATCAATCTCAGCCTGAGTATCTAAACCTGGATCAAGCATAGCCTGAGTATCTAAACCTGGATTAATCACAGTCTGAATATCTGAACCTAGATTAAGTCTAAGTATCTAAACCTAGATTAATCACAGCCTAATTATCCTACCCTGGATTAGCAGAGAAAGACGTTAACCACCGTTGTAAAATGGGTTAACTACGGTTCTGGTGAAGGTCAAACTCAGCCAGAAAGTCTGTCTAAGTTGCACCTGCTTTGTTAGACAGACCACAGATCGGCTTTCTCTTCTTGTCAAACTACAAGCCAAAACAAGCTGTGTAATGTTAACACAGCAAAAAAAGTTGATCTTGGAGCTTTTTCACCTCAACATCTGTAGCAACCGGACCTTCGATAAAGGATAAGATAAAAGCCACAAACAAAAATGGCACTTACAGGTCCACCAGTACAAAGGAATTAGTTTAATAAACGAAAGCTCTATGACTGAATACAACAACCTACTCAGTAAGGTGATCTCGGAGCAGATTGTCTAACTCTGTTCACAGTTTGATTGGTTATTAAAATGGACATATCACATATTATCACATAATAATATGTTAGATAAGCATATATTACTTGCTAAGATAACTAAAACTAAGACTTTCTAAAATGCTACAAAATCCATACACATAACTTGACACTTTCCTGTTAATACTTCTACACAAAATTAGTACTAAGTACCTTGCTCTGCATATCAAGAGTGCATATTTAATGAAGAGTTAAGTATTTTGATTTGTGTTTAGCTTTTTCTCTTGAATGCAAGCAGTATAAACGCCGCCATCCAACACCTCTCTATAAAACGCTAAAGTAACTCGCCAGTTGACCTTATCCCAGAGAAACATAGTCACAGATCTAAGACATACACAAAGGTAAATTCTGTCACAAGACAACGCAGTAGTACACTGAACAAATGGTCACTTACATTGTCTCTTTTTCTTTTTCATTTTTTGGCTGCGCATGCCTACATTGTTAACCAGTTGGCTTTTTTTCTCCTTACTCAAGCATCTTAAATAATATTATGGTACAGTAATAACACAGAAGTTGTTAGATGTACACTTGGTGGCTGCGGGACCCTAAGCAGCCGCTTAAGTCACTTAATAAGTACAGCCGACACTGTGTGTGTGTGTGTTAAATGATGACTTGACGAGGTTAGCTGTGTGTAAAGCTCTTTTATACTTTGTAGTGGAAATTCGCCCCTGAGCTCTTCTGCCCTGTCCTCCCCTGAGACAGCAGAACCCCAGGACAAAGCACACCAAAAAAAAAAAGAAAGCAAAGGGAGATGAAATGAGAGCGAGAGGAAAGGGAAGAAAAAGACCTCAAAAATTTTGGGATAAGGAGAGAAGCGTGGCTGAAATGCCAGTGAGAACAGTAACTGGAAAAGAGGCAAAGAATTCTAAATGCTAGGCTGTAAGAGGCTTTCAGTGTAACCTCCTAATGCTAATTCACCGTAAAGGGACAGAGGGGGAAAGTAACAAATTACAGTTACATTTGTTACAGTACATTTTCCCTGAAACATTACTTTTTACATATTCAAAACACAGTAATTGTAGTTTTAGTTCTTCTGCTAAAGTATATTACTTAGCTCTTTTAACTTTTAATATCGATTACAGGTTAAGATAAATATTCCAACCTGAGAAAGCAATTAGCTAAATGGCAAGTTAACATTGCAGAAAAACAAGCATGACAGTTCCTCCTTAAACCTAAAGCTGTTGCATAAATGCTCTTTTGCAGCCGCCTGTTTAGCTTATGACATTCAATGTAAGTAAATGGTTTAGCTCAGGTAGTCAGTAAACCCTGTGAAACAATCAGTTAAAGGTGGAGTAGGTAATTTATTTTAGAAACAGTTTTTGCTATATTTCTCGAAATACTCTTTCCCCGACAGCAATCAATAAATCAAAAGCTCTGACAGCAAAAAGAAAAAAACATTATCTGTGGAGGCCACAGGACTGTCCAATCATTTCATTCGAACTGAATGAAATCTTTAGATGGAATACCTGCTTGTCTACCTATCTTCCTCATGACCTGCCCACAAGCATGCACTCTGCACATGTACTCATTTGCGCATGTGCAGTCGGTTATACGGCCCTACACACACACACACACACACACACAGCTGAAAGGAAGCAAGCTAGGTTCACAAGAATGGCAGATAAAGTTACATAAGTACCTACAACAGCTTGCACGGCTACAGCAAGAAAGAAATAAATAAAGAAAGAAAGAAAGAGAGAAAAGGCTTTGAACAAAAAGAAGTTGGATAAAGCAGGAGGTCAAACCAGAGTGAACATCACTGTACCATTTCAAGGGTGGTGAAACCTGAGGGAGTTGAAATGTCTGAAAAATGCTGCTAAGGTTGCTATTTTTCTGTTGGATAGTTAATTATCTGGTTGTTTTTCCCGAATTACGTAGCCAACGTAGCTAACTACTTATGTAGCTACATTATGTATAAGTCCAAAGCTAATGTTCGCTAAGCTGCAGGTGTAAGTTGGCTAGATATATTTGTCTTGTATGTAATCAGTGTGTATATATTTTCGACAATGCCTGGACTGTAGTTTTGAGCAAGTATCGTTGTATCGTTATTATTTACATCCATTATAATAATGTTAGGTGTTTTCTCACATGTGAATGAGACATGAGGTAGGTGGATACAGTGATGAAAATGACGCATTGCGCATCTCTCTCCAATGCATGAAGAAGCTGGTAAATAAGAAGCAGACTTTTGCTTCGTCTTCAACGTTCTCTGTCATGACTACTCAGGTCATGTGTTCTCATGTGTTTTGGGGGAGGCTAGGTTTGTAATGTATGCTATATGGCCAAAGTATGCGGACACCTATCACACCTATTGAATTTAATTTCAAAACTATAGCCATTAATATAAAATTGCCCCCCCACCCCACCTTTGCAACTGTGACAGTCTCCATTCTTCTGGTAAGTCTTTCCACTCTCAGTGTGTCTGTAGGAATTTGTGCCCATTCAGTCAAGACAGCATTTGTGAGGTTAGGCAAGAACAAGACATGAAAGCCTGGCTCGCAATTGATGTTCCATTTCATCCCAAAGGCGTTAAATATGGTTGAGGTCAGGGCTCTCCACAAGTTCCTGCACACTAGACCCATCAAACAATGTCTTTATGGACTGTTTTGTGCAGAGGGGCACAAACATGCTAGAACAGAAAATTACCTTCTCCAAATTGTTTCCACAAAGTTGTAAGCATATAATTGTCCAAAGTGTATATGTACGCTGTAACATTAACATTACCCTTCACTGGAACTAAGGAACCTAGCCCAAACCCTCAAAACGCCCCCAGACCATTATTCCCACTCCACCAAACTTTACTATTGGCACTATGCATTCTGATAACCTAAGAGTTCTCCTGGCTTCTGCCAACCCAAGATTCATCAGACTGCCAGATAGTGAAGCACCATTAATCAGTCCAGTCTAGGTGCACTTTGCAGTGCTCCAGCCGACGCTTGGCATTGTGCATAGTGATCTTAAGCTTGTGTTTAGCTGCTTGGCCACAGAAATCCATTTCATGAAGCTCCCATTGCACAGTTTTGTGCTGATATTGCTTACAGAGGCAGTTTGGAGCTCTGTAGTAAGTGATGCAGCAGAGGATAGGCGATTTGTATGTGCTTCGTGCTTCAGCTTTGCGGGCCCACTCTGTTAGTTTGCGTGGTCTACTACTTCGTGGCTGAGCTGTTGTTGCCCCTAGATGATGCCATTTCACAATAATAGTACTTCCAGTTGACTGGGGAAGATCTAGCAGGGCGGACATTTCAGCTTCTGCAGTTGACTTGTAGCTAAGGTGGCATTCTATAATCTGTTTAAATCCAAGGCATTAACAGAGATAATAATAATAATAAACTAAATATATACAAAACTACTTTCTATTATTTTTTTTCCATTGGCTGTCCCAAATTCTAACCCCCTAAATTTCAACCTGTGAAAATAATCCTTAAAATCTTTTAATCTTTTTGGTTTCTTACAAAGTGACGTTTAAAGATTTGATTAAAATATTTGATTTTAATTTTTAAATAAAAAAGTTTTCAGAAAATGCTTTCCCATGTTTTTAGGTCACTGCCAAACACAAAGAGTTTTAGTTCATAGACAGAGCCTTTAGCCATGCCCCTGC